CTGGAGCTTGTTGGTCTTGCTATCATTGGTCTGATTGTCCTTGTGTTCAACTTTGGTGCGCAGATTAACCATTATAAAGTGACCCGTTGGTTAGACTCTGTCTACCCAGTTTTGAACGAGAACTTTGCACAAGTTGGTGTTAAGAAGGGCCAGTCCACTATAAAGGATTCTGCACAGTCGTACACAAGCTATGCCACTGGTAGAGTCAACGTGAAGGGACTCGTTTCCAGATTCACTTTGATTGCAAGACAAAACTTCTTCCTGTACTTGGCGGAGTTGGCGATGTCGTTCTTCTTTGAATCCATCGAAACCCCATCAGATCAAGTTGAAGTTGTCCTCAACTTCATCGATGCTGAAAAGTTGAACAAGTTCATCTTTGCTGTGGTCAACAAGGATGGTATGTCCAAGGCTAGAGAAAACAACTACTACCTGTCATTGACAAAGACCACCGAGTCTTCAAAGTTGCCTTTGCAGTTTGTCTTCATGTCTGAATCCACAGAGTTGAACGAGAACCTTGTCACTCCAGAACTCTTAGCTGCATTGGAGAAGTCCTCTGGAATCTTGGACTATTTGGCTGTTACTGACCTTCCAGCTGATAAGCCAACCACCGAGGCTGAGTTTGTTTCTGAACCAAAGATCAAACTGCTGTTGTCTTTGCAAACAGACGCCAAATCCCTTGCGGCAGCTAAGGAGTTGATCTCTGAAGTGCTGAACCTCGCCGACAGAGTTGTCAAATTCTCCTTGAAGGCCGACCAGCAGAAGAAGATCAACAACGTTAGAGTCAACGAGTTGAACAAGATTAAGAAGGCCATTGCAGACGCTAAGGCTGAAGAGCTCAAGGAGCTGAAACTCGAAGCTGAGAGAAAGGCCAGAAGAGAATCCAAGTTATCACCAGAGGAGCAGGATAAACTTGATAAGAAGAAGAAGGAAAAGAGAGAAAGAAGAGCTAAAAACAGAATGGTGAAGAGAATGTAAAACCTTCTTTTGCTTCTTCTCTCTAATATGTAAGTTCATCGAAAGCATCTTAATTGATCTACTTGTTTAATCATCAAAACTTCGTCACCCTTGCTGTTATAGTACAATTCTTATAGCTCTGTCATTGGAGGTGGCAGTTCTAAACACCTCGACGGTTCCCCTGCCAGCCAAGTTATGTAAACACCATCTAAGGGAAAGTCCTTTGAGCTTGTTGAACCTCGATTTGTTCTTATTCCACTTATTATTCAAGTCAAGCACCCTCATCTCCCTCCACTTGCAAGCGTTCAGGCTCCTAAGCACAAACGTTGTACTTAACTGTTGCAATGTAATTACAAGTCCTAGTTTAGGGACCGACAAGTTCAGCTTATCGCACTCCCTCGGTATGATGGAGAAGAACTCCATGGTGGTGAGCTCAACCATCTCATCTGGTGTAAAATCCATCACCTGTTTGGAAATTGATACCGACTCGTTACTCCTCTGAATCCACTCCCTGAACCTCTCTAAGAGCGATACGGTGGCAGCACAGCTATGCGCTTCAACCAAAGCATCGTTAACACAAGCTACGTAGTCCTCGGTCTTGATAAACAACTCATCATCGCTGGCCACCAGCCGCTTAAGGGAATTCGCACGTAGCAGTCTATCAAGCTCATAATCAACACGGCTTTGCCTATCGATAAACAAAGAGTACAGCTGGAACTTCGACACCGCCCTGGGCACCACAGAGCGGTACTTCTCAATGTGCTCCTTGAACTCAGGCTTCAGCTGTGGAGGGTAAGCAGTCCACATGTACTTCAAGATGTGGTCCATTGCCTCCAAAACATCACCGCTAAACACACTCTCTATAGCCACCCATGTCAGTACACCTCAACCGTTGCTGCGGGAGCAAAGGTACTGACTCACCTATCCCAACACCCAGCGATTCACCAACGACTAACCGTGGGACCTCCTTCGCCGCTCTCCTCCGCCCTGGGCTGGGCTTCGTAACCCTCATCAAACTCAATAGGGAAACCCTTGGTGGAAACACCTAATTGAGCTGTTACAACCGCGGCAGAAAGATCACCATCGCCAACTGCTGTTTTCCCCACACACGCATAAATTACAACAAGAGGTTCTCCGCAAATTTATTAGGCGAGGCACCTTGAGGTTTTGGCTATGGACCCGTATAAATACACATTGTTCGCTTTGAAAACGTTCCTGGAGCTTGTCTTAGGCCTGTGTGAAGCAATTGCACAGGGAAAATGGCTGAAGGACAGGACATTCTATACGAGGTCAGAGACCAGGTGGCCATCATCACTTTGAACTTACCAAAGGAGCTCAACGCTCTTGACAGCAACCAGTACTTACTCCTCGGCACTCTCATTGAGAGAGCAGATAAGGAGAAGGACACCGTGGTCACGTTCATCCGCTCAACAGGACGCTACTTCTCTGCGGGTGCAAACGTCAAGAGCTTGACTGGTACACCGCCTTCGGAGGGGACTATTGAGGAAGTTGACTACTGGTTGTCCAAGTTCACGGCTAGAAACGCGTACTTGACAACGATCTTCCAGGATCACTCAAAGGTTTTGGTTTGCGCCTTGAACGGACCTGTTGTTGGGCTGTCATCTGCTCTCGTTTCCATGTGTGATTTCATCTACGCGAAGAATGAGAAGGTGTTCTTGTTGGCTCCTTTTGCAAACCTGGGGTTGGTGACGGAGGGTTCTTGTGCCGCAACCTTGGTTCAGAGATTGGGTATCAGCGTGGCAAATGAGGCGCTACTGCTCTCAAGACCGATCTTTGCCCGTAGACTGGAGTCGTTGGGCTTTGTAAACAAGATATATAACGTTGAAGACACTGAAAAGTTCAACGACTTGGTGTTGGAGGACTTCTGGAACATGATTAAAGATTTGCACTTTGACAGTGTCAGGGATATCAAAAAGATCATCAAGTCTACTTATATCCAAGAATGGCAGAGCGTTAACGCCCAGGAGGTTGTTGGCGGTTTGTTCAAATGGTTGGAGCATGTTCCTCAGACCAAGTTTAAGAAAGTTGCCGGTAGACAGTTGAAACACAAGCTGTGAATTCCTCCCCACGTTCCACTATATAGGAAACATCGTATATAAATAACACAACACAAGCATGTTAAGACTTCCTCTCCCTCGCTAGTCTCTCCAGATCGAGGCTCTTCAATTCCTCGTCTAAATCATGTTCGTCCTCTTCCTCCGGTTCCAGAGTCCTCAATATCACCTCCGGGAGAGGTTCCTCTCTATTCTTCTTCTTGCTGATACTGACGCCTCCCATGATGGAGAACACTAGAACAAGAACCGCCATTAACCCACGGCTCGTCGTGTGCCATCTCAACCCCTCGATATCAGACTTGATATCCCCGTTGATCTCAGTGCTGATTCTGTTGTTTAGGTCCTGTATACGTCTTTTGATTTTACGCTGTAACAACGTGTTCTCGGAGATCTGATCGTTGATGAGCACTTGAGAATCGTTCCTGGCAACTATGAAATCCTTGTTCAAACTCTCAGTCTCTTCGTTGATCAGATTCTCAAGAAGGGACCTTTCACTCTCGAGGGTCTTCAAGTCAGCCTCTCGAGAGGTTTTGATTTCAACCCTCAGTTCACTCTGGGCAGCCTCAAAGAGATACATCTCGTTTTCTAATTCACTGGTATCCAGCATGTCTTGTTCCATCTCCCCGACTTTATGCGATAGATTCTCTTTGATCAGTCGTAGAATGACATCGCTCTGTTCCTCCGAAAATCCTTGCCTTTGAAGCTCATTGAATACCTTCATGGTATCTATGTAGTTGTGTATGGGTACGCTCGGCTTATTGCTCTCAACTTGTTCTGAAGAACCATCATCTTTTGGCGTCGACTTTGCGTAGGTCTTAGCTTCTGCATCTATCAGTGGGCTGGGAAATTGTGAAATGGTTGAGGTAAAGCGCACATTTAACCTCCTTTCGTAACCTCCTCGCCGGCTGCTATGACATAACGAATAATTTCTTAGCCATGGCCTCATACTTGGAAATTTCTGTACTGTGGAGCTCATACATCAACTGTGTTTGGCCCTGTTGAACTGTGTGAACTGTCAAATGAAGTTTGTTGATGGAGAAAACCGACAGGACAAAATGATGGTTGGGACACCTCACTGTCACCAAGTACGTTATTTACTTCACAGGCAATTGGCTCTGTTTACTGTAAACACTTGAAAGATTCGCAGGTTGGGAATCAGGATGGTTTGGAGTTTGGGGAGAGAGTTTTAGCTGATCGTGGTAGGTGTGCTCAGAAATCACCATCATAGCTGCGGACTCTAACATCATCTGCACAGGGTTCAGCACTTGAGGACTAGTTGAAGTCAAGTTTGACAATTTCAATCTCAAGAAAGAGCTGGACAACGTATGAAGCCGTGGTTCAAAGTAGCGTATTACGTACAGCTCTGAATCTGCGTCAGGAGGGGAATCTTTGAAACATGTTCATTCACTTCTGGCCCTACACATGAGTCGACACCATACGTCAACTGTCTCACGCTTGCCGTTAGGGAATCTGAACAGGGCGCCCTTCTTCCCTTGATATCCAGTATTTATGTAGATGAATATGTAGCCGCTTGAGTTCGAATACATACATGGTCAGTATGGGCTGTACGCATTCCACGCACAGTGCACATATGTTGGTCAACATTCAAAATTCACCAGTGGAACAAAGAACAACAGACAAAGCACACCAGCCAGTAGTTAATGGTTTGACCCTGTATTCCCTCTAAAAGTAAATATGGCACCTACACACATCATTTTCTTGTGAAATGGATTGGATCTCTATGTGTTGACTTTAAGAAGTAGTTCACATTCCCAAAGAAAGAATGCCCCAGCGGTATACGCCTTACCACGTACAGCCTCGAACAGTTAAAGGACTTGGAGCCAGTACGTGCCTTACAATCTCGAAAATGGTAACGCTAAATCAAGCATTGAAGCACACGAACAGGCAACTCATTTGTTATTCAAATACATAAGTAAGTCATACCTCGGCTACATCCAATATACGTGGCGACCAAAGATCAAAACATGAGTCGTATGTTTTAAATTGTGACCCGTTGAAGCTCAAGAGTCGAGGCCCGACTTTAAAGAGAAGTTGGTCCCCAGGCAGTATTTTTGAGCTGCATCCTATGTTTCAAATGCCGTTTGACCATAGGTCATGTATCACAACCGTTGAGATCTGCTTTCAGAATTCTGTTTTTAACTACTCCTACATAAATACAGACTACATAGTACATATACATATGTTATGTGTGTGTTGAACTTTAAGCGAATCTCTACACACAGACCATGGAAGTGCTGTGAAATGAGACTATATCTGTCATCCCCGAACGATGAGCAGACACATTCTTTTGTGCTTACTCGGCTATTATAAGTGTATTCATTATGGGCTATAGAGATGTTTCTTGGAGCTTGTGAGGCGTGCCAGATAGGGTTATCATGTGTTAAGACTTCGCAAATAATATACCGAGACCTGTGAGAAGAAACCACACCAGTCGTGAAAAGCATGGGAATCGAGCCTACTCACTTGCAATTGTTGATACACAATACTTTATCAAAGAACACTGAATGTGAGGTGCCATGTAATGAGAATACCATTATCAATGCTACTTAATACTGACCTATAGTTACTTTCAAACGACACCATTGGGGTTACGAAGTACAGAAGAATCATGTTCCCTTTAACCATTTTGAGAATAAATTGTGATCTAGTAAGCGGGAATTTCAAAGAGGAAGCTGAGTGGATGTTTTGGAGGACTCAACTAGCCTCAATAGTTACAAACACTCGTGATAATTAATATCCTGATTGATATATGTATAACGGTCAAGAGGAAGTTGGTATGACTAATATTGTTGTTTGCCAGTGTAAGTTGCCTATGACATGGGCTCTAAAATTGGAGATCAAGTATATGGACCTGGAACATTGTCAGAACACTTGCAAAGGAATATATCTGCCACAAGTTAGGCCATAAGGGCACTGAATAGAGCATACCCTAGTAAAAGGCAGCTCATATTATCAAGTCTATATCTGTAGGGATTCTATGCATTAACATCTTATTGAGGTGGATTGTGCTTCTTCGTCACCAGTGTTGGGGAACAGCACCATAGATTATAATGGCCTGATATATCTGTTCACCTCTACAGCTTATGAACAAGCTACCCAAAAATTTTAATCAGATGGAAAATAGGACTGCTAACCTCTACAGGTTTAACATGCCTCATAACGTATAAAGCTGCATTCCTATACGTTGATGAACCAGTTAAAAGCTTGGTCCAAAGGACCAGTAGTCCTGAGTTGCTGCACATATTGGAACTTGATATGTATACCTGCAGAGCACAAGTGGGACCTAAATGGAATTTGTTGACGCCGTCGCAGTCGGCATGCTCTACATCCGCCGTATATCAAAGTAACAACTAACCACATCTCATATGCGCAATGCTGAGAGTAGACAACCCTTCGTTTCATATATCACATACCAGACTATGTATATCTTACGCAGTTTTCATCTCCAAACATGTATGTGAAACGATCACCATCTTTAAGAGTGTGTCGTCATTACTAAACGGGTATTCAATAAGCGATCTAGTTCTCTTGTGGGATATGTCATCAAGTTCAATATGGTATGACTATTGAACTTGGGATCCCCTATTTCTTCCAGAAAATCAGAGATTATGCACAGCTGACGGTTTAGATCGTTTCATCGCGTTGGTCAGAGATACTGCAATCTCATTATAGCATGGGTAATCTCCTTGAGCACTTAAGGCCCATGCTGCAATGTTCCATATCTCCGCCACCGACATTGGCATGTCCACCTTAAGTTGCTACAGATTGTTTAACTCAACCCAACCCCCCCAGATAGTGGTATCTCTCAATCTGCCCAACATCTGGACCATTTCACCTGAATTATATCTTTCTAGAAGAGAAGCGTTCCAGTATTCAGGTGAAGAATACGCCTTCGTGGACAAACTTCCTTTTGAAGCAGCTCTCCGCCTAGGTGGCCAATGTTATGGTTCTACCCACATTACGCTTCTTGTGAGAGAATGTTCAGCCAATGACAAGGTCCTAGTAAGTTTGGGACATAACATCAATGTAACCATCACTGATCTATCGTAGAAGCGTATGTCTGGGCAGTCGGATAAACAAAGAACACGATGCACATTGGGGTTTCAAGAGGCAGATTGAGCTAATGCTACAGCATCCTCAGATTTGCATACGCGCGTGTGCACTGTGTATGTAACATGTATGTAAATTAAGTCCCCTACGGGAATGAATTGGTATATACAGCCTGGGTTACGTGGGTCCATGTCGGTATTCACTGTGCTCTGTTGATCATGATGTCAATGCTGTTGATATGTCCTCAGTGGCTATAAGAGTCGTAAGTCATTATTCAACTTGGAAAGCTCTCAGAAGCTAGCTGAGGAGAAATAGTCTACAATTGGCATAGAGGTACGCTGAAACCGATACAATATGTAACTTTAGACGTGCACACTACGCTTTAACCGTGTAGTACATGCATGCGTGAGTTGTTTGTATTTCACGCGCAGTGTAAATGATGAATAGCTACGCTGTAGAGGTTACCACGATAGAACATGTCTACCTCATATGCTTAGATCATAAAAAATACACCATAAAGTTTATGTGCTTCACTCTGCACGCTGCGCCAATCTATGTTGTATAGGTTCCAATGTCTGAGGACAGTTGTGACTCATTAGTCCCACGGCCAGCAAGTACGGGACGAACAGTAAAGATATGTTCTTAAGAGTGAAGGGTTTTAAGAATTGGCTTTGCGGATTGTAACTGGCTCGTAAAAGATACGGGCATCATATCAAACAGACCTCTCCGTTCGAACTACCCATTTGACGACTCTTTTTTTCTGAGCAGCGTTCTTAAACTAAAGCTATCATCGGAACACATTTAATATGGCAGTTGAAGCAGACAATGTGAAGGTCATTCAGTTGAGCATCAAAAGGGATCACTGCTTGGCATCATCCATTACAGCAGGTTGAATGCAGTGAGCATAGACCCTTCTGTCTTGTCAAGAAGTGTAGCTCTGTATAAACAGTGCCGCTGCCTCCAAAAATAAATGGTACTGCCATATGCGGTCTTCGTTGACTCAGGCCGCGGATGAACACTTGGAACATCCAAAAATGAAAGCGTGGACGCCCGTTACGATTGTCCAATTACAAGTGGCAAATCAGCACACTTTGAATTACAAACTTGTGAGGAGTTGTCAGCATTCTCATCATTCCTATTAGTTTGATGTTTAGTTGGTCTCGGCCGGCACCTGCACAGTACTTAGGAACTGAAGTATCAGACCAACAGCTTCTTGAAAACGCAAGATCAAATATCCGGTCAGTCTGTACGCATATTGCAGGTGCTTTGAGAAGGCACGAAAGGTTAATTTAAACTTACAACATCAGTCTTCCACATACCAAATACGCACATTCAATCTCAGCAAGGAGTTGAAACTATCATGTGTACATAAAGGGGGGAAATAAGATACATGTCATATGTAGCTAAAGGGTTGAGGCAACAATACACTCCTGCTTTTTACAGCGGAATGAGCCTGGCTATCTGGATGAACGAGTCCATCACGAACTAAAGTTATTAATATCTTTTCCTTCAATTTCTAACCATTTCGCCTCCGGATAACGACCAATCACAAAAGATCGACGTCACGATCATTTTTTCCAAATCCCCCTTTTAATGTCTGACAAACTGAAAACAAAATTGCCATAGCAGTTATGCAACTGTATGTCCACTTCTAGGGCGCCGTGTAGAAATCTAATGATCCAATCATATTTCCGATTTTTTGCGGTGTGTTGTTTTTTTTGGTTTCCGGGAACCCCAATCCTCTACAAAACACCCTTGATGAGGAATTTCGGCTGTGATCGCTCCTCCTTCCCGACTATTATTGTAAAGAATGGAGTCAACGTCATTAGAATATCACGTAGATATAAGTAAACAACGTAGGTACATATGTATATGATGTTTACCCACGATGGCACATTAACGGCGATGAATACATATGTACCCTTCGCCAACTTGAAGTTGAGTTACTGGGTGCGTGCTTCACTTGTCGGTACAGATTTGCAAGTCCCAAATTTCCAACAACTTGCAGCAGCAAAATTTGGCAAGTGTGCGGAAAAAAGGCAATTGCTGAGCGGGGAGGGTTAAAACGCCTAAAATGTAGACCGAAACTGTATGTACGTCACCGTTCACGTCAGCACATGAGGAAAATTAATTGGAAATACGGAAATTTAAAGCGAAAGGGCAAATAAGCAATTGACACTGTCATAAATGCAAACCAATAGCGTGTGGTTGCTAGGCACTGGGAATGAGCCCTACACAATGTGGAATTGTGGCGATGATATCATATCATCCATACATTCATAAATTCCTCTCCTCAACAAAACCAAAACACAAAACTTTTTGCACAGCTTGCCATCGGGCGATTACATCTAGAGCGTAATCTCTCAGCAGCTTGTACGAAAGGTTTGCCAGCGCATGAGTAAACTCTATGCGTATTAATGTATTCCTGGGCCTATCCCCTGTGCTTTTACCGTGTCTGTTTCTAGGTGAAGTTGTGCTGGCGCCTTGCTCTGGCCGTAAATTCGTACATTTTGTTTTCCGGTTGTCCCAGTAACGCCGCATGACCCTACACTCCCGCAGGGTTAATAAAAAGTCTAAAAAAATTTTCGGTTTGTGTTGCTCGGTCGGTGCTGCGGTGCAGTGCGGCGCGTTGGTCGCTTCAACGAAAATGCACAGGGGAAACCTATTTTTTGTCGGTTTTTTCTCTTTTCCTTCACCATCAACAACCTCTATAATCAACAACAACAGACCAGTTCCCTCTTCCTCTGTCTTCTATTGGCCTTCCTCTTATAACCATAGGACTTGTCTTAAAAACTACTTATCAAATTCTATTTGAGTCTGAGTGAAAACTATCAAGTAAGAGTTCTCCGGTCTTAATCAATTGCTATGTCTTTGCCTCCAATCAAGTCTATTGATTCCACCATTCCAGACGGTGGTGCATCCCAGGATGTCAACAGTGGTTCTAACAACACCAACCACGTTACAACAGATAACGGTGCTGGTAACGATGCCAATGGAGCTAATGGCGGCGGCTCCAAGTCCGGTGCCACTGGTGCATCTGCTGGTGTAAACAACACAACTGCTGGTCCGAACTCGACTATTGGTGCTGGAAACTACCAAGATCCTAAGAACGGTAACCTTTCTCAGATCAACAACCAAGCAGATGATCCATACCGCTACTCCCAGCAACAAAATCAGTCACATCAACAACAGCAGATGCCGGGTACTCAGCAATATCCGTACTACGCATATCAGCCGGTGTACTCTCAACCTCAACAACAATCCCAGCCAGCGGGTCAATCTCAACAAACCCAGCAAGCTCAACAATACCAAGGCCAATACCCTGCTTATTACCAATCCAGTGCCGGCTCTGCTGTTGGCTCAACAACGGCTGCTGCTTCATCTCAGCAGGTTAGTTCTTCTTCCTACCCAGATTACTCCAACTACTCCAGAATGAACTATGTTCAAACTTACAACCCTGCTGTCTACGGTCAAAACGTTGTTGGAGGTGTCCCAGCTACCGGTTCCATCAATGGTGCCACTGCTGGTGCACAAACCACCCCTTCCCAGATGACTAACGTCACCGCTAGTGGAATTGGCCAAGTCCAACCAGTTGGCTCCAGACCAAGAGTCACCACAACCATGTGGGAAGATGAGAAAACCTTGTGTTACCAGGTCGACGCCAATAACGTTTCTGTTGTCAGAAGAGCTGATAACAACATGATCAATGGTACTAAGCTGTTGAACGTTGCTCACATGACTAGAGGTAGACGTGATGGTATCCTAAAATCTGAAAAGGTCCGTGATGTTGTGAAAATCGGATCCATGCACTTGAAGGGTGTTTGGATTCCATTTGAAAGAGCTCTTGCTATGGCCCAGCGTGAAGGAATTGTTGATCTCTTGTACCCACTTTTCGTCAGAGACATTAAACAAGTCATTCAACAAGGTTCTACAACGCAACCTCAACAGAACCCACCAGCTTGGGGCTACCAGCAACAAACCGCTGCAACTGGTGCTGCTACTGGGACCCAAGCTTTGACCCAAAGCAACGGTGCAACCTCCAGCGTTTCCTCTGCTCCAGGAACCGCCACTCAGATCAAACAGTCCAACTCCCCATATATGACACCGTCATCATTGAACTCCGGTTCTAACTTGGATTCTAAGGCCTCTGGAGCACAATCTGTTCAACCATCTACTCAAACCTACCAACAACCACAAACACAGCAACCTGGTCAAGGGGCTCAATCTCAACAACAGGGCTTGCCACAACATGTCCAACAACAAAACTATTACAGCTATGCATACTACCCACCTTATCAATACGGTTATGGCTATGGAGCCTCTAGTGGCTTACCACAGGGCAGCACAGGCTCGGGTGCCAGTGCTGTTGCCGGCTCTAACGCTGGAACCAACGCTGCAGCTGCTTCACAGTACCAATATCCTCAGTACAGCTACGGTTATATGCCACAGTATCAGTCCTCACAGTACGATGATCAAAAGGAGAAGTGAGTCGTTCCTGTGTTAATTCTTGCTCTTCTCTGATGATGCCCACGAATCTTGTCCTCTCTTGTTAAACATCTTCTCTACTGTTAGTAGAGAAGCTTCTTTTATAATTGCTTTCTCGCCTATTATTGTTTGTCTGCTTTTCTCCTCTGCCCATTGGCTGATTTTCTCCACCATTCTGGCATGAGGCTGGGCTTACTTTTATACCTTCTTCCGGGCTCTATAAAGTGTAATCGTGTTGATCTATACAGAATGTGTATTATTAAAATAGTTATGAATTCTCGTCTTGCTAGTTCTTGAGACTCAGGGCCCTCACCTGTATGCAAATCACAACCTACAGTGCGTAGTAGATGGTCTGTAGATAAAGCTGTACTCGACGCGTCGTCTACCGTAGCGTGATTCGTACTACTGCCATGTATGAAACGCGGACATGATGTATGGCCAATCTTGTGCCCTGATTGCTTTCCCACTCCCAAGCATTCTCGGTAATATGAGTGATATGCCATGCAATCGATTGTGCACTTGTTGCTCCTGTAGCGTAGTACGCAGTGCCTACGCTTCAACTAACCGCTAAGACTGCAATGTTGACAGATCACAGCAAGGAAGCTCCTCAAGCACAAAGTCTAAACAATAACTCGTTACACCCGTAACCCACGTCAATGGGAAAACGCACTGTTGTTCCTGGCGCTGATAGCAAGAGGACATCTCGCTGGAGACACTGGACAGACGCACAACGCATCATGTGCCGCGTGCGCAACGTTGTGAATATTTGCCAGTACAGGCTACATACACATGACATACCAAAACCATTCACCTCTCTACATGCCATTGAAAGCCCTACCAAAAAGCTTATCTTGCAAGGCCTGACTGCACAGAAGGAACCAGGTTTGAATCAACTCATGTTGCGGATATTGCTTTGCGTACAGACGGGCAGACACTGTGAGGTGGGCAGACACACAGCTGGTTGGACATGGATAAGAAGAGCAGTTAGGGTGAAAGCAGGCGGCGCCTAGGAGGCGGTGGAGTGCGTTGCTCGAATATCACGTTACAATTTAAACTCCAAGCCAACCCCTATTGGTTTGAGGTGGCACACGGGTAATGGCCATTCAAGTTCCATGAGCTGGCAGTCCTGCGGAGCAGTTCGTCAGTACACTTGAAGGAGGAAACAGTTTGCTCTTTGGCAATGGCCAGGCAAAGGTTATGGTTAGAGTTGTGGTTAGAGTTGTAGTTAAATGCTGTTGAAAGCAGTGTCAGTAGGGGTGTCGTAGTTGTTGACCACTATTGATATACCGTTGCGGTTCAATTAAGGTTGGTGGGTATAGTCGCAATGTGAAACTCGCTGAGACGTGAATAGACCACCAAAAGTCTCCCTGAGATGGCCAGCTCGCATGGCATTCACCTCAGCGATCATCATTTTATACTCTTACAGCTGCGTAAGTCATACTAACCAGAAAGTATTACCGTGTAATTCAGTAAATCTATATATATATAACCCGCCAAAATTTGTATAAGAATCCCCAAAGTGTATAGTTGTATATGATTGTGATTTAAAAGCAAAGATAGAGAGGGACAACAAATCGAGCACAAAACATAGAAACCTGTTCCCTTGTGTCTCAAGCTGCACTCAGCCCCTATGGTCCACGCCTGGCAAGTCTAAACTTCTAATACTTGGAAGTGTAACCTGAGGTGTTGCAGCACTTAACTTTGGACTCTGTAAAGGTGTAGACAATGGAGTCTCTTGTAGATGGAACATCGGTGGTGAATTTGGTCTTGATTTCTTGTGAATGTGGTCCATTGTTGTCATTGAACAATCTTGTAGAGAGGAGAGTGTCGTCAAAGAGTGAGAAGTTCTTAAAGAGGATGGAACTTGGCCCACAGGCGCCACTATTGGAGTCATACGTTTCAAATTAGACAGTGCGTTCAAGGGATTGTGCTGTTGATGGCCCAATGAGTAGAGCGAAGTTGAAGAGTTTGACTTTGAAGACAAGGCACTCAGATTGGTAGAAGAGTTGTTTGGAGATGAAAACAACGAGGATGTTTGAAACGACGTGGATGAAGTCGACTTCAAAATCTTTGGTGGAGATTGGATGTTTGGTAATATCACCTGCTTGTTAGCGCCTTGGAACAGTGAGGGTGGTGGAACAGCAAATTGGCCTTGTTGTGGTAACGTGCCCACTGGTGTGAAGTATCCACTCTGTGGGGACTGTAATTGTGAGGATGATGAAGAGAATGGCAGCTGCTGAGGAGCGCTAATCTGCTGTGCTGTTGGTATTGTTGGTTGTGGTTGTGACTGTGGTAGAAATTGTTGTTGCTGTGGTTGTGGTTGTAGTGGTGGTGGTGGTGGTGGTGGCTGTTGTTGCATAGCCTGTGCCATAGGTTGGACATAGTAAGTCACTGGCTGATTGACCACTTGGTACTGCGATGACTTACCACTCTTTCTCACTCTGGTGTTCGAGTGAATCCGCGTGTGTCTTGTGAGCTCGTCAGATCTGCTAAACTTCTTCGAACAAAAAGTACACTGGAAAGGCTTCTCGCCTGTGTGAATTCTCATGTGTCGGGTCTGATGTTCCAGTCTGTGGAAGGCCTTGTTACAAACAGTACACACGTAGGGACGAGTTGGATCCTCCGGCGTTGCCACTGCCACGTTATCTTTATCCGTCATTCTTCTACTGGTACGTGGTATTGTATGTAAGTCTCCTGTGCGTTACCAAACGGTTGTCGAACTTGTGTAGAGCCTATGATTGTTGTGCGTGATGAGGTTTACGAGTGTGGTGTCGTTAGCCAAAGAAGGGGAATTTTTATGGGAGGAGATGAATTCCAGGGCCACTCGCCGTATATAAATCCCCAGGTGACGGGCAGAAGAAAAACACACACAAAAAAATGGGCGCTAACAAGTGCCCTTCGGAAAAAAGAAACGACGCCCAAGCGTCCGGAAAAACTTTTCTCACTATGCCACCATGCGGAGTTTGCAGCACCGGAATAACTTTAAACGCTCAGCTCACAGGAGTCAGAACACCAACAACACAAGTTTCTGCTGCTTGTCTGTTTTGTCTTGTAGATAAGTTGTGTCCACCAACTTATGAGGTGGCGGTTTGTCGATTTCAATCATTTATGGGTCATCAACTTTAGAGATATCCCCCATTCACAGGGTTAGTTGACGAAGATCTTCTTATGCTCAACTACATTTGAAACTGGAGATGGAAAGTGTGTCTGTCCCTTGTCCCACCGTCCAGAATAAATTAGCTCGTAGTCCCCCGATTGTGGAGCGTCGATCACGATGCTGGTTGTGCATATCTTATACAACAAAGAGAACCAATGACCAAGGGCTTAGCAGCAAACTGGCCAGGTTTGTCGGCACGCAGTGGTCGCATCGGAATTTCTAGTGCTGCAAAATTCTACCTGTGGAAGTTCAAACGTCTTTTTGTGGTTGCATTTTAGAACGGTGCCCTTGTTCGTGCCCCCATGGGGGGCCGGGTATCGGCAGCTTGTGAAGCGAGGCTATGCGACAAGTTTCCATAGAGCCGGAACATTAGAAACGAGCGCTGTCTAAAAGCAACGTGTAAACGATCAAAAACAGCACTAACTCGTTTGGATATTCCATGGGACCACTGTGATTGTGGTGTCGGCTGGAACGACAAGGTTAGAGATCATGGATTATGGTTTGCTGTGCGTTAACTTCCGCAATCTACGTGTGCGATGTGCTTCATACTGCAATTTCATCGTTCAACGTAGCCTATTTCTCGTTTGCCCAAACTTACATGTTAGCATTCAATGATTGAATGTGCAGACGTTCTGGTCCCTCTTTCTCTGTGTATTTCCGTGTACATTCAATTCTGAAATGAATAGGTGAAGAAAACAGCACATCCGGATTTGCTGTCCTACATACCATTTATTTCAACGGAAACTTCGAAATTTACTAGATACTCACACACTATGGAACCATTGATGAGGACCCCAAGGTTCTTGAAGTGAACTACATAAACTCGAGATGGCCGCCACTTGCTCGCTAACCTCTGAGCGTGGCAAAACTGATGGTCTTAGTTGTCCCAAGATCAACAGCTTGGGCTTTACACGGCACTGGTGTCAAAGGCAGCATGCTCTCTGGATCTTACGATATACAAAAACAACAGCTACAAGCTTCACCTGTGATTCCAATTCCTGTCTGAGGAAACCTCATCTATTCATGCTTCATTTCTTGAACCCTGGTGGTGGGTTGAATCCCTTTGGAGCGCCTGTGAACCCGCCAGTGGTGCGGATAGGACCACTCACCTTTGCAACTCCACCTATCGAGTGTGTACCCTTTAAAGGCTTAATCACACCAGACCCTGTCTTCATCTGTTTCAACTTCGAGCCTTGGTTCACAGGTGGTGCCTCTATGGTTACACTTATAACGGTCTCGCCCCTCAAGATTATCAGCCCCAATTTACGTCTCTGCTCCTGTATAAGCTCAGATTCCGGTTTCTCTGAAGATTTGTCCCTTGCACGGTCTTTTAACGATAGCATGGATTTCTTTGTCAGTCTGAACTCTGCCGCGTCGGCCAGAACCAAGTTATAGTGCTTGTCGAATGCTAATAGTTCTCCAATGATTTGACGAGAATCCGTCGTTATCACTTTCACTCTATAGTGGATGATATCTCTCAGTCTAGCCTTCTTTGAAGCTCCAATAGGCGCCTTTAGTACAGGTGTTAGTATACCAATGACGGTTCAAGAGTTGTTGATAAAGAGTCTTACCATTTTTTTTCCTTTGCTGCTGTTTAATATCCGTTAACTGGGTTACTGGTGATGTTTCTCTTTGGCTTGTTTACAATGTTCAAAAGTTTTTTTTTCTCTTTCTCCCCAAGCTGTAGAAACACAAAATGGAAAATTGGCGTAGCAACGAACGAAAAGCAAAACGCGAAAAAAAACACACACACAAAACACAAACAAAACCCTCTCTTCACAGCTGTTTTGTTGATCTATTTTCAATCAGCTACACACACAATTTGGACACAATGTCAGAAGAAACTAAACCAGTCGAAGTTCCTAAAGAAGAGATCTCAAAGGAGGAGACCACTAAGGAAACCGTTGAGAAACCGGTTGAGAATTCAACAACAGAGTCAACCACCACGGGTGAATCCAACTCCAAACGTCAAGCTGAAGGTGGTGAAGCAAAGAAGGAGAAGAAACGTCGTCGTAGACAGTACGATGACGTTCCAGATGAGCCTGAGGAGGAGGACGAGGATGAAGATGATGAAGACGATGAGAAATTGGATGCCAAACTGGAAGAGGAAGGTGATGAGGAAGAAGATGACCTTGCGGAGATTGACACTTCAAACATCATAACCACGGGGAGAAGAACGAGAGGTAAAGTCATCGACTACGCAAAGACGGCTGCCCAGCTGGACAACGAAGCTGGAAAGGCCACAGGTGCTAAGGAAGATGAAGAAGACGACGATGCTGACTTCAAGGAGCCTTCAAAATAAGAACATACACTACACTATGTCATTGTTTCTTTAAGAATCCTCAAGATTGTTTGTAGTTTATATTATTGTACAGGCCTGATATAATGATGTTTGTCTTTGAAGGTACAATTCTCAACAGCAGTTGCTCTTATGCTTGTTTGACTCTGCCCCTGGGGTTGGTGTCAAGGAGATTGTCTGTCCAGTTGGAGGCTTTGCTCCCGAGTAGTCGGACAAGTCTAGCTGGTTCTTCTTGACCATGTTGTAGATGGCTTTGGCAACTTGCTCAAACGACAAATCAACATTATCTGCGTTCAAAGCAGACGTCTCTGTAAAGAGGAGCTGGTTCTCAGCAGCAAAGTGCTTAGCCTCCTCTGTTGGTACACCTCTCAAGTGTTCCAAGTCTGACTTGTTTCCAACCAACTCAACAACCAAGTTATCATCGGCGTGGTCTTTAAGCTCTTTGAGCCATTTGCTAACGTTCTCATAAGTCTCTGGTTTGGTGATGTCATACACGATAAGCGCACCCATGGCGCCTCTGTAGTAGGCACTTGTTATGGCCCTGTAACGCTCCTGACCAGCGGTATCCCAGATCTGTGCTTTCAACTTCTTGCCGTCAACCTCCAAAGTCTTTGTGGCAAATTCAACACCAATCGTGGACTTGGAGTCCAAGTTGAATCCGTTACGGGTGAATCTCGAGAGTAAATTGGACTTTCCAACACCTGAGTCTCCAATAAGGACAACTAAAACACTGTTAGTACCGTCTATTTATGTTTACCGCAGTGTAGATCGCTCCCACGGTTCGCCCTTGCTGCTGTTCCCTGGCCTTCGTCCTTCGCTTTTCGCCCTTCGCTGTTCATCATTGGCCCTTCCCTGTAACGCTACTCTTCCCCCTTCTGTGTGTACCTACAACATCCACGCTGGAAAAAGTGGACAACGGGTGCAAGACAAAGGGGAGCCCAGAACAGGCAACACCAACAAGGGAAACACAAAAAAAACCTCCGCTTCTACACTGGGAAGGAAGATCCATAGTGTACATACTCTTGAGAAGATAGTCGTAGTCGTACGCATAATCCTCCATATCAGCCATCGTTGATATTTTTGTTGTTTGTGTGAGTTGTATGTGAGTTGGTTTTTCCTGTTTTCTGAATTGTTATGTGTTTATCTGTGATTTTCCACCAAATGAATTCCTTTCTGTGTCCTTTTTCTTTGGTTTGTGGTTGGTGTTTTTTCCCAGTGGAACGAGAGGAGAGTTTGTTTGTTTCCGTGTACATGGTTTTTGGTAAAGGGGCAACACACACTGGTCTTTTGAGTCTAATTTTGGTGACGGTCTCGTTCTTGTTTGTAGAAGAAACGATATTAAGTAACGGGTATTGAACGCAGGACTTGTTCCTACAGTTTTTACTCTACGCCAATTGGTTTGTGGGTGGTGGATATTAGTTAAAACCACACCGACGGGCACGGTACATTGTGTCGTGTGGATGATCAGGCTATAAATGGACATTCGCGCGCCTCAGTATGTTTAGTCTGTGTGTTGAGGGGTTACCCGGAGGCACGATACCTATTATATCCAGCGCGATATTGTAAACTGGTAATCCCCATGGTTTCAGCTTAGCACAAAGAATTCCAGTGAGTTGTATAGTCATTATGGTATCCAGCTAAGTTAATTGGTCATGTGCTCTATGATTGTGAAGATTGTTCCTAAATCGCCTTAGACTTGGCTGATTTATTTTCATGGTATTTCCCGTGTATAACAAGTGCAGTGCAAGCACTGTACAGAATAATCTGGCTTTATACAACAAGTGGCATCACCACTGTCTATTGTATCTATACCCATTTCAATTGCTTAGTACTTGAAATTATTGTCTGGTACCCAAGGTTCATGGAGATCCCATTAGTTCCAAAATGTAGAAACGCTCAGAGCTTTGAGATGTTCAACGTTGGTGATATATACATATCTCTTACACAGATGATTTATCGAATACTGTAAGTTGTTGCATTGATCATAAATACTACTATGTACACCAATGGTCACTCTTGGTAAGTACCTTATTTATAAGAATTCTGTACATTTAAATCAAAATGAGGTGATAGAAAAGAAGAAAATATCGAAACGTTTTCATTTCTAACTTTTACCATAACAAAATGTAAGAAATATTATTATAAAAATCTCTACATTTGACACCAAAACAAGTAATCAAATATAAAACTCAACTGAATAAATTGATCCCAATGAAAACATTTCAGCATGCTTCTTTCGGGTTCAACTAGGGATCCTTTGGAGACACTTTTGTTATTGTTAATATAAAACTTACATGCACCTAGAGAACATGCCTTGAAACATCCAAACACCAACTTCAATCAGCTGGGTTAGCTACGGATCACAAGTTGAAATCACTAAGTGTTGATCATATTATACGACTTTACATTTATACAATACTTTCAGAGTCTCTTTCTTCATGCAGCCTCAGAAGGTCCTCCAATCTTCTCCTTTCAACCCTCTCCTTTTCGAGTTCAGCCTCGTAATCGTTTTGCAAATCGACAACCACCTTCTTGAACTCGTCTCGTAATACTGATATAGAGCCGGAGAACTTTGGCGGAGAACACGTTGAGAAATAAGAAGAAGGTTGAAGGAATTGTCCATTCTTAACCTGTTGTTGTAATAGGGGTGTCTTTGGATTGGTCACGGTTGTGTCATCAGATTCCACGGAGATTGACAATCCAGTAATCGGCGAGGATGCAGATGAGCCTGATGTACGTGGGTTGTCCAGGCTCTGAGGAGACCCATTCCCCAAACTTTCGTTAGACTTGCCAATATGGTCCAGTTTCAAGAGTGCCAGTTGTCTTCTCAATTCGTTTATCTCTTTGGATTTTTCATCGAATTTATTCTGAAGGATGCTCTTCTCGTGTTCAACAAGGATATACTTCTGTGTAGCCTTTTCCAAGTTTATGTTAGCTTGAGAAAGCTTGTTCTCCAATATTAATTGCTTCTTGTTGTATGATTCGGCAATTCCTGCATTTAAACTTCTTTCTTCTTCGTACTGTTTAGTCAAATATTGATGTGCAAATTGAAGATCCTGCAATGCCGTTTTAACGTTTGATATTTCCATGGGTTCCTCCTTTGACACAGAACGTGATTCTCCATTCAACGAACTCTCCAAAAGTTGATCCAAGCATGACTTTGCCCAAGTTAACTTAGAATCACCTGGTGGTGGTAACACAACGTTTCTCTGTACTGCCAGTGAAGCTATATACGACATTAACTCATCAGCTCTTTCATCACCAACAGCTTCAGAACTTTTCGGCAAAGCCAAATCATCAAAGTTCGACAATGAGAGGGCAGTAGCGTATTGCCTCATTAGTGTCAACAGGTTTTCTCTAATTTCTGCTTCGACTTTAACTAAGTTTTCAGTTAGAGACTGTTGTTGTTCCAACACTTGTGCCCGTCTCTCGGGATCAGTATCAAGTTTCATATTCAACAGCTGGGAATTTGTCTTCAACTGGGACTGGATCTCATCGCTCATCTCCCTTAACCTGTCAGTTTGTCTCTGTAAGAAAGTTATCTCTTGGAATGTTTGCAACTTAGAGTCCTTGGAAGACTGCGCCAACGCGTACTCGCTGATCAACTTCAAATGTAGATAAGCTCCACGCTCATCGCCGGTCAGCTTTGTATAGAGACCATCGCTCATAAGATCATCGTTTCTCAGAGCACGGTCAGTCACTTCGCTCTCGTAAAACACGCGTAATGGGTTTCTCGAGTCGACGAATCGACACGCATCAGAGAATTCATCGTCAGTTGCAAGGTCCACAGCCTTTGTGGTGTTTAGCGAGTCTATAGCATCGTGGAACTCAGATGAAAGCGACTGCTGGAATGGAGACATCTCCATAAGAGAAATAGCTCTTGTATATAGCATTCTGCCCTGGTTTTCACGTCCCGCTGAGAGGGTGTTGATGGTGGTGTTGATGTTGTTTACATTGTTTCCGAGATTTTTTTTCCTCACGAACATACACGCACGCTGTGTTCAGTATGAGTTCATTAATAGGTGAAGTTAATGGAACAAACCATCTCTTGAGGCGTGACCCATAGGATGTGGAAAGCAAGCCAATGAGAGAACGTCATAGTGGCGAGTCACCATCTGTGACGTTGCTTCTACTGGCTATGACTCAATATCAACGCTTAAACAGTGAAATTCACCTTCCACAAGCTCCAACATTGGCGCTCAGAGACACTTGCGGGCATATAATCGAATCACATCATACGTATTGGACAGGTGCTAATCACAACTGACCGACTCAACTACACTAATACACCAAAGTGGTATATGGGGTCCCTCAACATTGGCCACCACTCCATAGTAAACAAGGTGACCCCAGTAACCAATTCATTGTGTCGCCAACCAATACAAACAGCTGACTGAGGTATAGGGCCGATCCCAACGGCTTCATATTCTCTGTTTACATTAATACTGGGATACCTTTCAGCTGGAGATAATGGACCAGATACCACCATCACAAGGTGTTAGGTTTGTTACGTTTAACATCAACGGGTTTCGGACATTATTCCACTACCATCCATGGACCAAGCTCAGGACACTGGGCGCGATGTTCAGCTCGATGCAGGCTGATATCATCACTTTACAAGAGCTGAAGGTGGCTCCGATGGACGTGGATAACCGTTTGGGAAAGGTGCCAGGCTATAACTGCTTTATAACGGTACCGTTACAGAAGAAAGGCTACTCAGGGGTTGGTGTTTACGTTCGTTGTCCCCTAGAGGACGACCCACCACCTGTGAAGCTGGCGTTGACCGTGGTGAGAGCTGAAGAGGGAATAACTGGGTCTCTGCTGTCGAAGGACACTAAGCAGAGGTACTCAGAGTTGCCAGCTTCCATTGGTGGATATGTCAATTTGGACGATGACATTGCATCGAGGATAGACAGCGAGGGAAGATGTCTGATATTGGAAATGGCAAATAACACGGTTATCATTAGTGTCTATTGCCCTGCTAATTCTATGGGCACAGAGGAAGGTGAGCAGTTCAGGGTTCAGTTCATCGAGTGTCTATTCCAAAGAGTGAGAAATTTAGTTTCAATGGGTAAGAACGTCGTACTGATGGGTGATATAAACATCTCAAAGGATTTGATAGATAGTGCTGTTGCAATTAGAGATATGACACAAGCCGGACTGGTAAGAATCGCTGCAAAACATGAGGACTTTGAAGAGGTTAATAGAGATGCGTGCCTGAAGTTTACCTCGTCAACTGTTCCAAGGTTGTTGTTGAATGAGTTATTGATGGACTCGATGTCATCCGGTACATTCCCAGATCAGTCCAATGGTGTACTAATCGATACCGTCCGTCGTGTACAAGGACGTAAAAAGGGATTATACACTGTTTGGAACACGTTAACTAATTCAAGACCCGGTAACTTTGGATCTAGAATTGACTATATCCTTGTCAATGAAAAATTGGCAATGCAAACAAAGAATGCTGGGATTTGGCCCTTTTTAATGGGGTCAGATCACTGTCCAGTGTTTACAGACTTTAACGTCGAGACTGTTGATTCTGAGTTCATTGGGTTAGAGGGGTTGAAATTACCAAGGCTAGAGGCGAGATTTGCTTTCAATCTATCAAGGGGGGATATTGGAAAGTTCTTTACAAAGAAAGAAACACCATCACCGAGTTCTACACATTCTTCGCAGATATTAACAAAGTCCAAAGTTGTGAAACCCGCAAACATGAGCAAGAGCAAGGGCATCAACAGGAATCGCTCTAATATCATGAGTTTTTTCAAACCAGTGAGCCATGATTCAGACTTGTGTAGCGTCGTATCTGCTGTTCCAGAATCCAATGGTGAGATTTCTTCTAAGAAAGTACTGGAGAATGGTAAGTTTAAGCTCAGCGGCGATATACCAAAGTGCAAACATAACGAAGAGTGTGTATTAAAGACCGCAATGACCAGTGAGAACAAAGGACGCAAGTTTTGGACATGCTGTAAACCTCGAGGTGAGGTTAAGGATCCAGATGATGAGTCCAAATTCGACTGTGGGTTTTTCCAATGGAAATGAAAAAGATGAACTCATAGATTCGTTTCAGATGTACAACTGTTATACTTGATTGATGCCAATGTCCCTTCAAACCCCAAGATATCGAGATTGGCAACATAGGTTGTAATTGAAGTTGAAAACACCTGTATATCCTCATTTTGTAACCTAACCATTGCCCTATTGTCCATTGTCTTTACAACCTCCACTGTTATGGCAAGTCCAAACAGCCCATGGTACTTTTGAAGAGCAGATCTAATATAAGTCTGCCATGTAACCTCATCAACCTTGAGGTCCTTGGGTACTATTGAAGAGTCTTGCTCTGGAATTCTTTCAAAGCACACACGATTAGTACTTTAGATTCTTGTTATTTTAGGCTTCCACTCAGTACTTACAATTCCAGAGTGTAGTAACTCCATACGTTTTCATCTTCAGAGTCACCCATGTTTGGCCTTTCACTGTGGTTGGTGATGAGGACATTTGTAAGCTCTCATCTGGACATTTTTTGTCAACTTTTACTCGAAATTTGATCAACATAAAAAAAGACAAAAATCAAAATGTCCTGTCCTTTGCACACACAAAACAAAGTGTTGTGGTCGAAGACATATCCTAACGGACAAATAAGAAGGTATCACAACTGGAAGAAATGAGCAAACAGAAAACCCTGATACGCTGCCTGTGCTCGTTATTGTGCCTACTGAGCACCTGCTTATGTGCGGTTTTACCCGGTCATGTCCAGTTTGATGGTAACGTAACGAGTTTAGACGTTCAACGCACACAGATTGAGATCACCGAGGTATCCTCTGAGCCTGGTTCGTATAGACAGAGAGCGTTTATCCATCCTGATGGCACCTTTGAGCTGAACAATATACCGAAAGGCGAATTCGTCTTGACCGTATTATCCATTGACTACAATTTGATCCCATTCAAAGCCAGAGTGATTGTGAATGAAGACGATGAGGTCCACGCCTACGTGCTCCATGCAACCAGTCAATGGGATAAGCTTGGACAGGAAATTCCGTTGCCTATACAGATAATTCCTAATCCAAAACAACCGTTACGTGAATACCTTGTCGAGAGAACCCCAGGTCTTTTGAAATCTGGACCGATCGCCACAGTTCTGAACAATCCACTGTACTTGGGAGCCGCCATTCTGTCGTTGGTAGCAATTGCAGCACCGTATCTCATGGAGAAGTTTGACCCTGAAACGGCAAAGGCTGTCCGCGAGGAAAGGGCAGCCTCTCGTCGTGAGAAGATCAAACCTTCGCAGGCCGCCATTGAAGCCACTGAAAAGCTACAGTCGAGTGGTAACGAAGTAAAGGCTGGCAGCAAGAGTGACTCGACGCTAAAGAAGAGAAAGAATTGAATAGCAGTAGCCTCGACGTGGCATAGTATTGGGGGGAAGTGGAAGAAGGAGGCAGAAAAGGTATCACTAAACATCCAAACACCAACATACAAGTTCGTTTACCTAATCACTTAGTCAGCCCAAAATGGGACAATAGCCTGCAACTGAACCTCATCGCCAGTTGTTTTACCCGATAAGAACATTGCTGCGTAGCTTAGCAAGATAAGAGACGACTTTTATTAATAAAAACACATTGTGTAGTTGGCAACCTATCGTCTTCTCCCTGTTGCAGTTGAAGAGTTCTCCAAGTGCACTTCCCACGGTGCATTACACACACACAAGGGAACAAAAGCAACCAAATAAAGCGTAACCAGGGACAAAAAACCAAACAAGCCTTGTCATTCTGGGACGAAACGTGCAGGCTGTTGTTGCATCTTATTCGCAGGAAAACCTTAAAACATTGAGACATATACAAAATGTCTCCTTTTTTGCATTTGGTCAAAAACAGACATTACTCTGATCATCACAAAAGGGACATTGCTGAAGGGAGCCCCTCTCTTACACGGAAGACCGAGGAATCACGGTTAAACTATAAGGAGCCATAAAGCCTTTGGACACAGACATGTCTGATTCCTTTGCGTCTGTCCGATCCCGTCTCTGGGACTTTTCTCACATGCTGATGATGCCAATAGAGAAGCACTTGGGTGTGATACTCACTTGTTTGCTATGGTATACGGTATCGTCAGTGTCGTCGCAGGTGACGAAGACCATTCTGAACCAGTTCCCCTTCCCGCTCGCGCTGGGCGAGTGCCAGTTTGTGTTGGTGTCGCTGCTGTGTATCACGACGATGGTGATCCTAGGTAGGATGAAGTGGATGCACGCAATGTTCCCACCGGGCTCGGTTCCTCCCCTGGACAGCGGTGCTGGTGCTATTGTCAAGCCAACAAGACACCTTCTGATCACAGTGCTGCCGTTGAGCTGTTTCCAGTTTTTGGGTAAGCTCTTCTCCCATAGCGCAACCGCGCTGGTCCCAGTCTCCACCGTTGCCGGCGTCAAGACCTTATCACCTCTGTTGCTCGTTGTGGCCTACCGTGTACTGTACAAGGTGCCATTTGCAATGGCAACTTATATATCACTGTTACCACTGTTGTGTGGTGTGCTGCTCATAGTGATGGCTGATACAAAGGACACGCTGGTGACGACAACTGCAAGCGATCGTTACATAGGGATCCTCTATGCAGTGATATCCTTGTTTATCTTTGTTGGACAAAATATCTATGGCAAGACAGTGTTCACGTTTAACCAGAAACATGTTAACGACCCAACAGAGTTGGCATTGCCCCATGAGGATAAGAGTTCAACGTTACCAATAACGAGGACAGACCGTGAGCAGGAGAAGGAACAAGAGCTTCACGATAATGAGGTGAATTACCAATTGGAAGTGGAAAAATCCAGCTTGACAAAATTTCCTAAGATTAGAAACAAGTATGACAAGCTGACTCTACTCTTGTACTGCTCCATTTTGGGTGCATTGTTATCCTTACCGTGGTTCTTGTACATCGAGGCACCACAGTTCTTAAGGTTAACGGCAGCTGAGGAGGATATCACAGAGGCACATCTAGTTACCATTCCTTGGGGGCTATTAATGATTAATGGGTGTTCTCATTTCTTACAATCACTCATAGTGTTCCACCTCTTGGGTGCAATCCCAGCAGTGAGCTATTCTATTGCCAGTATGATGAAAAAAATCACAGTCATCGTGGTCAGTATGATTTACACTGGGAACCCAGTTACGACACTTCAATTCTTTGGTATCCTGCTGACAGGTACAGGCTTATTCGCATACGATAGATGGGGAGGAACAACTTGATTTAAACACACACATGCCACCAGTGTATGACTCTGTCGCATTTTGACTCAAAGTATGCAAGTTGAAATATTAGCTCTAATGATTTGCTTTTATATATAATATATATGTCTTTTAGTTTGCTTGTACTAGTCATGTTTTGTACTTTGTTTGCATCATTCATCTCCAAACCGCAACTCTACCAAGAGAATCACCAGCAACAACCTCTATTCTACCCCCTCTCGTTTCTTCATAATCGACAAAACTCTTCAAATAACTTTCAACAATGGTCACTCTTCCAGTTTTATTATTGAACTCTTTGCTATCTGCGAATTTTAACTCACACATCTGTACAAGATTCCAACCGTTCTCTTCAATAACGAGTTCATCAACACGAATTTCCCCATTGGACCAACCAGTGGTTAAAATAGCTATATGCTTCCAATATTCATGGCTCTCAACGTTGTTAATCTTGATGGTGGAAACAGTACGTGAGTTGGCGAAATTCAATGCTGTGATGGTACCATTAACAGAGTCAAAGGTCTTGCGGCAGATGAATGAACCATTGATGTTGTATAGCTCAACGGTAGTGCCAAGCGAGGTGGCAATAAGTGCACTGTCATATGCAATTGCGATATGATCAGCAGTGGTTTCAATTTGTCTGATAAACATGTGTCTTGCAGTATTCCAGACATAACAACGGCCAGAAACGTCTAAACTCAACAATGTGTTGAACTCTGGTGACACCTTGAGTTCTTTTATACTTTCAAGATGAACCATGAATTTAGTATCAAGATGTAACTCTTCTTTGAAACCCTTCACAACAACAACATATTTCCAAACATGAATACTTCCACTCTTTGTGCCTGTGATGAACATATCCTTGTTAAGTCTCGCAAGTGCTGTGATTTCCTCACCATGAACGTTTTCATAGGTCTTCCTATTTATAACAAGAGAACCTTCACATCGTCCTCTTTTAACTTCAATCTCTCCATTCAGATATAACTTTGGATAGCCTCTCCAAAAGGAATCAGCTAAAACATCACCTTGGACTTTGAATTGAAGATAATGAATAGGTTCATTAAATTTCGTCTGGTAGAGCAGGAATGGTGTCCTCTTTACAACTGTTGGATCAATTTTTAACAGGGTGGATGTTTCTCTAGCAGGATGAGGCTTTGAAAAGATTTGAGCAGGTGTCTGACCGAAATTGTGAATAATACCAATGATTGATCGTCTTTCAACATCGTTATTGATGGCATCTAAATCGATACCACCTTGGTAACTCAAGTGGTTGAAGACATTGATAGCTTCAACGGCTTTTGGTCCAGTTTGCTTGAAACCAAATATGAGATCAATCCACTCGTGCAAATGAGCAGAAACATACGGACTCTCTAAAGCTTCTCTGTTTCTTTCAATAAAGATCTTAGGATCTCCCTTAGCCCATTTAGGCAACACAACATCGTTAACAGGCGTGCCATCTTGCAAGCAACCAAAGTCATAACCGTTGATGTTGGTCAAGAATTCAGGAAGGAAGAAGAATTCAGGTGTTAATTCTCTAACATCAGTCGTGTTATCACTTGATGCAGATTTCCAAGCCTTTTCAATCGAATAGAATAGTCTATCAGCATGGTCGAACTTTCCACCTTGCAACAACAAAAATGATTGCACGAATGGTTCTAAACGGATCAAGAATGACGCAACAATCATAGCAGAAGAATAATGAGTACCATAATGGAAAGGAGGTGAGTTGTCATCTTGAAGACTTTCCAAAGCTTCATATCTCTCTCTGAACTGTTGTGCCCTTTGTGGGGTTTGTGCACCCATAGGTTTGGAAAAGTCTCTGAATGACTTTGGATCGGTTAAGTCCAGTTCTTCACTGGTATAATCAGCAATGACCCACGGGAAAACAGGATACTGGGTAAGATCGTTGAAAGTTCTTCCTGCCAGTGTATTGATAATGACCAGATAGTAGAAGTTAGACATTTCACCGTTTTGCCATTTCTTAGTGGCATCCAGAATATCATAACTGAAATGGAAGACGTTAGAGATCTTCGACCCCAAAGTCTTGGAGGTATTCTTGGTGAGATTCGTTTCTTTCAAGATGGCTGAAAGATCATTATCAATGTTGGAATTTGTAGCAACACTTGATATTTTTGAAAAGATTGAATCTCTTTCACGCGTATGAACACATGTAATAAGCAAGCTCGCACCGTTACTAAAGAAAATCTCCAATGCCATATCACGGAAAAGGAATTGTCTTCTGGTAACAGATGTCAGCTGCTCAAGAACCCAACTACGAACGGTGTGCTTCTCAGTGCTAGCAGTCCGCGTGGTTATGTCATTTTGACCAGCAATTAACTTGACATTAGGGTCTCTCTCATTCTCTGGAGCGTCTTCAAGATCAATGATCTCATCAGTATCTGCCTTGTGGAAATAGCTCTTGATGAAATAGATATGAGCCTGCCCCAAAATAAGGATACCTTCATCAATCTCAAGACCAATAATACGACTCACGTTCCAGATTTCAACAATCTTGTCCCCATAGAAGAGACTCTTCAAAACCTTTCTGTTACGGTCATTGTAGTTGTTCATAGAATCCTCGATGGCATCTTCTTCCACCATGTCAAACGAATTAAGACTCAGTGCTTCGACATGAGGCTGTTCATGGACGGCTTCTGAGTCATTCAACTTTTTCATAGGAACATCGATGATGTTTTTCAGTTGCTGAACAATCTTCAAATCATCAACTGGTAAGAGCTTCTTTCTCATTCTGTCGATTCCCTCCATAGACCCAAGAATCCACGAAGAAGGACCAGTATAAGTACCAAAGAATAAGCCCAGTCTCTTGTTTCCAACCACTTTCATTTTGTTATAAGAAATGAGGTGAAATTGTATAACATCGTACTGGTCTTTGAGATACTTCACAATCATAGTTGTTTCCGCATGTACCAGCTTCTGTCGTAAGATTTCGTTATCATTCTCCAATATCGGCAAGATCTTATCAATAGATTCGTACTTTTGTTTTATCTGATCATCATGCCTTGAGGAAAGGGTCTGTAGTTTCTCGTCAACAGTTACAAAATCATCCTTGCTGAACTTTCGAGTAACTTTACTCACAATAGCCTCCAAGTGATTGCTGAAAAGATCAGATACCTTCTTGTTTTCCTTATACATTGACAGAATATCTTCATCACTTGCAGTCATGACATTGCGTAAGAATCTTAATGCTGTGCCATGACTGATATAAGTGATTGAAGAACACACTGAAGACAGATGATCTTGGGAGCGCATAAGGATGATACGAAGACAGTTCAAAGCCAGCGAAGACACCGCAGGATCCGTGAGCATGGCAATTTGTAGCAACAAGCAAATAATGTTCGCCACATCACTCGACATAGCTCCACTTCCAAAAAGATTCTCCTGATGGAACATTAGCACTTTCAAAAACTTGTGTTGTTGTTCAGTTGATTCGGAATCCTTCAACACCAGAACCAAACAATTCACTATTGGTGTGATATTCTTGTGTAATTGAATAAATTGGGAGTTCTTTAGACTCTTCCCCGACTTCTTATATGCTTCAACGATAGTTAGCACAACAGAGATATAGTTGAAATAATCTTTCGCAGACCATTCAAATGTCAAAAGTTCAGGATACAAAAGGTTCAAGAAGAGAGCAATGTTAGAGAATTTTATCGAGTCAGCTCTAAGCAAAGTCTCAAATTCTGACGAAAAGTTTGACAAATGGAACAACACTTTTGGAAAGACAAGTGCTAGATAAACAACCGGCGTAACAGAGTCAGCAGGGTTTTCTGGATCATGTAAAATCTCATTAAGGTAGGCATCAACTGCTTGTAGATCACTGTTGAGCAATTTTGAGAGAACCCTCGAAGCCATAACCTCAATCAACCTATCGGAAGAGTCAAAGTAAATACCAGCGTTTCTTGTTTTGTTCAACAGCAGGACGAAGTTACAAAGCTTCTTGATAAAAGCTTTGTCATGTCCAAATACACCAGAAAAGATTGCGTTTGTATCAAAAGCCTTATCAAGGAATCGTGTATATCCATCAATTTGAGCAATCGTATCACTGTGGTCATCAGTTTGGAAGATATCGTTAAGCACAGTCCACTCGAGAAGGTCCAGTATCAAATGATGTAATTCTGGGAATACCACCTGCCCGAATTTTGCCATCGAGACATCTCTATCTAGTCTTGAAAATATCAAATCTGATTGGTATTTTCCAAAAGACCCATTGATAAGAATGTCAATCTCAACATCTATTTTGATCTCTCTCATCAGGGCTAGAACAATATGAACACCGTTATTCTTCAAAAAGACATCATGTGTCTGGCTAGACATCAGAAAGAGCTTAACCAATAGAGTCAGTGCACAATCAACAACAGTTTTGTTCTTCTTTCCTAGTTGGAATAACAAAAAAATGTACTTCATGTTGACAGGACTGAAGAGCTTTTTCCAATGATAACCGTTCACCAACCCAGTATCAAGGTAGATACTGGCCAAGACATTGAGACCAAGTATAGCATTAGATTCATGCTTCTCGTTAAGAGAGTACACGATGAATGATGCCACATTCTTCACAGTATCAACAGACATATGAGTTCTGACAACCAAACAAAGAGCATCTTGCAACTCTTCTTTGACTTTCTCAGGGAAGGAACCCTGGATCAAGTGACCTAAGAATCTCTTAACCAACTTGATTTTTTTCATCTTCTGAATATTGAAGGAGTTGTACTTGCACTCCTTAGCGAAAGCAATAACCTGGAAATTCAAGAATTTGAGAACTTCCAAATCACCTTCATGCTCTTCATTCGGAAGACTTTTCCACAGAGAAAAGTCCAGCACCACTTGTTCATAGAGTAGTTCGTTCATGATCACGGAATTAAATGGGTTGTGGAAGTTGTAACCAACTAGTCCAAGTAGGAGGTCAAAGAACTCTATGTCAAATGTCCGTTTGAACTCTACCTTTTTAGCCTTTAACAATGTTCCGAGAAGGCTATAGCCATTAGTATACTCCATTTCTCTGATCAGTTTCCAGTTAGTGTCAACCAATTCCAGCAAAAGCTGTACTGCTTGGTAAAGTGACTTCATAGATGAGGCTTTCTCAATCAGCATGAAAACAAGGTTCAAAGCAGCTATTGAGTAGAAAGTTTCCGAGACATCAACGCTTTTATAAACCAACACCTTTCCAATCACAGTGTGTCTATCCGACAAAAGTCTAAGCCCGTCCGTTTGAAAGTGCAGCGAGCGGAAAGTATCAACATTGAAGTTCAAAAGCCTATCATGCTTTGGTACTTGGAGTTCAAGTTTTGTGAGGTCAATTTCTGAATTTGAAAGTGTCGATGCATCAAGTAGATGCAAGTTGAACCATGCTCTGCCTTGGTAGTTTAGGAACCTCACCAAATCATCGTCTTGATACAGATCTCTGTAGTTTGGTCCCAGGTAATACGAAAGTGCAACCCATTCAAAGGGTAGGGACCCAGAGAATATGTTCAAACATGCAACGTCAAGACTAGAGTCCGAAGATCCCAAAGTGACAGCAAATTCTCTGTGTTTTTTGTCCAAGATGGCTTCATCATCTGCAAAGGGGAAAGGACAACGAATGTATTGAATGAAGTCACCGTTAATATATAAGTTCAACTTTGCTCTTAATCTATCTCCACTAGAGGAAGACTTATGGATCAAGACAATGTGGTAGTATTTGTTCTCAGTAATTTCATACGAGTCAAAACTACCAATGAGCGTATCCTTGTGATACACTGAAATCTGGGAACCTTCTAATTTGAGATTGGTTCTACCATCAATGGATAAGAATTGTCTGCTTTGCTCGTCAATGTTGTTGAAATTTATCCACATCTGTATAGTGAAAGACTTGAATATTGTATCTGAAGATAACTGAAATGTTACAGATGAAGTGTCAAGTTGTATATGGGAATCATCTTTCTTATGAGCAAAACGGATCAACCTTTCCGTGTACAAGTTACCGACACCGGAGTCTTTGAACTCCAGTGCAGCGTTCACGAGTTGAACGAGATGTGCAGGCTTCAACTCAAGTAAAGATAAGAGGTCAAGTCTTCGAAGGATGTTATCGTTGACTTCAGGTCCTCTCATGGGCTTTAACAGTGTATCAATAAAGTCTTGTGATTCCGAGAGCGATGCCATGTTCTGTTTAGAAGATTCGACAAGTCTCTCCAGTATTTCTAATATCAACGTCCCGGTAGTCAGATCACCAGTTTCGTCAACAAACAGTAGAATGATAGCACACAAGTCAGGCTCAACGAGATTACAAGTATCGTCACTCAAAGCGCTGAACCTTTGATAAAAGTCATCAACCAACGGGATGATACATTCGTCATCAGTTAAACAGTCCGAGAATGGTTGAACGTATTCCAGCAGCTCACCTCCCGTTTTACCATCAAACGTCAAGGCGTTCGTTAAGAGGATCAGGGCGATGTCACTCGTTGAGACAGTTTTCGGCTGTTGTTTGTCATACTCAGCCCTCAATGACTCCACAATCTCCTGTGGGGTGCCTTCAAGCAAAGAGGTGTACAGATCAGCGATTTCGTCACTTATCACCATTTGTTAGACGATGGATAACACCGAACAATCTCTTCAGATATCAACAACAAAGTACAAAGGGTAAAACTATAAGGGAAAAAAAGGTTTGATGGGAAGATGGGAGCTTACGTCTTCCTAAAGCCTCATCATGGCGTAACTAAGGCGATATTTAGAACAGCCTGAGTAGTCCAGGAATAATTTCCATGCGCGCCCACAGGCCGAAAAACACACACACACAGAGAGACTACGCCAACCTTTAGGTCAGTTGTGATGATGTGGTTTTTCCCTCTGCAGTTGGCCTGGCTCCCAGTTATGAACAGCTCGAAATCCTGTGGAAGATGAAACGACCGAGACTTTGCCCGGCTAAAGTCGTACTTGAGCTTATACATCCAAGTAAGATTGTACCTCACTTGATGAAGCACCCGAGGTCTGTAAGCGTCTAACACAAGCTGGCTTCTTTGAACGCATATTGGCGGGAGTTAATACAGAACCCAGTTGGAGAGACTAGAGATTACATAAGCGAGACTAGGTAGTATAATAGTGATTTGTATTTTGCTGTAATAAATAGAACGAGAGAATCAAGGCCCTCTGTTATATATATATAAATATAAAAAAGAGGAAAACACACACAGTCATATGGACGATGAATGTGGGAAAATAAATAAGTGGTGTTATAATAAATATCAAGTCATGCTGGTAAGTCCCTTAACGGTACGGAGTGTCGTAATCCAAACAGTACTGAATCTCTTGTTCCCATTTGTCACCATTGGCCAACAACTTTTCCTTATTGTAGAGCAACTCTTCTCTAGTTTCGGTTGAGTACTCAACGTTAGGAGTCTCGACAATGGCGTCCACAGGACAGGACTCCTGGCACAAACCACAATAAATACACTTTGTCATGTCAATGTCATACTTGTAAGTTCTTCTGGAACCGTCGAGTCTCTCCTCAGCCTCGATGGTGATGGCTTGTGCTGGACAGATGGCTTCACACAACTTACAAGCAATACATCTCTCTTCACCGGATGGGTAACGTCTCAACGCGTGCTCACCACGGAATCTTGGGGAGATTGGACCTTTTTCAAAGGGGTAGTAAATAGTGTATGGAGCACGGAAGTACATTTCTAACACAATGTACATACCACGCAACATCTCGGACAGCAAGAAGAACTTCATCGCCTTGTCAATGGCGCTCTCACTAGATTCTTCCCATGTCTTTGGTGCTGGGATACGGAAACCTTGGGGATATGTGGATTCAACAGTACCGGCGGCAGCCAATGAAGGCTTGAGAATACTAGAGGTACAAGAGAATGGACGTACGAGAGGAACAACTCCAGGGAGTCTCGTACGAACAGAGCGTGTGAGGATCCTGTTCAACATTTCTTTTTTCTGCTTCTTTGGTTCTTCTCCTTATTTGTTGATGTTGTTGTTCTTTCCTCCTCTCAACAATTTTAAGGAGTTTCTGATGCTTACTCGTTCGCTTTTGATTGGAGCGAGGGAAAAAAATTCTTACCGAGGTGTAGACGCCCTCGGATCTCACATTTCGTCAGCGGTATCCCGCGCGCTCACATACAAAAGGGCGCTTGAAAATTCTTCAACTTCTACTCTTTAGCCAACGAGCGCTTTTCCCTTTTTTCCCTTCTCTATTGTACCAAGAACTCGTATTATTGTAGGGTATCAGTGACTTTTCTTCAAGGCTGCTACTCTCTACAACGAGTTCGAGAGAAGACCATTAACATTGGGTGGTGTTCCTAGCTGGAGCGGGCGTGTGGAAACACTTTGATACGCTATATCGAAGAGTCTTCCGATGGCGTCATCTCCTTACCAAGGATCGAACATTTTTATACTTTAGCCGTTGAAAAGCTACAGGGCTTTAGAAGAGCATTGTAAAACTGTCCCATAGTATTGGATAACGGAGATCCGTCTCTCGAACGTGATGAATACAGCGGAAAAAAGCCCTCATAAACTCATAATTTAAACAAAAGAATAACAAACGAAGTATATAATATTAAGCTGCTTGAGCCTTCTTGGCCTCCTCCTCTTTCTTTCTGGCCGCCTCGTCTTGTCTCTTCAACATGGCGGTGTTCCAACCTTTGATTTCATCACTTTGCTCAACAAAGTGTGCAAATGGGTAGGATGGGAGGGTCTTCAATGGTGTATCCTCAGTAATCAAACCAAGATCGATTTGACGTTGAATGAGACCGTCCAAGTATGGCAAGAGGTGATCTCTCATTGCTGTGAAGTTCTTGTACTTGATGATGTCTTCTGGAGCCTCGTAGAAGATCTTCTTCAACAAGGATGGGATGAGTGGCTCATCCTTCATCTCCTCGATGGAGTAGTAGACAGGGTGGTTTGTGAAGATAATAGCCTTGGTCTTTGGTAGTCTTCTCACAGTTTGACGCTCAACACGGATGTTGAACTTACGCTCATCAACGCTCGAATCGACCGTCTCGCCTTTCTTCAAAGCGTAGACGTTGGAACAGAGCAAATTGTGATCCCAAGTACAGTACCAGGAAGCTCTTTCAACAGGATCAGCAGCAGTGGTCTTTGAGAACCATCTCTCCATGGATTTTTTCAACTTGGACTCGTAGTATGGAACCTCAGAGTGGATGAAGTCCAAAGATTTTCCAATCTTATAGCTAATACCGAAAGAGCCACCTGGAAATGGGACAGCAGCAGCAACAAGGTAATGGTGACCATCTGCACGCTTTTGAACAATATAGAAATCTTCCTTAGCCATCTTGGTGACGTAGATCAGGGGGTGATCTTTCAAAGGCATAGAGAAGTCGAGGACTTCGCCAGTCAGTTCGTTCTTAACGTGGACACCGTTGTCCTCGGATGTAAACAACAATGGATATCTCTTCAGCATGTGATCTCTCACTGTCTCCATAAGCTCGATACAAGCATCTTCAGACTCTGGCAGCCAATCAATGTTATCCTTACCGTATTCGTGGTAGATACGTTCCTTCTCTTGGATGTAATGCCAGTAATACTTGTCCATGTCCAACCAGTGGTTAATGTCAAGCTTGAAGATGGACATCGTTTGATGGTATGGCCATCTGAACGGTCTCCATGGTCTGTCATCGTAAGTTTTGACCTGTTCTGGGGTGATGTACAATGGAGTTGGCTGTGGAGCTTCAGCATCCACATAATAAGCTGCTTTGACTGGAACAGCAGAAGGTGGTTTCTTGTCAGCAGCAGAACCTGATGACTTGTTTAAAAGTGTTATCAGTGGCTTGTATGCAACAGCTGCAAGCAAAAGAGCCACGAGGACCACGATAACTGGATCCATTTTGAAGGTAGTGCAATAGTCTCTGGTTATCAAGTATACCTCTTAACATCATATCCACCACAACAAAGGGTGGCCCGTCCCTTTTTATAGATCAACACTGATAAACTCAACAGCAGTCCACATGATCCTATGGTTTACCCAAATCTGGCAATGATAGTCCCCCTCTATGTATCTTTAGCACTCATTCTGGCAAAGAAACCCAGCATTTTATCAGTTGCAAAATGCAGGGACGCTTTTCCCCAATCGGGAAATTTCTTAGTTGATAACACTTCTAAACCACACACGGAATCGTGAGAGCCTGGAACGCACACACACAGAGTCAGAGAGGGAAAGGTACATCAGTTATTGGAAACAAAATGGGCCCATTACTAGGGCGAGGCTAATATGTGGTAGGCAGTGATTGGTGATTGGCAGTTCTCTGATGAACTGATTTTATGGCTCTGAAGTTCTCTTTTGTTGGTGTTATGGCCTTGTTGTTGTATGCTTTTGATGGCTCCTTATCGCACTGTTGCGCCTTTTGAATCTCGGTGCGATTTTCTTGGTTAGTGACACAACGACTAACAAGCTCTGACCGAATTGATCCTGTCCATTAGTCCTGACCAATGATCCAATGCTGGGGATTATACGTTGGCCAATTGATATAAGGTTTTGTGATTAGGATCGGGGCTGCCACTAAACAGCCATAAGGCTTTTCGGATTATACTCGTTTAAGGTAAAAAGAACACTATTAGGAATCCGAGTATCATTTACTCATTGAGACTCTTAGGGGTACATTTCATTATCGAATCATCAGTTCACCGGGTTAACAAACCGATATATAATAATGACCCATTCCTTAGATGATGTAACTGACTAAGTATTTGGTTTTAACTGTGGCCGTAATGGTGACTCCATGACTTCTATACAACATTCTAGGCAATGTGCGCACCAAAATTTTAGCGTTTTAGCTTAGTTATATGAAGCAGAGGCCCGTAACACAACCTCTTACAGGTTAAAGGTTAGGACTTTAAACGCATCAGCGTAAATTCCAGTACTTCTTTTACAACTCTCTTACCCAATAACACTGCTGTACATCATTGAAACGCTGTATCACTCCAAGACTTTATTCATGTCGGGTCTATTAACATAACCATCACCGTGAGATTCAAAATAGCGCTAGACAACGCAGTGAATTATTCTACACTCTGGTTTTCAAAGTAACGTACAAATTAGAAACTTCTTACATAAAACAAGTTGCAAAGTATATCCCATGAAGCATACTTGAAAGATGCTCTTTGAAACCGATGGATTGATATGATAGGTAAGTAGTGGTCATGAAAGTTTTTTTGATGATTGTAAACAAATCACAATCTTCTACCACGACGACCACCTTTTCTTCTAGTAGAGTCAGATGGAACTGGGGTGACATCCTCAATTCTACCAATTCTCAAACCGGATCTAGCCAAAGCTCTCAAAGCGGATTGACCACCTGGACCTGGGGTCTTGGTCTTAGTACCACCAGTAGCTCTCAACTTGATGTGAACAGCAGTGATACCAACCTCCTTACACTTAGCAGCAACGTCTTGAGCAGCCAACATAGCAGCGTATGGAGAGGACTCGTCACGGTCAGCCTTGACCTTCATACCACCAGTAACACGGGAGATGGTTTCCTTACCAGACAAATCGGTAACATGGACGAAAGTATCGTTGAAAGAAGCGAAGATTCTGGCAACACCAAAGACTTGGGAGCCATCACGGACTTGAGGACCGAGGGTAACGTTAGCTAATTTGGAAATGTTAGTACTAGTTACAACCTGAAGGGAAAAATGCATCAAAGAGAAGTCTTCTCGCTGACAGTGCGAGCCAGTTGTAGACACAATTCTTGAATGATAAACCATAGGTCAGTTAAGCTCATTTAGTGCTTGCTGTTGCATAGCTTTTTCTTTGAAGTCTTTTGTGGTCATATACCCTTCAATAATTGAGCAGAGCTTGAAAAATTTTCGAAATACAATGTTCTCATTCTTCGTTTTGTCAAACATCCTCGACGACTCTCTTAGCACTGTGTCAGTTGTTACCATGAACATACCAGAAGCCATCTTTAGTGATCTGTTGTGTTGGTGATGTTTTAACTGTTAACGAGTTCAGAACCATTGAAAAAGTTTTGCGTGAGTTTCAGTCCGAACGACAAACTTTTCGATACGGGGACACATACAGAAACAGGGCTGCATAACCATTTGCGTGGTGACGCGAATATTTTCTTGAAGCCCTATTGATAGGCACGTGATCAGGGCTCCATGTTAAAGTCACAAACTGGGAGAATAGTTGGACGGAGGGTAGTTCATGTTAGCGTATTAGGATAGTGGTAGTAGTTCAGTATAGCGAGAGTAAATGGCTTATTTCGGTACTTCTGAGGGTCATTGCGAAGATATTTTAGTTATGTTCTTTCAACGATGGTATAATGTATATTGGAAACTCTTTTAGAGTCTACAATACTGACAATGAGTCTACAAGTTGAATGGTCATTAAAAGTACAGATTTGATTGTATCTTGTAGTGAAGATATAACGTTTAGTAAACGAAACCCAAGATCTTACCAGAGACGTGTTTTCTTCTGGCCTCTTCGTGGTCCATGATACCAGCAGAAGTGGTCAAGATAACGTAACCGAATTGTCTAGCTGGCAACAAGTTGTCGGTCCACTTCTCAATGTCACCAATTCTAACGTTGAATCTTGGAGAGATGACACCAACCTTGTTCAAACGACCGTTCAATTGAACAACGATCTTACCGGATCTGTGGTCGTCAATGTACTCGAACTCACCAATGTAACCGTGCTTTTGGATAACTTGCAAGAACTTGATGATAACCTTAGAGGATGGTCTGATGATGACCTGTCTCTTACCGGTCTTCTCGGCGTTGTTGATGGCGTTCAAAGCGTCAGCAAGGACGGATGTTCTAGTCATTTTGTTTGGTGGTTAGTGTCTCATCTATTGCACTGCTTAGTGTCCGTGTTGGTTGAAAAATTTGAAAAATCCATCCAGTGCACAGAGTCTTGATAATGTTGCACAAACCAAACAGGAGCCCTAATATCAGGCACATGATGGTCCTGTATAAGCCCTAAGATAGTTCAAAGTCACATTAGAACATCCGTACACACATAGTTAAGACCTTAATGCCAACCGCAATTTTTACCGGTTCGGACCACAGACCACACCGAAGAGCCATGCAAGTTTTGTGAAAAAGTTCAACACTTCGTTACCAAACACCACAAGATTAAAGACTAGCAAGAAAGTAACAATGCCTGTATGTATCATAAAGAGCCCGTACTTTGGATGAGGTATTTGTATTCATTATCAGGAAATACCGTATGCGGAAACGTTTGAGGTCATTTGTGGGAACAGAGATTGAGAGTTGTTCTGCTGAGTAGAGTTGAACCAAACAGATACAGTCATAAGGTTAAGAACGCAAGTGAAGGAGATACTTTGGCATTATCAACATTTTCGAAGCTTCAAACGGTTGTACACTAGTGGTTTTGGAGGCGTGAGAAACTGCACAACTCTCGCCCATGGAGCACCCAAATGAATACTTAACCTCCCAAGGAAGAATTCTTGAACATGTGTACTAACTCATACTCTAGTCTCAAAAATCTTTCAAGACCAAGCAAAAATTGGCCAAGGCTCAAAGAACCAACCGTCCATTGCCACAATGGATCAGATTGAGAACCAACAACACTGTTCGTTACAACGCTAAGAGAAGACACTGGAGACGTACTAAATTGAACATCTAAGCGGAATGCTACCTTAGAGTTCAATTTATTAATCACATCTTTAAAGTAACCTTCTTCTCACTTTGTTTATTTGGATGCTGAAGCTCTTCTGAACTCTTGAAACACAGTTTAATGATCCTCTAAAAGAGGGATAGGATTGGTATTAAAAGGGGATATCTTGTTGAATTTTTGGCTAAAGAATATACAAAGCATGTACAATGTTATACGGAAACCGAAGTGTAGAAACTAGATCTTATTACCGCAGTGTCTGTAGATATAAACCCACGTTCATGAATATACCAGAACTTGAGTTATTAATATAACGTCTTCTATAAACTAGATTATTGGCCGTATGAAAAGGTTGCCCTGGAAAGTTATGAGCATTGCCTTTTTGTCAGTGGGCTTTCTCATTCCCCCAAAAATGAAAAAAAAATTCAAAGAGAATCTTTCCCAACCGTACAAGCTCTTTTCAGAAAGGCAGGAAATGAAAGCACTCACACAGTCTAGTTATTCTTCAGGTGAAGAATTGCTGGAGAGCAGGTAAAGATACACATATAGGAAGCCATGTTCAATATGATGAATGAAGAAAAGAGATAATTTAAGCTAGATAGTATATGATCATTTGTGATTTCAACTCTTGGATTTTATAAAGCTTCTGATTGAAAATTTGGCCTCTCCAATGTTGCGTACTTCTCTACTTACTCACCACATAATGACTAGATCTGGATACTATGCAATTTCATGGTTGTCAATCACCTTTTCCTCTCCCTGAGAATTAGCATGGGGTGGGAATGGTCAGACGTGCAATAACAATATGTGCAGAAATTTTCATCGTCACTATTCATCCGTGAAAATTCTTCTGAACATTCTCAAATGAATTGTAATCATGGTTTATGATCATTCAGCTTGTCCATGAAACAGTTCGGTAGATGAACGATCACCGAATATGTCGTCTGGAACCGTTGAATGATCATCGGGTAGAGCTGTGAGGCGTTATGTGATCGACGATTTGACGTACACCACGGACCATTCGTTTCAGTTCAACATACAAGGAATCGTTCTCTCTGCTTTTGATGAGTGCTCAATGGCAACAGTCACATTGTGATCAGAGAGCCATGTACGGTTTGCGCAATTTGTTCTGACCCAGTTCTACAATGCTGTACCGCTGATCCATATCTCGAGTTCACCGGAATCATCAATATGACATACAGTCATTCAAGCTTGTACAGTTCTTACCGTGATGATTTTAGTTGTAGTTGATAACTGTACGTGCGTGGTATAGTCATTGAATTCGGCTAATTTATCCACGCAATGTTCAAGAGTTAGGGTTACACAATTGTACAATGGCTATGAATGATCATCGTCGTAATCAGCTGATTATTTTAGAATTCCATCCAGGATTAAGTTACCATGGATTCATAGCCATAGTCCGCAAAACACTCTTCGCACAAACACACATGAAGGTAAAGGGAAATTACTTAAGTTAACACCCGCTTTTGCAGTTACTAAATGTTGATCAGCCAGCCATTGACCAAGAAGCAGTGCAATCATTTCGCTTAATCTTAGGGCCGATTATAGTTTTAATCCACTTTAAAGATCGGCTATGGTCAGGATTGCATGATATACCACGGGCTTAGGATTTGTGAACCTGCTGCGTAACATGGCTGTAGATACTCAAAATTAGGAGGTAGTCACGTACAGATATGATCAGTGGTAACTACATCAGACATTACGTTGTGACCAGAGAGCATTGCATGGCGAGAGCAGTTATACAAGCCTTTGTATTGCAAGAATCGGCAATCTTCTTCGGCGTATGACCTCTGGAGTAAACAGATTAAGGCCAGTATTCAAATATTTTGGACTTCTAGACACTTATTTTCCAAGCCGTATCTCTTAGGCCCTCAATCCCATCCAAGTGTGGTCGAAGAAAGAACGAATGGAAACACTGTAGTGTCCGTTCAGCCCAACTGTTTACCATGTACCATGAATAGTATGAGTGATATTGCATGCGACACACCGTTGGAATTGATGCCTTGGTCTACATGTGCTTCTATCCAAGGCTATACTCTAATCTCTAGACCAAACAAAGGTGCAGACGGACGAAAGCGGTAATCAGAGATAGCACCTTTAATCGTATATGCACAAGAAGGTATGAGTGTCTTAAACTGTGAAGTGCAAATGTCTTAGACACTAAACATGTCGATGGAATGTTATGTACACCTGCAAATCGAGACGGTATACTTTCGTGGTGCAATTCGATTTCTGACCCTGGTTTTGATTCCAAATGGAAGAGCTTGACCAAACTTAAACCGCACACTCTGCTGAGTTGTAAAAATCAAAAGAACACCGGAACTTACTACATTTCAATAAACAAAGAATAACAAAAGCCACTCGAATCAATAACTGCTCAGCTATGGCAGCTCATATCGTTTTATTGTGCTATTCGGTGACCTTACAGATCGACACATATGCAAATTGATCCTCAATTAGTTCTGCGTTGTAAGAATGTCGATCCATATGCAACGCCCAGTTGTGTATTACAGTAGGTAACTCAAGTAACGAAAGTAATAAAAACTCTAGAACGCTATTAACAGCCACATGATCATAATCAAAGATGGCCATACCCAACAACACAAAAGGCAGTTGATCTGCGGAGAGGCGCTATGCAGCCTACAGTTACTGTAACAACAAAGCAGTAGGGCGGAATGTAGAGGGGCAACAGGAACAGTGCAGTTGAAAATTGTGATCACAGTTCAGGATCAGAATTTTCGCTAGCGAAGATTGTCGTTTCTCGAAAACAAAAGCAAAAAAAAATCAAAACAAATAAATAACAGGGAAACTGTCTCCTTTGCTCAAACATTGGCTTCTCTAATAACGAGGCAAGGGACACGCTATTTCAGCACTCCTTGCTATTTTGAAAGGTCAGAACAATACGGGCTGGCTGCTACCATTAAAAGAAGCCTCAGTTATTGAAATAGTCGGTTACTTGCTCAACAGATCCACGTGAAGCAGGAAAAGAAAACAAACATCGCCGCCGTTTCTCTCATCAACTGTTCGCTTGAATTTATTGTACCAACGCTCAAGACCTTGACTATTTGATCGTTCAAGTCACCATCACTGGATACATTGTGTGTGTGTGACACAGTCAAAGTACTTTGAGATTTGGATACTTTCTCTGCGTTTTTTTTGCCACGCTTAAATGATTACGCGTCGCTCACAAGAAATATCAACAAATATGGAGTCTGATTCTAGTATTCCTCTGGACTCGAAGAAACGGGTCCTGAGCGAATCAATGCTCTCTCCTCAACTGAAAAGTTCAGCCTATGGATCGTTTGGTGGTGACTGCATGGAGGGAGTACAAGTAACTCCTAAGCATAAGACCGTGTCCATGTCTTCTCAAGGATCCCAGGGGCTGAGAAGAAGTGTTGGACTCCTGAATCTAAGCATAGAGTCATCGCCTAAGAGAAATACTTCAAAGTCGAAAATATCTCTTTTGAAACAGAAAGTGTCGGATCAGGAGATGGAGGATACAAATACCGACGTTGAAAACTGGTCACCTTTTAGAGAACCGTCAACCCCTACGATATCTAAGAATCAGCTGAAGAGAGCTGCTAGTAATAGCAGTACTAGCCTTTCGCCTTTTATAAATGACTCACAGAGACCGCTCATATTTTCATCCTCGAAGAACAATGGGACACTGGAAGGTGGACGCACTTCGATTCAAACAAAATTGAACAAACTTAGAAAGATGGTGTCTTTGGATAGAACAAACTTTGGGTCCGAATGTTCACAATCATTACCAAACGCATCAATTCATTATCTTGACAATAAGGAGAACTTGGAATCTCCATCAAATTCACCTTCAAAGCATGTGAGACAGAAGCAAAAATTAGATAAGCCAACGAACAAGAACTTGGCTACCTTGACTGCTGAGGAGAAAGAAAACGAATACATCACTCCAAACTCTTACAAGTTTGTGAAACCTCTTCAGACAGCTTTTATGTCTTCTGGGCTGTTAAGCAAGAAGAATAGAACGCTATCTGAATCCTTCCATCCTCCCGAAACACCATGCAAAAGGCCTCTTCAACTCAACATACAATCAACAGCACAGAGGCAAACACTACCATCTTCAAACTTGGCAAATGTCATAACTGCAAGCTCTCCAATGATTAATGAAAACCCTATCTCAAGATATAACGAAGAAGAATATACCCAAAGCTCACCATATGCCTCCCCATCTGTTAATGCCACCAATAGCATCAACTGCAATAACGACTCTAATATTTCGAGGTCAGCTCGTGCACTCAATACGAACGGTCTAAGGGACTGTTTATGGAAATTTGCAAGCGATTTCGATAATAGCAACGAGTCAATTTTTGAAGATGATGAACCATCAACGCCAACGAAACTTCGTGCTGCTAAAAGAGCATTGGTCAAGAACCTCAAACTCGATGTTTCGGATATTAGCACCAGTGCAACTTCAGCGGAATCACCGAAGACACCCCATTATAATATGTCGGTGTTTTCTGAATCGAGTGATTTTTCACACCTTTCAAACGTTCCAAATTCGATAATTGACGATCATTTGACATCGAAATTTGAGAATGTACAATTTGTCGGTTATGGTGAGTTCTCTAACGTTTATGAGATCACTTTCCAAGGTGTAAAGTATGCTGTGAAGCGTATAAAGACACCATTCTTAGGACCAAAACGCAGAAAAAGGATATTCGAAGAGGTTGAGTTGTTGAAGACATTGCAAGAGAACGCTCCAAATGACGGTGAAGGTAAGGAATATGTCATTAACTTCATCAACGAATGGGAGCACAGCGATCTCTTGTATATCATGACAGAGTTCTGTGAGAATGGACCTCTAGACAAATTTTTAGCTGATAGTGGTAAACTGTCCAAGCTTGACGAATGGAGAATTTGGAAAATCATGGTTGAAATTGCCATGGGTCTGAAGTATATCCACTCATGTGACATCATGCATTTAGATTTGAAACCTGCCAATATCTTCATTACCTTTGAAGGCTCTCTAAAGATTGGTGATTTTGGAATGGCTTCCAAGTGTCCTGTGGGCAAAGGATTTGAACGCGAAGGAGACAGGGAATACATCGCACCAGAGATTATCAGTCAATCCAAGTACGATAAACCAGCTGATGTATTTTCATTTGGGTTGATTATGGTTGAGATTGCGGCAAACATTATTCTTCCAGAGAATGGTGTTCAATGGCACAAGTTGAGATCCGGGGATCTGTCCGAGGCAGGACGATTGAGCTCTGGCGATCTGAACAACAACCTATTCAACGATTCCATGAACTCCAGAATGTCCACATACTCGTCTCCTTTCAACATCACCGCATTGACCGGCTCGTCCTATTCATCTGTGGGTGAAAACTTCAAGAAGTTCCCACCTTGGACGCCCAAGTTCTTAATCGACGGTAAAGGTGCCCTCGACAAGATTGTCCAAAGGATGATCAACCCAATTCCTGAACAGAGACCTACAGCGTTGGACATCTGTAACACACTAGAGGCACAGTTTGTTGAAACGAGAAGAAAGGCCGGCGCAGTAATCTACGAAGGGGAGTATGGCCCACAGCCAGACGCCGAGGAGGACGCATTGATGAGTAGCGAAGTCAAGAATCTCAACTTAGGCTTCTCTTCGCCTCTGATCGCCATCACAAGTGATCTCATGGACCCCGATGAGTGGTGAACGCACTCCTCACATTTATACCTCCACCACCACCCCCACCTTATGAACCCGCTTGCTTCTACTTAGCATCACTTATTAACGATTTAAAGAGACGATTCCATTATTTTTTCATGTACACATCCAAAGCTGTTAGGTAACCACAGAGATACAAATGATGAGCCTGCTCAACTACCCCGTAACCATAGCGTCCCTTACATCCACCATGGCTGTGTGCTATGCGTCGTAGCATAGATCGTGCGGGAAATTTGCGTGTGTGTGCTTTGCTTACCGTTTGCGGCTCTTTTCCGTTTCCGGCAAATGGGCACCGCTGTTCCCCGTGGGTTGTCGGGAAACCCTTGGATGGGCTGGGCCGAAATCTCCTTCGAACGTGTGGGAAGCGGGAAAAAATTGAACATCACACACACTGCACCTGACTTCCAGAGGGTGTACAATCGGAACAAGTTATCGAGGAAACTGTTCATAAGAGAGCTTCTGTTCGGGATACCATCAAGGCTCTACTGTTGTAGAAACATAGATATATCCTACTTGTCTTGGAATTCCACGCCGCAGGCTACAATTGTTATTCTTTTACCGCCAGCGCTGATTATTGATTGAGGATAGCCAAAAGGGGAACGAAGCGACCACCACAATGGCAGAACAACCACTTGAGAGAACGCAATATGCGTCGTCTATCCTGGTGGCCCATAAGCCAATAGATGCCACCGAGATAGTCAGGGTCAGATTGAGCCAGGCTAAGCTTCTCAATGACGAGTTCTCCAACTTCTTCAAGAAGTACTACCAGATTAAGTCCGATTACTTGGACGAACTGACCGCCCTCGTGAAGAGCTCACAGGATCTGAACAAGAACATCGAACGTGGGATTCTTGAGAATAATGTGCTCTCACAGGAGGAGTTGCAGTACTACAACGTCGACGCCATTGGCCATCTCTCTGAGATCTGGAACAAGATCATTGCAGAGATAAGAGATGAAATCTCCGCCAACAACACCCTAAGAAGGGTTGTTGAGGGTGAGGTGATCCATCCACTGACGTCTTATACAACCAAGAATCCTCAGTGGAGTGAGATGAGAGAGATGCACGCAAAGTTGAAAGAAGTGGCTCAAAACATCGAGTTCTCACAGGAGAAAGTTGACAAGTACAGACCAAACCCTGCAAAGTTCCAGGAAAAGCTCGACAAGTACGAAGATCAACTACAAAAATCTAGTGATGCCTGGGATGTCCGTGCGCCTTATGTCTTTGAAGTGTTTGAGAACACTGACCTGAGCAGACTGAACTTTCTAAGAGACAGCTTGTTGAGATTTATCACTGCTTACACTGACTCTTTGAACAAGATTTCTTCAAGCAATGAGAAGACCCTTGAAACAATCTTGAACTTCAACCCGGAGGTTGAGATTGAGAGATTTGCCAAAGTTTCAAGTGAAAGCACCTATATTCCAAAATCTGCAAGAGAAGCTGCTGAGTCCCCAAGACCTCCTCAATCTTCTTCTTTCAACGGAAATGCTGGCACTGCCACCCCTACTCGTTCTAGTACCAACAAGAACCACATGTCTTCAATTGCAGGCTCCGCACTCGGTGCAGCCTCTATTATGACAGGCTCAAGTTCTGGTAAGGATGAGAAGGAGAAAGGCAGACGTAGAACAAAGTTGAAATCTAAAGTTGGCTCAATCTTTGGTAAAAAGAACAAGAAGAATTCAAAGATAACACCGCTTGATGATGACATTCCAGAGTCAGAAACATCATCTCTGAATAACTCATTCAGAGGTCCAGTGGGAAGAGAAAGTAGAGCTTCTTCCTTCATGGCTGTTCCATCCAAGTCCTCGGCACCATCACATTTGAACCACTCTTCTTCAAACCTGAATATGCAACAACAGAAGCAAACGGCTCAATATGCAAGAGAGACGTCGCCACAGGGTCAACAGACATCACAACCACAGCAACAGCCTCAACAGCAGCCGTTGCAGCCATCCTCTTATAAACAAGAGCCATTGCAGCCTACACATGGTTACCAGCAGGCCAAGCCAGTCCAGAATGTTGCGAAGGACGTGACCACTCCATTCTCCATCAACCAAGAGCCATTGAAGCCGGCTACTGTTGGCCAACCTTCTTCAGCTTCTTTCTCAGATGTTTCTTCTCATATCAACGACACACCTGTGGATTCTCAATCCCCACAATCTTTCGACAACCAGGAGCAGCACAGAGCTCCTCCTCCACCTCCATCGAGAAAGACTGGCGGATTTGGTTCTCAAAACTTGTCAAATATTCGTGAGGATGCTCCTTACAGCTTTGACAATACGGCACACCCACCAAATGGTAACTCCATCTCTCACCAGGTGCCACATGGTTCTTTACCAGAGCCACCAGTGGCCAGACGTGATATTCAATCTGGGTTGTTTACGAACTTGAACGCTGCTGATTATGAAGCGAACCAAAACAAGCGTCTTTCAAGCTACAACAGCTTTGCATCAATTCCTCAACTGCGCCCACAGAATACTGGTTCTTCTTTGTCAACCACAGGATTGTTCCAACACCCTGACATGGTCTCTCCAGGATTGAACGCATCCATTGTTGAAGTTGTCAATGCAAAGTTCAAAGATGGTGAACAAGTGTCTTCTCAAGTCTTGGGTGAAGTTGCGTTCAATTATCAAGACGACGGTGCTGCTATGCCTTCAAAAACCAATGTCAAGATTTCCGGTGCTGAATTATTTGGTAAGATCATTACAAACCAACAGTTCCTGAAACAGATTGATTCTAATGAGTTTGAAATCAGTCCAAGTGCTATCCGTGAGCGTACCGTTGGTGGCTTGAAGTATTCTTTGAAAGACACTGCTGCACCACTGGTTGTTCTCCCAGTGTGGAGATTTGAACCACATCAAGCAAGTGTGATGTTGACGATCAAATTAGCACCTCACGTTGCGTCACAACTCGGTGACGGTGAATCTGTTGAGATATCTGATTTGGTTGTTGCTGTCTCCATCGAGGGCGTTGCCAAATCAGCTCTTTCAAAACCTCAAGGTACTTTTAACAAGGACAAGTCCAGAGTCTCTTGGAGATTCAAGGACCCAGTGAAGCTCACCGCTACAAGTGATCAAAAGCTCGTTGCAAGATTCATGACTGATCAGGAAGCAAAGGAGTCTGATAGAGGCGTTGTTCTGAAGTTCACCATTAATGACACAGCCAGTGCACAAGCCACGCTGTCTAACTTGTCCATCTCTGCTCATCAGTATGACGAGGAGGATCCGTTTGCACAGGAGGAATGGGCTCCTGTGCCATGTTTCAAGACAGTCGTAGCCGGTAACTATAGTGGTTTAGCTCAATGATGGGCCCTGATTTGTTGTTTTATAAAATTTTGTTATTATTAAAGGAAACGTATAATTGATTAGTATGGAAAACGTGTTTGAATACAAGATCTGATGGAGTAGAAATTCATGAAATGTTATAATTGATTGAATAGATCTGTCATAACAGGCAAACAGCATATGATCGTAGATGATTTGAAACGGTCAAACACCAAGGCTGAGGTTTCCAAACATTATGGAATTGGTAGACAATGATAGCGATGAGTGAGCAGAGCTTAGGCTCTGCTTCCAGAATGGTTCATCTAGTGTGGAGTACTGGGAGAAACAATGGTGAGCGACTGATCTTGATAAGTTCAACAACACTGAGCTTCTGCGATTCTTGGTCTTTAGGCATTTGACAACCTCTTGTGCTGTTAGTCGCTTTGTTTGAGAGTCTCTTGTGAGCGATGAGGATAGCTCCAATGCAACTTTTTTAATCTTGGAAACTTCCCAATCGCTGTAGTGTCTCAAATGCTCATCACCGTAGAACCTCTTAGTCTTATGCTGCTGCTGCTGCTGCTGCTGCTGCTGTTTCTGCTGCTTATTCGATGAATGCTGTGTGGCTCTTGTGTCATGCTCACTATCCACATGGTCATTCTCCATAAATAGTCGATCATCAACACCCCAGGACGCCATCAGCCTTTCGCTCGTAACATCTGACGTTCTATGGAGGGTGTTAATCAACTCCCTTGCCTGTTCCTTCCTCCAGCGCTCGATCCTGCTGGTTATATACTCGTCCTCGATAACGTCGCCTAAGCCATCGTCATCCTCAAAGCTGGCATGGTCAAAGAGGGACTGTCCTATCGGGACGTCTAGTCCCAAGGGCGCATGAGCAGAACCCAAAGTGTCAATCAAAGAATCATCGTCATCGTCATCGTCGTCGTCTTCTTCAACTTCATCGGTCTCTCCGAGATTACTGGTGGATAACACGTCATAGCACACGCGTCCCATGTCTGTTTCATCGCCCTCGTGTGGTGAAAACAAGATCCAGTCGCTATCAACCCCTGACGAGCTCAACTCGTCGTACCGTTGAGCTGTCGCGGTTTCCGTGGCCACGGAGGTCGAAGGCGTTCTCTCCCTCTGGATACGCGTTGCCGTGATATTGGTGTTCATAGTGCTCAAGCAGCGACTCAGTCTCGTTCCGCCCCGTCAAAGATCTCCTTGTAGGTGTTCGATACCGTGTTGAAACTCGCGGATACCAAGGGCGTATATAAATGGTCTGGGTGAGGTACAAATTCGCAATAAATTCGAGACCCGCACGCCTACGCACGTAGATAAGACGCAATGCTGGTATTTGTATGTGTGTCACGTTCTGCTGACCTGTAGAAGGGAGCTGATAAGGAAAAGAAAATGTCTTTTGTATAGCCAATTGACTCAGTGAACAGCAGGGGGCGAGGCAGGAAGCAAGCGTGGAAGCCTTGTTAATATGACGAAGATCTGTTGTACCAACCCAAACTATTAAATGGCAAAATGTGTCAAGACCTGTTGCTACGGAACCGTTGAGATTGCCGTGTAAACTTGCCACATTTGAGGAGGAGAAGAGCAGCTCAACAAGTCCCGCGCCAGTCTCTGCGGGAAACGGGGGGGGGGGGTGGTTGACGTTAAAACGGAAATTATTATGGGACTTTTGGCCTAGAAAGGACTAGCGAAACCCCCCAGGTCTAGGGTCTCCCCAAAAGGGAAAATTTCCAAATGAGGCAATTTACGCCTGCTTTGTTTTGTTTTGTTTTTGACTCGTCGCATTTTTCGCGTTTTTGTGGTTGTGCAAACCAATTTGCGTGGCGCCAGGTTTGTTTTGTTTAGACATAAAACGCTTTTCTCTCTTTCTCCTCTCACTCGTTGCAAAGCAGCAAATAAACAAACAATTGATCGAGAAGATGTTCAGAAACTCCGTTGCCCAGATCTCCAAGAGATCCTTCACCTCCTCCGGTGCTCGCTCTTACTTTGCAAAGGCCCAGTTCCTGGGCCGCATTGGTGCTGATATCGAGGAGTCTGTCTCAGCCAACGGGAAGAGATACGTTAGATACCCAATTGCCGTTCAAACCAACAAGGATTACCCAGTGAACTGGTTTAACATTGTTGCCTTCAGCGAGAAGCAAGTCGACTTTCTGACAAACTATGTTAAGAAGGGGTGAGTATGCTCGTTGTATCGCCGTTTTGTTGTGGCTTGATAAAGATTATGTTACTGACGCGTACGAATTAACCAGATCCCTTGTCCACGTTGATGCTGCAATTACACAGGATAGCTACGAAAGAGAGGATGGCTCTAAGGCATCCAACATTGCCTTTGTGCAGAGTATGTGACACTTGTTCTCACAATTTCCCCAAAGAAAATGGTACTAACCGTTCGAAATTAGCTAAACTCGATCTCTTGTCCTCTCCAAAATCCGAGCCAGAGGCTTAAACAGGAAGAACACTTGTGCTTGTAATGATATCTATATATGATATAACATGCTAGTGATAGTATGTGATAATATGATTTTGGATTAACTAATTGCTGATGGACTCTTCTACAGGTTTACACCAACTACACAATGTAGGGAGAGGGAAACAAACCAATACCTGCCCCTTTTGGACTTGAATGGCATATAGATGGATCACCCATTTGAACCTTACAGTTCCAAACATGCCAATAACAAAACAAAACCAATCCAATTACAATCACTATACACAACACAGTAGATGCCGAGAATTCAGTGCTTCTGCTTTACAACGTAGGAATACCCAAGTTCTCCAGAACAAGTTGACAAGGTCTCTGGCACACAGTTATAAAGCTCTGAGGAATGACTCTTTCCTGAAGTGTTATTCTCTGACTTCGCACTGTGATCAGTACCATTACAATGTGATTGGCTGGAACCTACAGCTTGCTTGCTAGAGTCTTGTTCACATAGCATTCTCAGATATTCCATGTCATCATCGTCGAGTTCGTCAAACAGTCCAGCATTACCAGAAGAGCTGATATACTCCCTGATATCGTACCTATTACCTGACCCAAGTTTACCAACAGTGATGGAAATTGGAGATCTCCCAATGGTTGAAACGTCATTATCATCCAGGGCCTTTTGCATCTCAATGTCAAATGTACTATACTCTGCGCTTGAAGATGGAGGATTCTTCCCATTAAGAGTCTTACCGACGAGCCAATCAGCTTTCAACATCATTCTCTGGGCCTTCTTACGTCTTAAGTACTCAATGGCTCCACCAAGTCCAATTCGACACAGGGCCTTCAAGTACATGTCGATGGCATCCGATCCCAGGCCAAAGAATATGAAGACAACATAGGACAGAGCCAAGTATATCCAGGTGATATAGTAAGGCTCAGAGAGTGGCACGAATGTGATAACTCCCCAAATGGCTTGGGAATGAATTATATCAAAATCATAGGTGTTTTCAACGTTGCTTAGACCATCAACAAAGATAAATAAGGACAGTGGCAGCATAACAACGGCAATGATACAGCAGAAGATGAGAAGCCTAGAGAATCTCACCAGGTTTAAGCCCGAATTTGTGCATTGAAGGATATCCTTGATATCCTTCCTCTTCTTGAAGAAGACGAAGATAATCAGCACTGCAAAGATAACACTGACAAGTGACCAAATGACCATCCACATCGAGTACAGAACAACTGTGACCCATGACAAGGAGGTAACCCCTTGACAACCAGAGTACTGAAGAATCGAGAATCTTCTGATCATCACCAAGTAGTTCAACCCCATTACAATAACTGGTGTTAGAAGACTGATTAAGAGATCCACTGCCACTTTCTTGAAGCTCTTAAGTGTGGGCAGTGCACTATCTGCTTTCAGTATCCTATACAAGTTGAACATCACCCCTGCAATGCTTGAACTTATCCCAACGTTTGCACCTACTTGAATTCTCACCATCACATCACAGTAACCAACACCATTGTACCGTGACTTGAAATCCTCACCACCCCATATGATGGCATCGATGAAAGTCTTTATATCCATTAACAGCAGCCAGCATATCAACGTTATCAGTGGTATGTTGAGGGCCTTTATGTGCCATATGAAAGGTGGAATTAACAACACAATGGCTATAGCAGCCATTGCTATGAGCGCAGCTTGGTATCCCATTCTTTCTAGAGTCAGTAGACGAGAGGTAGCGATCAAAAGAGCTGGGTTGGTTGTAGTCAATGAGACGATGGCCATCCATGTTTATAGTCTCTTCGCCTCATCAGCAAGAGTGGTGAGTTTTAGATCTATCCCATTGACTACCCAATACGGAAAGTTTTGATAACTTGCGTGGAAGAACATGTCATCATTGAGCCAAAACATGGACAGAAGATGGCATGACGACTCGAGCTTGGTCAATATAGAAACAGGACGAGCGATAATGTGCTGTGCTCTCGGCATCGCCGTTGGAAGGATTTTGGTGATGCTTTCGTCGACGTGAATGGTGGGAAGCATGGAGAACAACACACTACAGCAAGCCCCACAACTTCAAAGGTACTGTGCATTTGTATGAATATTCTATCTCAATGGGAAAGGTAAGCGTCTGTGGCTTCTCTGAACCAAGTGTATATAGTCCTTCTCATTTGCTTCTGTCAGTATTCCATGTCTGATGAGGAAGTCTATAAACACCACGGCACAGTTTGGCTTGAACATGCCCTTGTTAAGTTCCTCCAAAGCTTCGTCCAAGGTCATGAGAAAGAACTGTTCAGCTTCCATATCAACAGGGACAGGCACTGTCTCAGTGTCAAATGGTAGGTCAAAGATGTATTGAAACTCCGGCTGAACAAAACAGTCATCCTTGTCGTATACACCTGGTGTGACTTCGTAGTAATACGACATACAGCCAACAGAAACGATGTTGTCCTTCACAAATTGCTCATCCAGACCACCTTCCTCATAGCTCTCTTTGATCACGGTCTCCATGACCCCATACGGGTACCCTAGTCCACCAGCGATGGTGTTATCAAGCATCCCCGGGAAGGTCTGTTTGGTCAAGGATCTTCTGGGGATCCAGAACTCATATCCACCGCTCTTGGATACACCTGGCGGCACGTATCCATTCAAATGGATGCCATACATAACAACGCCCAATAACGGACAGAAAGACCTCTCGAGGTTCATATAAGGTACGTGCTCTGGGTAGTAGACGGTGTACAGTTCATCTCTCCAGCCTTTCAGCGATCCAATGGCACCCTGTGATCTCAATGATACGGCAACCTCGTTCAGGGCCCTGTCTCTGAGCTCAACAGTGTCCAAGGAGCTAGCAATGTACACCTTTTGGCCCTCCACGTGGAAAACCTCTGCGTAGTGCTTAAGATGAGCCGCCGTGAAGGGAGTGATGTACCCGATGACCTGTTCCCTGTCATGGGTATACAAGCTGTAGAGGACACTTGGCACCTTATCATAGGGGAAAGAGTCCAGATTCTCAACGATATCCAGCAATGCCATCTCGTATGACTCTCTGTCGCTAGTTAACGTATATCCTTGTATCGATAGAAGAAGCAGTTGAACGAGTGATTTCTTCTCGGAGGTGGAAGCCTCCTCCGAGCACCGCTGATACGACGGCCTACGCTCTCAGTGATATATTACGTGTATTGTTTTCCCTGTGGTAATTAAACAAAGAACATCAGCGATGTGATTCCAAGGACTACGTACACTACTCTCATGTCGAGCTTGAAATCCGCTGTAGGACCGGCGGCAGCACCGCTTTTGCTCGTTGAAGTAGCGGATGAGGACCCCGTTGAGGACCCCGTTGTGGTGGTGACGTCGTAACCTGTGTTTGTTACAGTGGAGAGGACTCTGTCGTAGTCACCTTCATCAGACGAAGCGCCGGAGATCCAAGAGTTAACGCTGGAGCCGCTGATGGTGGCGTTGAAGGAAGTGCTATTAGATAAGAAAACACTGACGGTACCGTCGGAGTCAAAGACAACACCACCGCTCATGACAGAGTCTGTATCTCTCAAGATCCAGCCTTGTGCCTGGATACCGGTTCCAATATCACCGGTTCCTTGGAAATCGTGAATTGTGGTGTATAGATGGTCGGTCTCTGTCCCGTTCATTACTTCAAAGATATCAAATTCACCACAGCCACTGGACCAGCACGAACAGTTTGTGTTCGAAGGGTATTGTGCGGTTCTTGGGATGTGTGCGTTCAAGAGCCAGATAGCTGGCATGTCGTAGTACTCGATAGATGTGGAGTTTTTGCCCGTAGCTGAAGGCATGGTGAACTCGAACAAGAACATCTTTGTTTCACCATAGAACCCGTGATAAGCTGGAATGCCATCTCTATACACACCGCAGTCGTTGTCGAAGCCTGACTCACCACATGTGATGTTTGAGAAGATGGAGAACTCATCGTCCGATTCGAGCTGGTTGTTCTCCTCCAGAATTGTTGATGATGAGGCCGCTGCCGTACCGTTCGAACCGGCATATGTGATTGCGTTACCGAGACACTTGGAATTATCACCATTTGGAGTCAAGAACGTCACGTTCTCAGCAATGGCATCAGCCCCGCTGTAGTAGGCCAACCTGGTCCACTCAGCAGACGAGCTCTCACCGGTGGTGAAGCTGTCGGCAACATAATACCCAAAGCTCTTCAAAGATAGCGGTCCTCTAAAGTGTACCGAGACCTCATCGTCAAGCGGCGAGTTCGGCCCGCTGAAAAGGGTTCTATCGTTCATGCTGGCCAGCTCACACTGGCAGTCGCTCGACGTGTCCAGCTGTGCAACGTGTCTGAAATAACCTTCAAATCCAAAGTTCTCAAACCCAACAACCCCGTACTCATCGTACAGTGCCGACTGGTCTGCAAGAGCAACAGAGGAGATGAGCCAAGAGCAGAGCGCTGATTGTAGTAGTTGCATCTTTCTCGGCTGTTTTCGAATCCAAGCGAGCTGATTGATCTCTTAAGCAGGTGTTTCCTCGAGAATCAAATACAACGATACACAATGCTGACAATCGTACTGACAACTGTAAACAAGGAAAAGATCAACTTTTATATACAGAAGCTACAAAATACCAGCAGGAAAAGGCCTAAGCCCACTGTATAGCCCACTTTCCTATTACGTCTGCTGCTGCTTCGGCTGTTGCAGCCGTTGCCCGCGAAACAGACTCGAGCCCTAAGCTTTCAACGGCAGATGCAGGCTGTGTTCAAAAGGGCAAAGGCGTCAGCTGCGTGTGGGCTTTGCAACGACGCTTTCGACATGGCTTGATGTGTTTTCATACATTAATGATGAGCTTGGTTTGTTTGTTCGAGCTGGACAGGTTGAATTGGGCATTGGGGGTCTGGAGGTGATGTGACGAAGTGACGAAGTAGTTTAATGATCGCGTTGGCATTGTGTGGACAAAAAGGTGGGCTGAATGTACAGTGTGCAGTCTCATTTTAGGTGCCACAGGGAGGGAGACAGTCGAACGTGATGACGTGCAAGAAGCAGAGAGGTGGTATCATGCTTAGGTCTGGATATCGATCAATTGGAGGCGATGAGCGAGAGTGAAACGGTTGGTGTCCTGAGGTCTCGCAGCTCACAGTATCATAATCAACAGCCACAGAAGAACCGCATAGAGAAGCAGTCCCAAGAAGCTCCATCCGCAGATTCGATCGTATCGACGGCCGGTTTCACAGTGCTGTTTTATGACACCGCCGACCAGCGAATCATCATTCAACTCCACAGAGAGTGCGATCTCATCTTTGTACGCCCATTCAATACTCTCGCTAAACTTGTACTGTGAATCGTCTTTGAAGGAGGCCACGAATAGCAAAAGGTTGTAGACCCACAGCAACGGACATACCGTTCCGTATAGCAAGTTCTATTGCGTTCGTTCACGTTAGAATCGATCGTATACATGTATGAATGAGAATGTTATAACTTACCCTCTCCACCTTCTCATGACCATTTCTCTTGTATACGCACCTGTCACAATAACAGTAGGTATCTTTGGGAGATTGCTCCTCTAGCTCACTGTAGGATGGAAGTTGTTCAACTTGACCAAATTCAACATTGGAGTCCATGATATTTTGCCCATATGGAAATCAAATACACTTCTGTCATTTGTATAGTTCATGATCAAATACATTCTTGTGTCTCCTTTATATCACCTTTTGAAATCATTCAGTATTATAAGTATGTTAATGACTAAATTTGGAGGTATCACATCACACTAAAAAAAATTCCCGATTTGGGAAAGCACAATGGAATCTCAAAAACGATTTCATAATGTGTGGATGTCTAGGAATGATTGCTTGCAATACAAGAACGTTACATTCATAAAACAGTACCAGATCGTTTTATTGAAGACGTGTTACGTATGTGGTTTCTTCCTCGAGCCATCATCGTCATCTAATGTACGCTTGTGATGCTTCGACCGGTACTTTTCAAGGAATTTCTCCATGTACGACTCCGTGAACATCTTCACTTTCTTCCTCTTTTCAACATCCATCTTTTCTGCTGGTTTTCTAGACACATCTTTCTTATACTCCTTATCAACCAGAATATGCGTGATGTCCCTACCACATTCTCTAACGTTGTCTTTACCAATCTCATCGACGTACTTCTTCAACATGTTAGGCACCTCTTTCGCAAAATAGTGTGACCATCTCTTCTTGAACTCGGTCTCATCGTATACCTGAGATTGTTTCGACTTTTTCAGCCTGTACTCCTCTCTCTTACGGGCTTTCTCCTCTAAGAGTCTTTGCTCATGTTCCAACTTCTTTTGTTTATCCTCTTCTAGCTTTTTAGCATCTTCAATGATTTGGTTCAATTCATCTTGTTCCTTGACCTTCTCCAAGTATTTTGAACGCTCCTCTTGAGCCTTCTGTCTCTTTGCAGCAACTTCTCTACCTCTATCAAACCCATTTCTCTTCGGCTTACCGTTATTTTCGAGAGGTTCATTCCAAGCTGTTTCTTTGGTATCCGCGTTGTAGTAGTAAACAGCACCATTTGGATCACTAGTCGCATACCAACCTTGTTTCCAATAACGCTTTCTCCACGTCTTCTGAATAGTGAATTGCTGTTGCTGTTGGTCTTTCTCTGGGGATCCGGAGCGTGAGGTTTCTTGGGCCCTTTCACGTCTTCTATCATCCAGATAGAACTTCTTCCTCTTTGTATTGCTCTTTGAGATTTTAACGTGGTTTTTGAATGTGCTCCACTCTTTCAAAAGCTCTTCACAACGCTTCTTCACTTCCTTAGAATCAGTTGTTTCGATGAGCTTCTCAATGATGGGTGTTATGTGAACTTTGTTGAGATAGTCTTTCGATACAACCCATTTCTTCATAATGCTTAATAAACGAAGTATCATTGATTCTTGCACTTGGAACCAATTTTTATCCGACTTGTCATAGGTAAATTTGAAGATTCTGCCAAATGCTTGGAATCCGTGGGAGTATTTTGCCTTAGAGTGAATTGCATCAGATGATAGCTCTAAACGTTCAATCAGCTTATCACAGACCGTTTTATCCTCAACTTGTAAAAGAGCACCCATCACTTGATGCACTTCAGTAGCAACAATTCCCTGCATGACTAAGCCCTTCACGAAGTCCACATTGATATCTGTAGTCTTCACAAGCTTTTGACCTTTCTCCTTCATCAATTTCAAGAACTCTTGTTCATCTTCAACGCTTGAACCTAAAGCTTGTGAGATCAACTGTGGTAGTAGTGAAGCAGCATCTGTCTGTGTCTTACCACCGATAAAGCCAATACAGTTACGTTCACCACAATGACAAGGTTGGGCATTTGCACCGTATCTATCAACGTTATAGTTAAAAGTCAGTTCTTCACCTTGTAGGATTCTTCTCTTTGCAAAAATACCCATTTTGAGCTTATCACCGACAACCCATTTCTCCACATAACAATTTGGATTACAAGAGTGATTACAAAATCTACCCAATGAACCCTTTCTTGTAGCATCAATGAACTCGCCCTTCTGTAACATCATAAAATAGAAATGTCTCAGTTTCAAACGGTCGTACTCAATCATTCTCGTCTTAAAAGTCTTTTCATCAATCACTTCACCAATGTATTCATACACTAGAGTATCAGGTTCTAGCATGCTATCTGCACGTAGTCCATACCCTTTCATCTCTGTTTGTATCACTGTGACTTGGGCATACTGCTTTCGCTGTAATCTTTGATTGACACAGCCTACACCACAAGAGCCTTCTCCACTGATACATTCCACTTTTGTACCTCTATTGATACAGTCATCGTCATCACACGCGTGATTGACACCATCATACCAATCTTCTTCACACACACAGGTCATTGGCTCTTGGCCACTTGAACCAAGGGATTTGTTTTGATAGGTACATTGGTCCAGCTCACTATAATTTTCCCTAGCCTCCTCGGTCTTATCTGAAAGCTCCAAGAATAATCTTATGCCATCCGGCACCTTATTCTTTATCTGTACTTGACGGTCAAAGTGTTCCTTTGATTTGAGCTGTTCAGATTCAGTCAATGTTGGTTCAAACGCTTCAGAATCAGAACGCTGCGACCTTTGAGAGTCATAATTATCCTCATCAGACTCCATGACTTCTTCCCTTATAGATGTGTTGTCTCTCTCTCGAGTAGTTCTCTATCACCAGGGACGATTGAGAATGCCAATATAATCAAATACGGTCTCCTTTCCCCTCAAAACAAAATGAAGGTAAGCAAGAAGTGGAGTCAATAGTAAAAGTAAACATCAACAAACAGTAAACACATTGAAAAAAAAAGCTTCGACACGTCCAAAACAATTTCGTCCACAGAACTGAGCCTCCTGCCCATACACCTGGACACCTAAACACCCGGACACCTGAATTCTGGAGGTCTCAAGAGGTGCATAGATCACATGACCACGCGAGAACCGGGGTATAGATTATAAAGAGGCACCATGATACTAATAAAAATAGCAAACCTGCCGTCAAATCTCCCCAAAGTGTCCCAGACAGTAGCTACTACTCGAGCTAAGTGATGTACAAAGTATGAGTTTGTAATCTTCAATCCAGCCTGAGATATAACCATTCATAGTTTGTATGGTATAATCAAAGAAATGGCACAAATTTGCTTATTAGCATGGTACTAATGTAGAATATATGGAATGATGGTAACGAAAATAGCGGATTGGGATTGTGATCCCCCCCCCAAATTATATCAGTCAGTAGCTAAAGCTCCAAGAAAAACATATACCAAGTATAAGCAAGTAACCATTAGTACTTCCTGAGTTATTACCATCCAAACAATTGGTAAGAATGTCAAACAAAAAGGTCATAAATCTGCTTATATCTCAACAACAAAATAAAATTGAGGAACACTAACAAGTCAGGCTGTAAAAAGAGATCTATATAATCATATATATAGACTTTTGACTTTATGAGATCGGTGGCTCTTCGAGAAGAGTTCGTCCCATTTTTTTCTCCTTTTTTCAATATTATTCATTCTGGTTCTTCGTGATCCCATTAATTGTAGAAATGTAAGGTTGCATTAAGCACATAAAGGACAATATTAATATTTTCAATACCTAACACGACTTATGTTAGCATCACTCTAATATTGATACCAAACACTCTTTCAATCGTATGTACGAGATCATTATTTTATCAACGAAGAGACAAGACATAGAGTTAATACCCGACTGGCCGCACAGCGTGAGTCTACTGCAAAGGTAGCGGAGCATTACAGGTCAACCAGTACTGGTGTTAGTATACTGTAATTTTGGTATTAGTGGATTCATTAAATGCATATGTATAGTTTAGATGTGATGTATATGCTACTTGGTGCATTGTGTGTCAAGATTAGGTAGCTCAGATCTGAGACAGCAGCGTCCTTACCCTTTGCATCGACTCCTGTGATCCATCACAGTCTCCAACACTGTCCAATACTTTGGAGACTTTGTCGAATGCAGCTCTATCCACATACGAGCTGGGTTTTCCGTTGGTGTATAGCCTTCTGATCGTTGGTTTATACGTTCCGAGGTTATCAATGCTTTTGTTGATGACAAACTCCCTAATCTCACGGGCTCTCAGAGACACAAATATTGTACGTGTTTCTTCGCAGTTGGCCTCCAACAAATCGTTTCTCATGGTGTTAATGATCTTCGTCTCCAAGTCCTGTGAAGGTGGACACGCTTGCAATTTGAAACATGGTGTGAACTCTGAGATATATCCACATAGAGGTTCAAGGGCAACCGTTCTTCTGCGTTCATGTTCATACTCTGATGTCAAATCATCATATTGCACATTCACCACCGAGACGGATTTGATAGGGTCATATTCAAGTGACGTTGTGATACAACTCGTACTGTTATCCATGAGCTGTAACAGTTCATTTCGATATTCATTTAACCGTTCAGATTTCGTCAGAGGAGAACAAGAGTCCCCAACTGACATAACATTAACAACGTTCCTTCCGATATGTGGCAACTTGGGCATAACCCTCTTCAGTTTACCCATGTTCTGTGTGAGGTCAAAACTCGACATTGTTCTCGGTAAAGAATTAGGAAGGGGTTGTTGACATGGAGTTGTTGTTGTTGCAGTAGTTGTGGACCAAGGATATTCATCATACTCCATCTTCGGCGATGGTGTATGGTAGCCGTGTATGGAATTTGTCATCGATGAAGACGTTGAATCCATTGAATTTTTCCAGTTTTGCAACATGTGGAAGCCTCTCGATAATGATGACGAGAAAGAGTTATGAGACTGTAGCGAGGATGATAACTGAGCAACAGAACTGGAGGATGCCATCGGTTGAATCATTGAAGGTCTTGAAATGGGTGTCATTGTCGTTGTCGTTGCGGTGGATCGTGAAGGTGTTATGCTAGGAATTTCCCAACCTTTGCTAATTATTGATGGCGTTGAAGGTGAACCCCTCGTTGTTGCAATATACTGTGGCGATACCGGCTCGTCCCTCTTTGGATTATGCCTCTGGATGCCTTGAGTAGCATCTTCGAGAGTTGTGTCGATATTTGAAGCAGAGGAGCTAATCTTTAATTCCGGGTTGTATGGTAGAATTCCGCTTATGATGAATATCAACTTTTGAACCACTATTGGATTGATGGCCATGATCACTACCCTAACAACATTATTGGAGTTTGCGAGAGAAATGTCATCTTTGATGCCGTTGACCACAGCGAGCAGGCTTTGCAAGAATTTGGTTCCTATACAACCCAATCTTGCACCGTCTTTGATCTCTATCCAGTTATTAACTTCAAAACACCAATCTTGGAATATCGAATCGAACTGAGTGATCCCCAATAGTATCCGTGGGATTGAAACTAAGTTTTGTAATGAGATGATTGCTTGTTTGAACAAGATTGCAATATCAAGGTAATTCCCTTGTTGTTGTTTCTGCAGCACATGGTTTTCAATGAACGAGGTTTTTATAAGGGCGATGTGATGTATCAGCTGTTTCCAGTTCGGTATGATACATTGTGACAGTTGTTCCTGGTTGACAGGTATGACAACCGCAATGGCAAAGTTCAATTTGGAGTGTTCAAACTGTGTCGATAGCAGTACAGATTTCTGTAAGCCCGGAAGGGAGGACAAGACGTGCAGCTTAACCCTGCCTCTATAATGGAAGTCTTGGTGTATTGGGTTACCAAACATAAAGTCCAGCAACTCCGAAATCTCATGCCTATAATCACATTTCTTCGCCACGGGGTCATCAAAATGGTGATCCCTGGAAGAGTCGTACAGCACCTTATGGTTATCCCTGTTGATGATCTCACCCTTATCTTGTACCAGTACCATTCTAAAGCTATACGGATGTAGCGGGGTGAAGTTCAACTGGTTTGGCGTACCGTAAAGTATTGTTTTGGAGTAGGAGTCGTCATTGGGGAACGGTGATGTCTTGATATCAGAAATCGAGGACAAGTTCATGGTCATCATCTTTGTGCTCAAACTATTACCAGAGGGGGCGCTATTACTCCTTGTACTACCAGCCTGCGGGTCCATTTGCTCAACGGAGCGACCGTTGAATAAACGTCCGAGCATCTCCTTGCCTCTTTGCTATCACAGTCAAATGTGCTTCCTTGTCCGTGTGTGTGTGTGTGTGTGTGTGGAAAGAAACGAAGAGGGAACAACGAAATCACAAGGTCATGGACATCTGGTTCTCCTGAACTTTGTTATGAATATAGTGTATGGTCGATGAAGTCGGTTACCAGTGCTATCGTCTTTAAAATAAAAAGAACCAGATATGTAGTCGAGTGAATGTTAAGGTGTATAATTATAGAAGTTTTGAAGTTACGGAGTGTTTACATCGAATTTCAGTGCAAAGTACCTTAAAGTCTTTGTGGTCATTCCGCGACAAACTCCAACGAAAAAACGCCTGGAAAGGTGTGCCTTAAAGCCTGATCTGACCAACTTCCCCGGCAGCCGGATTCCCTCCCCCCTTCTTACAAATAATTAATTCGCGCTATATAGGCATGTGCTAAATTTGATCAGTTGAGAGGAGCACTTTGGGCCTTTTTCTTCGGTTTTTTTGGAAGCACTTAGTCTTTTTGGTTCCAGGCCCAGGGCTTTTTCCATGGACATTTGGCAGACCACTTCGAAATGGTCAAAATTGATCTAAACGAATCTTGACTTTAACGCATGGAAATTATTGTCCATGCATGACCGTCAAGCTGAATCCCCCACCAATGTAGCTGAAATTGTAACTGGCTAATGCTTTTTATTATACGAGGCCCTCCACCTGATTGATCCAGAGAGGACACCATACACAAAGTCTCGTCCCCAAAGACTGTCTGTCGTACAAGCACTTCGTACCTTTGTCCGATGCACGGGGACGCCTACTCATGCATGGTCGTTAACAGTCGGAGTTGAAGGGCCCAGCTGCGATTCACCTTTTGAATTGGTCGTCGTTTAGCCCATACGCAGCTACCGTACACACGCAAATGTCCATATCCTGATATAAAAGAGGTTGGTGATCACGTAGACCACGAAGGACCGATCAGCTGGAAGCAAACATAGCCCAATGGACAAATTCATAGAGAGAGGACACGCCAGAAGAGCAGGCGGTGTTGAAAACTACTTCTGTATCCTTCAACGTCAACGTATATATAAGAACTTTGTTCTTATCGGGAGATTCAACGAGCCAATCTCCAAGGACTTGATCTCATATGCCTTGCGGAAGCTACTCTTATCGTATCCTATATTGGCGTGCTCAATCGTCACCACGGATTACTCAGATTTAACGGTACCACGTCCCGATCATGACTACGTGAAAGTGATGGACATGATCACATTGCAGGACGTGATGATGGACCTGCCACAGGAGATTGTCAACTGTAAGGACACTGAACAGCAGTTGAAGTTGTTGAATGATATCACCTGGGAGTACGGAGACGAGACTCCTCTGTGGAAGCTGGCAATGCTGGATGACAGGACCCTGTGCTATATATCAAACCACATCCTCTCGGATGGCACCACTGCAAAGAATTTGTTTGATAAATTGCAACAGTTGTTCAACGAATATGACCCGTCATCAACTGAGCTTCCTCCATACATCGTGGACTACTCGGCGGATTTTCAATCCATACCTCCATTACCAACGGCAATCGATGGTCTCTTGAACTACACGCCTCCATTATCTTTTCTTCCAGGTTACCTTTTGAACGTTTTGACGATTCGTACCTTGTGTTTCAAAGGAAAGACTTCGACGAGGGATGATACTCATTCTTACAGGGTCATACGCGTCGATTCTAAGCACGTTGAGTCAATCAAGAAGAAGTTGAAAGAACACAATGTCACCCTGACACCTTACTTGTTAACGGCAGCGTTGAACGCAATGTATACCAATGTCTTGAAGGACACATGGCTGGGTCTCATGGACGTTGTCATCCCATGTAACTCTAGACAGTTCCTGCCAGACAACAAACGTCTACAGGACTCTCAGTTATTCGGGTCCATCACTGCGGGCTCTCATCTCTGGTATCCACCTTTGAAACAGCTCTCATGGGCAAATATAAACTATACAAATGGAATCTTCCAGTACTGCAGAGCTGCAAGACACTACTTGTATGGAATGGGGATTTTGTTTACTGACTTCATGACGAAGAGAACCAACCTAGACAAGCTGATTGGTGATGCCACAATGAATCAAACAAGGGGTGGTTTGAACTTCTCCAACATTGGTGTTATCCCACAGTACCCGAGCGAGAAGTATTCACTTGAAGACGTGATATTTGCGAAGAATTCACATGGTACTATCAACGCCTTCTCGCTGAGTGCTTGCTCCACTTCGAACGGGCTGACACTGGTCTTTACCATGGCAGATGGCACTGTTCCTAAGGAGAAGTTTGATCAAATCGCAACCACGCTAGAGGCAAATATACTGAGCTTTGCATAGGCACTGATACATATCAAGCTCTATGTATATTAGCATTATTATTATATTCTTATTATCATATTCACATTTCAAGCTTTGTAAAGTTTGCACCACCAGATGGAGGCACCTGGAGCCAGTTCTTCGAGTCGTACTCTGCAACTCCGTCAATGACATGGAATGCATACGCGTATCTCGAGCTATTGCTCAAGTTCAAGTTACTTCTATGCAACACGGAGTTGTGGATAAGCACAAGGGAACCCTTTGGACACTCAACCAGCTTGTAGCCTTCTTCCGTGTTTTCGTACGTCTCTTCCTTGTCTTCATCGACAGAGATGAACTCAGTAGTGACGGTGCCATTGTCCAGGGTCTTTCTAACAAATCTCTTCACTATCGGTGTGGTCTTATGGCTTCCAGGCAAGTAGCTCAAACACCCATTCTCAATGGTGCAGTCCTCCAGTGCAAACCAAAACCCAACGGCGGTTTGCGGGTTTGTATATAGAAACACACCATCTTGATGCGATGGAACCTCACCACCAATCTGAGGCTGTTTGCAGATAATCATACTTTGGAGCACACGGGGGTCCTTAAACCCCAGCTTTTGAACAATCTCGACGTTCTCAGGGGTGATTGTGACGTCGTGGAAGAGCTTATCCTTCATGTGCAACCCGTGCCCAATCTTGTTTATGGCCAGGGTCTTTGGCTTGATGAGCTGATTCTTCTCATCAAACGCTCCGGGCTCCAGGAAGAAGGACACCTTGTCAGAGCTCTCCAGAAAGTAATTATCCCCAACGTGTGACTCACCAACTTTCGATCCCGTGGTGAACTTGGTCAGCGGGTGGCTCTTGATGTCAAAGTCCTCGATGAGCTCATGCGTATGCCTCATGAGCTCGCAAACCTGTTCCTCCGACAAGAAGTTCTTGATGCACAGACATCCCTCCCTGTTGAAAGTATCAACTTGCTCCTGTGTGAAAGTCATTGTCGCCTCTTCTTATGTATTTTCAGTCCAATTCAGGAGCTTCTGCTGAAATGTTGATGTTTGTTGATTAGATTTCGTACGATAAAACGATTTGGGTGCGCAGGCTCGCTCTCCGCTGCCAAACGAGAAAAAAAAACTCGTCCGAGACGCTCGAGAATTTTTGTAGGCGGGCCAGCACAAAATTGATCAACAACAGCATCAACATCAACGACAACAGCATCAACAACGGCAAGAACAGCCGGGCTTATCATCACAGACCGTGGAGCAACGCTGAAGGAAACACACCGCGACGTCGACAATGGACTCCACAGTGAAAGAGCTGATACGATACGTCTCCCGAGGATTCTACGGAAGACCCTATGTCCTTATCTTGGACGCTGTTCTGGTACACTCTGTGTTGTCGGAGGACGACCTGTCTCACCTACTGGGGATCCAGAGGAAGGAGCTGCGCTCGCTGTGCAACAAGCTGATAGATGATAGGCTGCTGAACATACACGTGCAAAGAGAAGAGGGCATGAACGGCATGCGTCCGACTACAAAGACGTACTATTTCATCCACTTCACAGAGGCCATTGATGCGGTGAAGTGGAAAGTCCATCAGGTTGTACAAGGGGTTCAGCAACACATCAAGGCGGACTCGTCTCCACAAGGGTATATCTGCCCCATATGTAAGACGAAGTACTCACAGCTGGATGCGGTGGCGCTGTTGAACTTTGAGAAGAATGAGTTCATCTGCTCCTTGTGTAATGAGGTGCTGGTTGAAGACGACTCCGGCAAGGTGGCGAAGGAGAATCAGCTCAAGTACTCGAACCTGATGAAGCAGCTGGAGCCTCTGATCAACTACCTCCGTAAGATCGATGAGCACACCATTCCTGAGAACAACTTTGCCACATCGCTATCGAAGATGGTGCCTGCGGTGGCTTCCACAACGGCGTCGTACACGGTGTCCAACTTCAGAAAGAACACGAGAATGTTTGACAGAAACTCGTACCTCAACAACGCTTCCTCCATGGTTGCCGGAGCTAGATCTCAGGCCACGTTGCACGTCAACATATCTGCTGATGGTGATGATCTACAGAGGGAGAAGCAGGCAATTGAGCAGGAGGAGAAGCGGAAACAAAACGCATTGCCATCATGGCACGAGGAGTCCACAATTGGTAAATCTCTTGGTAAGCTGGACCAAGACGAAGGTGAAGAGCCTGAGGTTAAGTTGGAAGATGCAACGGCAGCGACGACAGATGCGAACCAGGAAGCTGCCGTAGAACAAGAACAGGATCAACATTCAGAGGTTACCGATACTGGTGCGTCGACATCCACTACTGCCAATGCTGTTGAACCTGCTGGTGAAGTTGATAGAGAGGCACAGGAGGCATTGGCTGCATACTATGCACAGTTGGATCAAAAGGCTAAGGAGGATGCAGATGAGGAGGACTTTGATGAAGATTTCGACGAGGATGAAGAGTTTGATGATTTTGAAGACGTTGACATCGGTGAGAACGTAGCAACAAACACAGCACAAACTCTAGAGAACCAGACGAGCCAAGAAGTCAATGACATTGTTGAGGAGATTGAATTTGACAGCGATGAGGAATAAGACATCTATGGGCATCTACAGGAGAAAGCGAACAAAATACATACGCAACGAAGCCACAACAAGACCAAACATGAAGACGTATACTTAATCTATGTCCAAAAAATGCACCATTTCATCAGACTCTTCGTGGAGACCACCTATGGAGTCGCTCCTATTCACGTAGTATATATCTCTAATTAACCATAATCCACAGGATAAAGAACACCAGAAGAACACTGAAGATCTTGAGATATAGCCATCTGTTATTGCTAATGTTGTTGAAATACTTCAGAAGCTCCCTCTGCGCGCCAACAATGTTCATGTCGATGTCTTCGACGTTGCTGTCGATACGCTGAACCTGTTCACTCTGCTCATTAACCATAGTGGCCAGCTGCTGGAACAGTTGACCCACCTGGTTGATCGACGATTCGATCGTTTCCACTGCAAGGTTACGGTCCTGGAGGTACTCCTGGCCTTGTTCCTCCAGCAGTTGCATCTGTTGATCTTGCGGTAATGACAACAGAGCTTCATTCGCAGACGCGTGTGCTCCGGTATCGAACAGGAACGGGTTATCTGCCGTGGTCTGCTGCACCAGCTGTGAGTTCTGTAGCGAGGAAAAGAACTTCTCCTTACGTGATTTGTTCTGCAATTCCGTCTTTTGTCTCGTCTCCAGCACTTCCTTGAAGTTACCACTGACGTTTCTCATTCTCGTGTTCAGCAGCTGCACAACGTTGGACGAGTTCTTCTTCATGTCGCTATTCGCCATATCACCACCGCTCTTCAGGTACTCCTGCAACCCCTTCAGCGACTTCTCAATCTTGAAGATGTCCTGCTTGATAACATACGTCAACTCTGAGATCTCCACAGGGTTGTCATCAAACAGCGGCTTCTTCTTCGCCAACAGCGCCAACTTACCCAGAAGCTCGGACGTGCGCGAGATGTCCTTCGCAATCTCGGACGCTCTTATCTGGAACTGCGACTTGTTGATCTGTGGTTGTTGCTGTGATGCCTGCTGCTGCTGTTGTTGTTGTTGTTGTTGTTGTTTGGACACACGCTTGTTAAAGGATACAACACACTGCTGGAACTCCAACGTCCGGTCCTGGATGTTCTGTGGCGTGTGTGGTGCGTACATCGTGTTCTTCTGTGTTCAGCTCTTCACCAAAAGCTTCGTATTCGACCCCAAAGCGACTCCCCAGACGGCTTTTGGCCTTGTTCCCTTCCCTGTGGTTTCGGTATGAATTCGCTGTTGTTTGTGCCTGGCGGTGGTGTTGGAACCGTTGGGCGGAGGCGCTTTGCCTGGGAAACCGCACACACCGCGAAACAGCACACGCCGCCAAATCCGGGGGCCCATCGCCACCGGAAGTGCCTCGATAAAATTTTCCTACGCTCTTTTTTTTTCCCGCCGTGTTTGTGTCTCTCTTTGTGTTTTGTGTCGATGACCTGGTGACCACTCTCTTTTTTCCTTGTTTGGCTGCTTTTGATTGGTTGTTAACCACCAGCTTGCTTTCTGACCTGAGTGTTGACGATGTCGAAGAGAACAGCAGAGGAGACGAGCGCAGACAGAAACACGGCCTTGAAGGGCAGTGCGGGCGCCGTGCCAGAGACACATGCTGGCGTGGAAGGTGATGACGTTGAGATGGGCGAGTTCGAGGACCCGTACAGCGATGAGTACGAGTCTGAGGAGGAGATCATCGAGGTGGACGACCAGGACGATGATGGCGAAGGCGATGATGAGATTGCCGATGCGCAAGACGTGATTGCGAAGGATGAGGAGCAGGAGAAGCAGGAGGCGGAATCGACGCTCTACCTGCCACACAGATCCAGACCGCTGGGCCCAGATGAGGTTTTGGAGGCCGATCCGACGGTTTACGACATGCTGCACACGGTGAACCTGCCATGGCCATGCCTCACGCTGGATGTCCTGCCGGACCACCTGGGCGACGAGAGAAGAGCGTTCCCGGCATCTGTGTACCTGGCGACCGCTACACAGGCGCAGAAGAAGAAGGACAACGAGTTGATTCTGCTGAAGCTGAGCCAATTGAGCAAGACGCTGGTGAAGGATGAAGATGGCGACGACGACGACGACGACAACGAAGACGAAGACGCGTACGACGGCGAACCTGTGATGGAATCCGAAACCTTACCACTACGTGATACGACGAATAGAATCAGAGTCTCACCACACGCTGCATCCACTGGTGAGTACTTCACTGCGACGTCAAGCGAAACAGGAGAAGTTCTAATCTACGACCTCAGCCCACAGTACAAGTCGTTCGACTCGCCAGGCTACACCATTCCAAAGGCTGCAAAGAGACCTATCCACACGGTCAGAAACCATGGTAACGTGGAAGGCTATGGTTTGGATTGGTCTCCATTGATCAAAACAGGTGCATTGCTTTCAGGTGACTGCTCTGGAAGAATCTTCTTGACCAACAGAACTAGTTCCAACTGGGTCACCGACAAGACGCCATTTACAGTGGACAATAACGAATCCATTGAAGATATCCAATGGTCCAAAGCTGAGCAGACAGTCTTTGCAACGGCCGGCACGGATGGCTACATAAGAATCTGGGACACCAGATCCAAGAAGCACAGACCTGCGATTAGTGTTGTCGGTTCCAAGACCGACATCAACGTCATCTCATGGAGTGAGAAGATCAACTACCTGTTGGCATCCGGTGATGATGATGGTAAGTGGGGCATCTGGGACTTGAGAAACTTCAAACCAGGGGCCTCGGTATCCCCAGTGGCTCAATACGATTTCCACCAATCAGCCATCACCTCTATTGCATTCAACCCTCTGGATGAATCCATTGTTGCTGTGTCCTCCGAGGACAACACCGTGACGCTATGGGACATGTCTGTCGAAGCTGACGACGAGGAAGTCAAGCAGCAGAAGAGTGAAACCAAAGAGCTGGAGGAGATCCCACCACAGCTGTTGTTCGTTCACTGGCAAAAGGACGTCAAGGAGGTCAAGTGGCACAAACAGATCCCAGGTGCCTTGGTTAGTACCGGCACTGACGGGCTGAACGTTTGGAAGACCATCAGTGTTTAACGTCTGTTTAATAATCAAAATGAGATATATTTGTCTGTAATATATAATAGAGACGTCAGTGTGGTTGTATGCACAATAAAATGTCCCGTGGGGGTTTCTCTGCATCAAAATTGGACATGTCTCCTTTAGCCATCGCACTTAGCCATCGCACTTAGCCATCTCACTTAGCCATAACATTCAGCAGAACAACAGGATCACCAGACAGAATATGATCACAGACCCACAGGAATTCTACAAGAAACTGGAGGACGCAGCGAGCTACACACGCTCAAAGATTGACGGGTTTGCGCCACAAGTGCTCATCATTTGTGGGTCTGGTTTAGGAGGGATCTCGTCGCTTATCTCCAACAAGATTGCGATTCCATATGGGACAATTCCAGGGTTCAAGACGTCAACGGTTCAAGGACACGCCGGAGAGTTGCAATTCGGGTTCATCGGGACCAACAGGGTCCCTGTCATGTGTATGGTTGGTCGCTTGCACTACTATGAAGGGTATGAGTTCGAAGATGCCACTTTCGGCGTCAGACTGGCAAAGGAGCTTGGGTGCGACACGGTGTTCGTTACCAACGCCGCCGGTGGTGTTAGAAAGGGGTTCAAGCCCGGCGATTTGATGGTCATTAGTGATCACATATACTTTGCCGGGTTCAGTGGATCACACCCTCTCCGTGGTCCCAACCTTGAGAAGCTGGGAGAGAGATTTGTCCCAATGAGCGATGCCTATGATCACTCCTTGAGAAAGACGTTCTTCGACAGCGCCAGAGCTCTGGGAATCACTAGAAGTATCCATGAAGGGACCTATTTCTTTGCAGCAGGGCCTACGTTTGAGTCTAGGGCGGAGGTTCGTGCGATCAGAACCCTGGGAGGTGACTCTGTTGGAATGAGTACCGTTCCTGAGGTGATCGTTGCAAGACACGCAGGCCTGAGAGTGTTTGCACTCAGTCTCATCACGAACTCATGTGTCGACACACCAGCTCCTTCTGCGCTGGAGGATGATCCAGTGGCGATGGATGACGGCATTGCATCTCATAAAGAAGTTTTAGAATACGCCAACGAGGCCTCAAAGGACGTTGAAAGAATTATTCAACATGCAATCAACAGTCTTTGAGCCCGTTATACAGATTATAACTTAGATAGATCTAATGCATCCATTCATTTTGTTTCCTCACTATTAAATCAAACGAAAGGGACCGAGACATTATTCGTCAATTTGACCAGCACTCTCCCACTTCCCATCAACGTTTTCTCTCCACAGTGTCACTCTGTTATCACCACCAGAGATTGCCAGAATATTTCCAGACAAACTCCAGCTTGCTCTCCAGACAACGTCTGGGAACTTCTCCTCCGTGAGGAGTTGTTTCTTCCAGACGGCACCTGGTTGATCCTGTGTCCAAATGATCACAGTGCGGTCTTGTGAAGCAGAAGCAATGTAAGAGCGGACAAGCACCGATGGTGACCATGCAACGTCTCTAACCCAGTCGGAGTGTCCTTCCAAGGTGTGTTCCAACAGGTAGCTCTTTGTCTCTGGAGAGTACTTCCAGATCTTGACCAGGTTATCGCAACCACCAGAGACAAACCTACGTTCGTGTTGTTGCTTGTCAGTGGTATCAACGGCAGATGACGCAGCGACAGGTGGCGCCCAGGTGGCAGAGTTCACGCCAATGGCGTGTGCATTGTCAACAACGGTGGATGCTGTAGTACCGTCCTCCTTGTACTCAACAATGGAGATCCTACCATCAGAGGACGTGACGAGCAGCAGAGCGCCGTATTCATGAGGAGCCCAGGACACACTATTCACGCTCGCATGGTGCACCGCATGCTCTGAGATTATTGACCATCTCCCTTGGTCCTCCTTCCAGATGAGCACCTTACCGTCATAGGACGCAGATGCTAAGATAACACCAAACTTAGGGTGTGCCCAACTGACCTGCCAAACCGGACCGTCGTGTCCTCTGAGCGTCTCGAGAAGCTTATGACCCTCGTCTGAAACCTCAAAGATCTTGATGGACTTGTCGGACGAGCATGTCGCAAGACGCTTCCCGTAGTAGTCCAGGACTGCGTCGTGGATCAAGTCATCATGGGCGTTGCCGATGGTGACCTTGGACGATGTTAGTAAACACAGGATCATAACAGAACACAGACACCTCTAAATCAAAGGAGTGGATGCTGTCTGGCGAGACACGGAGGCCAGCACGTGAAAACATACCATATTGGAAGTGTTACGGGTGTGTGTGAAGTTCAATTGACAAAGAGAGATTCCGGTTTCCCAAGCTAACGTTAAAGGGGAGGAGTTTCAGTCCGTTGTGTTACTGTGTTGTTGATGCTCTCGCGCTGGCCCGTCCCCCTACGTGTTGGCCTCGGTGGTCGTTGTGGGAATTTTCCGTGGACAAATTGCGGTGCTGCGCGAACCAGACAGGTTTGCGCCATTCCGCGACAATTGCCCGATTCAGCGTTTGTTAGTGGTTTGGCGCTCTCAAGGGCATCAACGCAGGTACTATAGCACGACAATGGTAACAAAAGGAATATGGATACTTGAGATTGGAGATAAATATATATATAATGGTGGATATGAACAAGCAGACACACACACACACACACGAAAAATATTCAAATATTTTATTAGAGTCGTCACGAGATGTCATAAACAAATAAAAAGAAGAAGAGTAGTAAAGCGTAGAGCCATGGCCATTCTCCAGAGAAACAAACAGGTCCATGTATATCCAGCTGTGCGAGTACCCGTCTTCCTCAGCACATTCCAAAAATGCCCCTCCTCCAATATCTTTTATAACGTTGAAAACTATAGTGGAAAACAATGCAACACCTTCATCGAGAAGAGCAAAACTCTCTCGCCTCGCCCCGTTTTAAATGTATGTAGTAATTTTAACCCTCCAATGAGAGACCCTTCTTGATCTCAGCAATGGCCTTACCTGGGTTCAAACCCTTCGGACATGTTCTTGTACAGTTCAAGATGGTGTGACATCTGTACAAGGACATTGAGTTTTGCAAGAGTTCTCTTCTCATGTGGGTGGCTTCGTCTCTACTGTCAATCAACCATCTGTATGCTTGCATCAACACAGCAGGACCCAAGTACTCTTGCTGATTCCACCAGTAGGATGGACAACTGGTGGAACAACAAGCACACAAAATACATTCGTACAAACCATCCAACTTCTTTCTGTCAGCAATGGATTGCAAGTTCTCCTTACCATCCTCTGGGACAGTGTCACGCTGGAGGTATGGCTGAATGGACTTGTATTGCTTGTAGAAGTGTGTCAGATCCGGAACAAGGTCTCTGACGACGAACATGTGTGGCAATGGGTAAATCTTTGTGTTCTTGCTAGTGTCGCGGTCAATACGGCACAAACAGGCAAGTGTGTTACGACCACCAATGTTCATGGCACAGGAACCACAGATACCCTCACGGCACGATCTTCTAAAGGTCAATGTGGCATCTTGTTCGTTTTTGATCTTGAGAAGGGCATCAAGAACCATAGGACCACAATCGTTCAAGTCAATCTTGTACTCTTGCAATCTTGGCTTCTCCTCCGGAGTGTCTGGTGACCAACGGTAAATGTTGAAGGTCTTGATGAGTGGTGCCTTTTCAGTCGTCGAGGCAAGACCACGGGAAAGGAGTGGAGTAACGGTAACAAAGCGCTTTGCAAACATTGCTTCTTGATTAGACTGGTTCAGAGTAAAACAAGAGAAGAGTGAGGGAAAGAAGAAAAAATTGAAGCCAATGGAAATAGTTTTACCTTTAACCATGGGAGAGCCTCCTCAACTGGCGTCTGCTGTGGTCATCGGTCCCGTAGTGCGGAAACGGTAGACCCAACACTTTTTACAGCGAAAACCTCCGGGGCAGAGCGTAAGCAAAACCCCATTTTCCGGGATTGTGATTGGCTCGGTTCATATTGCCTGCGGTGTAAGGATGTTGCTGACAATCAAAGACTTCCTGCACACTTTTAAATTTTCCCGCGTTTGTACAAGTCGTTTGCGCGACAATTGGAATCCAAATGTGTACACGGGGTACCAACCCACTGCCACACAAAAAAGTACTAGGGAAAGTATAAGTAAAATCAGGAGGTGGGCAATGGGGACCTGGCCGTATACGATTGGTTCAGCAGTATACAGAAATTGGCGGTGTGTAAATTTGTTGTTCAATGCGCACTAAGTGTATCACAATTGAGCCAATGTCGTCATGAGCCCGGAGTTTCTGACTTCCAAGATTGGGCGACATCAAACGTGATTCACCCATAGAGTCATACCCCAGGCACGCTTTTTCAACCTCTTGTACAGCTTTCTCATCGCTGTTACAAGGGAACTAAAATGGTGCGCGTGCCGGTGTTCCAGACGGGTTTTCACACCCAATAACGTGCGCCAACCGGAAATGATTACCCCGGTAAAAGTAGTGAAGCGCAGCCTATGCCAATTCTTCCTTTTTTGCTTAGCTTAGGCTCTAACATGTTTTAGACGTGGAGAAAGGGGGGAGGGGGTGGTGCTATGGAGAATTCACCCATTACAAAGGCTCAGCCATACTAGTTGCTGATTTGAGCGGTGACAATTGGGTACGAGGATTTTTTGGCATCGTGAGATTTGTCAATCTATGACTAAGGATTAGATCTACACCGGTTATCGGTGTACAGTTGATTCTTTACAGGCAGAGGCCTGTAGTCAACCATACCTTAGGAAACGGAGAGATGGGAAGAATATGTCTCTCTATGATTGACCTTTGGATCTTTGCATTTGGTGGTAATCTTCAAATGTGAATGCTCTTCAGCGAGCCTTCTGTAGTGGCCATAAACAAAGAGAGTGTACCCAATGCCCACACAACACATTGGATGTTCAACACAGCTTGTGTTGGACAGTGCATCTCATTGGTCACCACATGTGAGGTACTAGCAACGTGTAACCTCGGAGGGTATGGTCAAGCCTTCCAATATTGTCTTGCTCCAAGCCAATCTGTACTAAAGCACTTCTAAACTTGTCCCGATTTGAAGGACAGTGTGGTTGATTGGTTTTCTACAATTGAACAAATACCTCCGAATAGTTGAACAAAGTAGATAATCCTCACCAGGACGAGGTACAGAACAAAGTGAACCATGGCAAACAATCTTCTCATCCTCTTTAAATTTCCCTATGTGAGACGCGCTACCTTGTCGTGAAAACACATCAAATTTGGCCCAGCGCCGCAAACTCTGAAGAACCGAAAATCGCAAACAAACGAGATCTAAGGAGAGCTCATGTGGTGTCTGGATGATTCCAGGCGCACAGCTGTGAACGTTACGGACACCTCCACGAGGAATGAGAGGTGCGAGCACAGCAATGTAATCATCCGCATGAATAAACTGTGCTGTCCTTTTTACATGCTCACAAATGAGGTGAGAACATATCCGCTATAATGTTCATTGTCACCTTTTGAGCGTGCAATGTGTGCTACATCTCAAACCTTTGCTGCTGAATTTAACCAGCGTAACCACTATGAGACAAGAGGCGCAAAAAAATAAACGACAAACCATGCTAACAGCGCGCGCGTCAGGTGCCAAAAGCTTCTCTGTCATGTGTACGATCGCTGAGGAGAAGCAAGGTGAAATTCCAAGGATACCCTGAAATTGCAAAGACGTCCGACAAGAAAGAAGAGGCCAGAAAAAGGAAGACTGGAAAAAACATACAGTAGGAAAGCAATTCCATATTCTTCTACGTCCCCTTGTTTGTTGTCAATTCCTGCTCACAATTGTCTCCTTCAATTAAACACGAGCTCAAGTTAAAGGCACAAAACACAGCAATACACCAAGCAATGGTTAACTACGGTGAATGGATGCGCGATGTCAACGATGACACGCTGTTGTCAACTCTGTCTCTACCAGGTACACACAACGCGGCGGCCTGCCACACTGCGCTCCCATCAGTGCAATGTCAAGGCGCCAGTGTTAAGGACCAGCTGAACAACGGTGTTCGTTTCCTGGACATTCGTCTCTCCAAGAACATTCTTAAGAGTGACGAGGCTGACCAAAAGAACCTCATTGTGTGCCATGGCAAGTTTCCCGTTAAACTCTTGGGCAATGTGTACTTGAAGGACGTTCTCAGTGACGTTTTCAAGTACCTGGAGGAGCACAGTTCCGAAACTGTTATCGTTAGTTTGAAACAGGAGGGAAACGGGTCCTGGGACAATGATCAAGATGAGTTTGGCAATTTGATTTGGGACAAGTATGTCAGCCCAAACCACGACCGCTGGTACCTTGGTACGGACATCCCTCGCCTGAGAGACTGTAGGGGTAAGGCCATCTTGTTCCGCAGATTTGGCGTGAAGAACGAGGAGCGCAAGAACCAATTTGGCGTTGACGCTGCCTGGTGGAGCTACAACTGTACCCACGATGATCGTGGTGCCCTCCAGATCCAGGACTTTTGCGAGATTAGCAGCGTCGACGACATTGCAAAGAAAGCTGAGTATGTGAAGAGCTTATCCAAGGCGGCTGTTGAACACAACAGCACCAATCCGGGCGATGCAAAGCTCTTTGTGAATTTCTGCTCAGGGTCCAACTTCTTTGACCCGAACTGCTGGCCTTCCAAGGTTGCCCAAGGCTTGAACGAGCAAGGCATTGCAGAGTCCTTTGGCAAAGGAAGTGGGATTATCGTTTTGGATTACGCGGAGGAGTCAGAATGGAACCTGGTGAGGGAACTGGTTGACAAGAACTTTTGAGAGGAGCTTTTAACAAACGACAGTCAAACGAACCGGTTAATTGAATGAACCGGTTAATCGAAACACTTTGAAAGCTGTAGAACTGTCCAGAGGTGCGGAGCAGACCACCACACTTATCAAGGGTTCAACCGCTTACAGGCACCAACAAACAAAGCTGTGAGGCAGTCGCAAAGGTTTGTATGGGAAAGCGGTGCAATTCCTGCATAAGCTCTATGCGATCGAGTGGCTAAAGCGGATCAGTAGCACCACACAAAAAGAAATGAAGGCGGCAAAAGTGTGGATCTCCCACGTTAATTCAATGACCAACTTCCCCAGCCGCTGTGAACATGGTCAGAGTGTGGAATCTTAGCCACACCAAGAGGTGTTCATGAAAGTACGAAGAGTAATCACGTTCTTTTGTTCCATTATACAGCGAGTTAAAGAATATGTCCATTAAGTAAATGTGCCCGTCTCTGTCTCCTCCCCACGCAGAGCTCAGGCACTCAGAAACGTATTTTTTCCCGTTGTGGCGGGTGGCAGTTGCGTTTCCTCGATAGGCAGAGGCAAAAGTCTCTTTGTATTTTCGCCTTTTGTCTCAACCTCAGCTTTGTTGTTTTAGTCATCGTTCATGCAGAGAGGGACATCAAGTGCGAAAAGCGCCCACAGAGAGAGATTCTGCTTAAACGGTGCAGAAGCTCTGGATTCCACCAGGAGGTAAAAATTTCAGCTCCAGCAGAGCCAAAGAGAGCCCACGAGAACACACAGTTCATCAGCCCAATGAGCCCACCACATAACGCGTACCTGTAGAAGATCCGTAGTGTTCCAACCACCAAGTTCCCTCTGTTAAATCCGCCAACCTCCCCCCTCTGCTCTGCGCTGTGCTTTATTTTATACCCATTGCAGTGTGTCTTTTTCTTCTAATTCCGGTTTAATTTTGAGGGCCCCAACGCCCGCCCCCCTTCTGTACAGGATTTTTTTTCTTCTTTTACCCGTTTCCCACTTCTCTTCTCTTCTTTTTTCCCTTTTCCCTCTCTTTCATAGAAAAAACAGCAAGACATTCAACGAATATCGGACAAATCTCACACACAGAGTACACGTTTTAGCTCACTGCACACACTCTGTACCAGCTTCCTTTCACGTCAACAAGTTTCATTGGTTTAATCTCTGTACTTTGGTGTATTTTCTTTGGCTTTCCTTTGTCTTAATTCAATTCTGAGAGGGTGATCATACGAAACCCGGAAAAGTTTCTTGTGGAGTGAGTGTTTTCGAGGGAGGAAAAGAGCCCATATATAAAATTTTTGCTTGTTAGAGAAAGAACCCCCTGGATATCGGAACGATGGTGCTCATTGGTGGTGTCAAATATGCCTGCGAGCGTTGTATCAGAGGCCACAGAGTCACAACGTGTAACCACACCGATCAGCCACTGATGATGATCAAGCCAAAGGGCCGTCCTTCGTCACAGTGCAAGCACTGTAAGGAGATGAGAAAGTCCAAGAACTCGCACTCCACCGGGGCGTGCACCTGTGGCAAGAAGACGAACAAGGTTGCCGCAGTGACGAAACACTGTGGTTGTGAAGCTGGCAAACCGTGCCAGTGCCATTCAAAGAGAAGCACACAACGGAAGGCAGCAGCAGCAGCCGCAGCTGCCAATGGTAGTGCCGGAGGCGATAGCGTCTCATCGACGGCAACTCCACAGAGCTCGACTGGCGTCTCTGGCGTATCGCTAACACCGTCTCCGATCCCACTGGCTTCGAAGCCAACGGTGGGAACGGCCTCAGTGGCCACAACAGCGTCGTCGTCAACGCCCTTGTCAACGTCCATGCCAGCATCAACGTCAACGGCCAAGACCACAGGTGTCCGCCAAATAGGCATGGACCCGCTGAGCAACGCCAAACCTGTGTCACAGAGTACGAGAACAAGGGTTGGTGAGGTGAGCGTTCCCCTTGAGGAGTATATCCCACAGAAGAATGACGGCGTGGGAAGCGTTAATGACAAATTTCCTGCCTTCTTCCAGGACGTTCCTCTGCCGTTTGAGCCTGGCCATGGGTTATTGGATCTGTTTACCGATACGAGAAAGGACATTGGAGTGAAGCGCTCCATGTCTTCGGCATCAACACATTCGGAGGCGCCATCACTGAGCTCGAGACCCTCACAGAGTAGCATACACCATCCACACTATTATTCTCCAATGATACACAAACCCCAAAACCAATCACAGTCCAACATGCTCTTTGGTGGCATAGAGAGAAGAGATACGTCGGATTCGTTACGTGACGATGCTAGTATACACAGTGTCGAAGTGCTATCGTTGACACCCACATTCATGGACATACCTGACTTGTCAAGTGCTCCTGCTTCTTCATTCTTGAGAAAGAGAACACAGTCTTCGCAGAATTTGAATCACTCACACTCACACTCTCAGCTACATGTTCACACCGATAGCATTAGCAGTAATCTGAACAATAACGTTAACGGAATGAACATTATGCCTAACACGACGACAAATCCGTTCATAGAGTATAACCCACTCGTTTCACCTTCTGTGTCGACAACAGCAACGACTAATTATAATGATGACGTGACAGATGTATTATCATCTCTAACAAGCCCAAAGGAGATCCAGGAAATGAATAATGGCCAAAAACAACAAAAACAACAAGAACAACAACAACAACAACAACAGACAACGATATCTCCACAACAGCAGCAACAGCAGCAAACGCAGAACAATCAACTGTCAGATATGAAGGACCCAATAATAGGCGTAGATCCACAACAGACATTTGGAGACTTCTCAACTGTCAACTTTCAACAGGATGATTTGTCACAGTTTGATATCTTTGACCATTTCAGTAACGACACAATGTTTGGACTTGGTGATCCAGTAACTAATCGCTAAAATATTTTAAACACGAGGTATAATTTTGTTTTGGTATTTTTTTTGATATTCAATGACATTAATACAGGACCAGTCTTAATAAACCACAAATCTCTATACAGGTCTATATACTATGTTTTATACATGCGATATGTATTGGAACACGTAACTGATATCTTCAAATTGTGCTTCGTTTTTCAACAAGTGATCATTTGTCCGCGGCAATCCTTCATGATTGATATGGTTCCACGTTGTGGCATCACCGTATAACATCACGTCTGCACGACGTAGTTGTTTACCGCTAGTTGGCTCACACCTCGAGCATTTAAACGAATCGTGAGTATCACAGATAGTCTTCTGATCAAATAAGAATAACTGACGAAGATTATCAGTGGAGAACAATCTCTCCACATCCTCTTTTTCATCAACAACACATGAAGACAATGACAACTTCATGCTTTGTCTTTGGAAGATCTTTTCCTCAATCGACCCAGTGGTAATAAATCTGTAAATGAAACAATCCTTCTTCTGACCATCCCTCCATACTCTGGCTAATGCCTGTTGATCCGATGCGGGGTTCCAATCAGGGTCTATCAAGATCAATCTATTGGCACCAATCAAGTTGATTCCACAACCACCTGCTTTGGAACTCAACAAAAACACAAACTCGGGTCCTTCAGGATCGTTGAATCTATCAACCAATTTCTGACGCTTGTTTATGTTCATCGTGCCATCTAATCTTAAAACTCCATACTTGTTATTTCTGCACATCTTTTCAATTAGGTCCAATGTCTGGGTATAGTTTGAAATAAGCACGATTTTGTCATCAGATTCCTGTCTAATCTTGGCAAGGAATCTCTGCAAGATGGCAAATTTACCAGAAAGCCAGGTCTGGACCTCTCTGTTACGACCACCACCAGTGATGGAGTTGACATAGTCATCTGGGATTAAATGACCACAACCTTCAAATTCTTCCTCCAAGTTTAACAAATCTGGATGGTTACAGAGTTTTTTCAAAAGACCAATGGCCTTCAAAGGCTGCGATCCAACACCTCGCAAGAGTTTCTTAATATCGGGACTTGTGATAAAATGTTCATATAGACTCCTTTGGAAAGGTGAAAGGTTAACAAATATAACATGCTCGTACTTGCATGGTAAATACTTGGACAAAATATCATTTGTTCTTCTGATGATGAATTTGGAAACGATGCCTGATAACGCACTCAATTTTTGTTCTCCCTCATGAACTTCCTTATCAGTTGCATCTGCATCGCGTCCTTTCAAGATTGGAAGTTCAAAGTTCTTTCTGAAATCTGCCCTTGTACCTAATAACCCGGGATTTGCAAAACTTAACAAAGCAAAGTATTCCGATAAATCGTTTTGGATTGGAGTACCAGATAAGATGACACGACGCTTGCAGTTCAACGAATCTAGAGCAGTGAAGGTTAGCGAATCTCCGTTTTTCAAACGATGTCCCTCATCTGCAAGTAATAAGCCAACTTCACAGCCTTTCAAATGATCAACATTTCTTCTCAAAGTTTCGTATGAAATAATTAGCACTGGTCTAACCACATTTCTTCCCTTCGCTAATGACCATTGCTGAATACTGGATGCAACTTCGTTTGGTTTGGTCGATTTACCATCGATTGCCAATGGTGTTAAAGCCCCCTCACCTAACCACTTAACCAATTCGTTTGCCCAATTTCTCACAAGCGACGAAGGACACACAACGATTGCCTTATCTATTGACTTTTTACCTCTAGGGCCTTGCTTCAATAGTGTCCACATTAGAGATATACACTGGAGCGTCTTACCCAAACCCATTTCATCAGCCATGATGCAACCTTTCGCTCTAGGATCGATTAAGCCAGACACACAACGGAAGAGAAACTTTACACCTTCAACTTGATGTGGCCGTAGAATCTTGGTCAATCTTGGATCAATAACAACGGGCACGTCAGGGTATTTCTTCTCCGCTTCGTTCGGGTCTTTGGAGATACCTAGTATCTCATTCAAAGATTTATGAACGTTACGCCTTTTGGAAGGGCGATCTTCCTGTTCTAGCTCATTTTCAACGATCTCCTTACCTTCGTCACGGGCCTTAGCCAAAGCTATGGCCTTATCCAAAGCTTCTAGATCGTCATCACTTATGATCTTCTCAACCGTGGGGTCATAAAGAACGATAGCGGTCTCATCAGACGGATCGTGTAGGGGTCTCGGAACCATCACAGGTTTCCTCTTTGTACCCAAGGGTGGTGGCGGAGTGCCGTGGTTAGGGCCCTTAATCGTCAACGGGCTCGTGAACGACCTTTTCAACGTGGTTTCCACAACATCATCTGTGGCGATACGCCGTAGCGCATTCTTCTTTCTTTGGATTATGCTACCATCAAATGCCACAACATCGTTCTCCTGACCGTCTCCCTCAAGTGAGCCAACAAAGTACGACTTGGGGCCCTTGAGACGCGCAGAACGCACTGCCTTCCCGGTATTAGTCATCGCACTCGACCGCGTCTTAAATGGTATCTTGAAAGGTTTAGAGAGTGTAGACAGCGGATCCGTTACAGCTCGTGGGCGCAAATGCGCCGGTAGACCAGCACCAGTTCCCAGCTCGACGGTAGGTTTATTAGGCAAGCGTCTTCCCATAGTTGCAGCCGCCCTGTAGTGTTATGTATCGTGTTTATAGTGTGTTGTGATTTGTTTATGTTTTGATCTTTTTTCTTTTTTGTTTGTGTAATTTTGGCCTGAACGCCACCTACAACTGAAAAGTAAACAAAGTGAAACTCTATTGCAAACCTATTTATACACGAGATTTCTATGGTGATATTTCTATGATGGTATTTCTATGGTGATATTTCTATGCTGATGGATCCACAGTGAACTCTTCTCCAAGGTCACAGTCAATGTCCATGGCGAATGCGGAACTGTTCTCCATCTCGAGTATTTCGTAGTACTCTTGCTTTCTGACGGGACTTACGCTGAGACGTCCTCTCTTTACCAGAGACATCTCGCTAAGAGAATCATTTGACCGTAAAGATTCCAAGGTGATTTTACTCTTCAGCCTCCGCACAAATGACACATCAACACACCACCATCGAGGCGAGTCGACGGATGATTTAGCGTCATAATATGTACTGGTGGGATCGAACTGTAGTGAATCTGGGTGGGCCTCGTGGGCCACTTTTGCAATACCAACAAGACCAGGTACTGGGGCATTTGAATGGTAAAAGAGACATATGTCACCAACTCTCATATTCAGCATGTTGTTTTTAGCTTCGTGGTTTCGAACTCCGTCCCACGGTTCAAAATCCACTTGCTTCAAATCAGCCAATGAAAACTTTGCGTCTTTGCCTGATTTGGGATCTATTCGAGAGTATGGTTCAGATTTGATCAACCAGTAACGTACATTGTTGTTCTCGGGATCGACAGGATACTCTGCTGGCTTCTTTGGCTCTGGACGCGTCACAACAGTGGCATTTTCAAGTTGCTTCACACTGGGCCTCACTGGCTTCTTTACCGGTTTCTTTGTAACCTTAGATACCATCTTTGAGATTGACACCCCTGCAACGTATATCTTTGATGCCGCTGATAGTTGTGTCACAGCGTGATATGGAAACACGCGTAGGAGAATGTTCATCTTCACGTTCTATGTCGACCCCTTTTGTTTACAATGGAAACAATCGCGCGTTTTTGGCGTGTCCTCTTTGAAAGACCTACCTACACCATACGAGAGTGAATGCTGATCAGAGAGGCGGAGAAATAGTGTAGAGTTCTAAGTGAAGAAAAGCGTAAAGGAAAAACAAATATATGAAAAGTTCATGGAAGTGTACGTATGTAGAGCTTCAACTGATAATTTTCCCCTGCTGAGCAAAGTTTTCAATGAGCGGTGACAGTGGTTCTAGCTCTTGCTGTTCGATGAGACCGAATTCCTTGACAAATGATACAAAATGCGCAAAGAAAGAGTTCCAGTGTGCTTCCAATGACAAGTTTAGTATCTTATCGAAGTGGTTATAGTACATGTGTGCGAATATTCTAAACATTTGTCTAGCAATGTTCTTGACAGTTTTGATAAAGTGAGGCGGGAATGGAACGCCGCTCTTCGTGGGGAATAGCGTTTGGTCGTTGATCTTTTGCCCGATCCAAGAGAGTACGTATTCGATGTATTGATTGGCAGGAAGCTGTGTAGTCTTACCGTTTTGGTCAACCCAGAGATAGTCCGTATTAGGACCGGCGTTCATTGTTGGGAACAATTCTGGCTTGACGTATTCCCCAATGACACCGTAAAACTGATTCAAATTGTTGTACATTTCAAATATGTTCTGTGCTACCCATTCATTAGGATCGACATATTTGGGCAGTTGAACGATGGTCTTAAAAGAACCTTTGACCAGAGCAGTTCTCACAAATGGTTCACATAGAAACAGTGGAAGGACATTTTGTTGGATTGCAAGACCTGTTTGTTGTTGTATCTGTGACTGTGCATGTTGCTGAGGGTGCTGCTGATGACCTTGTTGTGAAATCTTCACTGGTGATTGAGATCTTCGCAGTGAGAGGTGTGAGTTGTTATTACTCGAGTATAGAGATGCCTGGTCCTTCTGTTGTTTGTTCTTTTTGGAGGATCTACCAAACCCTCTGTAATAAAACGTATGTGTTAGTACGAGAAGTTCATTTGACAAAACAACCGAGAAAAGCAACACTGAACGCACTTTATCGAGCTGAAGAAGTTTGACATGATGGAATTCTAATCTAATTGATATCGTAAAGACTGTGAAGGAAGGATTCTTATGTGTTATTTACTTTCTGCACGTACATTGATCCGTAAGAAAACCGTTGGAAAGGGAAGAAACTTTGAGGCCTAATTTTCGTTTGTAAGATTGTTGGTTTGGGCCACAGAAAATGCTGTCCCTTTCGAAAGGAAAAAAAAAACTGCCAGGGAAAAACACCCAAAATGGATATTACCCGATTGGTTCATTTACGGTTAGGCCACACTCGGTTGTCCAGGCGTTGGTTTCTCAGTTTCCAAAGTTTTATGACAGGGACGACATCTCGGATCACGGAACAAGTCAATGTGCAACCAACTTTCCGATGGAGTCCAGCAGAACCCGAACCCGAACCTTTTATTCACTGCATCCTAAGATAATCTCCAGGTTCCAAACTTCTAACAGTATGCGTATCTCTTCACTAGCGATCATAACATTCACAAGACAACTCGGGTTTTGAACGGCCTTAGCAACATGTAGTCAGCCTCCATCAACGCTTCAGCTGAACAGAAGCATCAGCAAACTAATCAGTAAAAAGACAGGACATGGAACTAAAGGGAAATAGCTCTTTGAATACCCTTTCCAGTTTTGCAGTTGTACATAGATCAACAGTGCCTCAACATTGCCTCAACATATCAATGAGCAATCATCGTTCGACCGCAGAGACTTAACAGCTTTCTATTACGATAGCACCTCACCGCCATTTGCAGGCTAAATAGGCATAGCGGGGCTGTCTTTTTCGTTGATACAGCAACAGTTGCAGCGAGAAAATGTGAGCGGAAATGCGCTTTTTTTTTCTTATTTCCGAAACGGTACCAACAGCGGCAGAACACTGATTAATTGGCAGACAAGCGGCTCGAAACAAGAAACCAAAGGCGAGAAAAAAAACACACACAACATACACAAAATATACGCACTTACAGCACAAAAGCTATCATTAGAATAAGATTTACAAATTCTGGATCCTTTTTTTATACTGTGTTTGTATAATTATAGTGGTCATAGAGAGACTCGTGTCAGCGTGCTTCCGAGATGTCTGATGTTCAACTACAGAAGAAACGCGTTTCTAAAGCGTGTGATATATGTCGAGCAAGAAAGCTCAAATGTGACGCCCTGACACCTTCATGCTCCAGGTGCCAGGCCTCCAAAGTGACGTGTGTCTACACCACGAAAGAGAAACGTCCCAAGAAGGTGGTCAAGAAGCAGACCGCACCTTCGCAACCATCAACTCTACGTGGGTTGGAAGACCGGATGAGAAGAATGGAATCTATGATTACATCTTTAGTGGGGAAATTGGAGAATGCACAAAATCTGGTAGGTGTCAACAGCAACGGGGAACCCAACCATACACATAGTGAAAATGGCAATGAAACGGATGAGAATGAAACTTCTCCAGAGGTTCAGAACACTGATGACGAGCCGATAATATTCACAGGGCTACCAACTGCGCCGGAATCAAGTGTACGCTCAGGGTCCGTGTCTCAAGCATCATCAGATCCACACGAAGATAGCCATGGTCCACAAGTCGCAAAATACTTCGGCAGTCAAAGCACGATGTCAGTGCTCAGTGTGAAAGGGATGCTCTGGCTCCAACGGTTCTGTGGTGATCCTGGGTTGCTTAACAGATTTCAACAGTTCCACAAGATGACAACAACAATATTTCTGATGGCAAATAGAGTATGGTTTGATCCACCGGAGAGGTCCAGCCTGAGGAAGTTACCACCAAGGGAGATGGTGGAACCTCTTATCTGGGATGTGTTCAACGAGCTGGCTCTAATACAACTGTTCATCACAAAGGAGGAGGTGGACAATTTGATACAAAGGTACTACGACAATGTTGCAATGTCAAACAAGGTACCAAACAGGAAAAGGTTATCAAACTCAGATCTATTGACGCTCAATTCAATGGTTGCCATTGCCTTCAGTTTGGCAATGAAACCAAATCTGGACAAGAAAACTCTGGATACTTTTAACACGATACAAGTTGAGGCAAGAACCAACGCAGTGTTCTACTACCAGCGACTGTCCACTATCAGCGAAGGTATAAGAACAATCCAGGGTTTAATGATTCTAACCCTATACGCAGAACTGATGAAGTGCTCACCACAGACGTATATACTCATCTCCACATTGGTGAGATATGCACAGGAAATGGGCCTTCATAGAAAGGAATCATTCATGGGATTGTCCGAACAAGAGGCCATGCTAAGGCGTCGTATATGGATCTGTGTCTATCTTATGGACTGTGGTTCTTGTTTGAAGTCGGGAAAACCACCAATTATTCATCGAAAGGACGTGTCATCAATAACACCAGAATCCTATAGGGAAGTTCTATTCTATGGTGTACCATCACATCAAGTTGATGAAATGCTCTCTCCTGATTTTGATCTCGTGCGGGCGCTCAGTACAATGTCTTCCTCTGAGTTCCATATCAGCCCGGTTAAGAATCTACTCTTTTATTACCATGCAAGAATAGTCGATTTTACTGCAGTTGCCTATGAATGTCTATTTTGTGGAGATAGCTTGGTAGGGATGTCACTGGAGCAAGTCTTGAAGCGTGTTGATGAAATGGATGGAATGTTAGATCAAAATTTGATGATGATGATGCCAAGATCTGCTAGACCAGGTGCTGACCTCAGCTCCATTAGAGAGCATGGTATCAAATACCACCTGTTACTATCTCATCTGTATTACCATTCTTTAAAGATGGTAATCAACAAGATGGCGTTTACCAAAATTTGGTTGAACTCCAATGATCCCCCTTCTGATTGGGCAAGCATCCTCCCGGAGCAGAAAAAGCTGATGTTACGATGCCTAGAATCAGCCAGAGCAATCATGAACTTTGTACAATTTGAAGACCATCTTAACCCACTATTCTCGAACTATGCTTCCTTTCAATTCATGTCTGCATTCTTCACTTTATTCACAGGGATCATTGAGTATCCAAACGCTCCATTTGTGGAACATGATTTGGAGATGATAACTAATGTGAGCAACAAACTACTGGCAAAGTACTATGCTGATTGGGAAAACGATGAAACAAACTTCATGTATATTGTGATAAATTCCTGTGTGCGGTTTTTCATGAGGATCGCCGTGATGGTTCGTAATAGAACTACACCAAATAAGATCGACCTAGATCAGGTTGAAGGTCAGTTAAGATCCTTTGAAAACCAAATGTCCAAGCTAGCAGCTTCGTGTGCTGTGGCACTACGTGATTCTGACCCTTTAACCATCCTGTTGAACAACTCCGAAAGCAATGAGATGCAAGGCGTGAATCATCCTACAGCTGGTATTTTCAACCCTCCTGGAGCAGTTGCGAACCTTGCACGTGAAAGACCCTCGATATCAATGTTGATGAACCCGGTACCTTCCAGTCAACGCGAGGAAACTCATCTATTCCCACATGCATCAAATGACAGGTTTTCTCCTGGCAATATTGACATGGAGAGGAACAACTCAGCACAATCCGCTGTAGCAACGGAGGGACAGACTTTGTCGCACACGTCTTCCATCCCGGACGTCACACTCCCTGTGCAAGATATCACAATTGACCGATATGCCATGGAGCAGTTTGAGATGGAGAAGAATTCATCCATTCTCCAACACATATTTACAATCCCCGACATGTTTCTCAGCGCAAATGAGTTTGAGAACTATGACCTCAACTCAAATAATATCCATTTCTAAGATGTGGACGGAGGTGGCGAGATGTGATTTACGTCTCAGGCAGCGTTGTACAGCGATCAACTTCACGTCATGGTATGAGTTATATCACGCTGCAATATAGTGTATGGAGTGCAAAATAAATGACGGCGGCGGCAAAATATAGCATACGCATCACGGTTCGACAGGAAATCTGCTATAGCAGGATTCGGATTGTCTTTTCTTCTCTCCTTTCTTTTTCCGACAGGGGAAGCACTAGAAAACCATAAAGTGTCCCTCATCAGCTCATTCAACGTATTACGTTATGTGGGAGTGGGCCTAAACCTCATGACCATATTATAAGACTCTCGATCCTAGTCGCTGCTCAGGGACCGGAAATCATACTACCAGCATATTATGGACTGATAAATTAGCAATAATAACATGGTCAACGCTATGGAGTTACACACAGTTGACACATCTTGATGGCCACGGAAATCATTGCATAGGTTGTTTCCGCAGAGGACCAAATTCGGAACTGTGTGGCCAATTAGTTACCACGGGCAATTCCAGCACCGCCTTTGAAGTGTAACGTCCTTCGGCTTTCGGTACTTTTCTAGGCGTTGGGATTGTTCAAAATGTCCGAACGCGTTGGTGCTGACCCAAAGTTTGCTTAACTCTAAAAACAAACAAAAAAAACAATATGCGATGCGGTGCACCTTTAAAAATGTGAAGTTCTATAACGTTCACCAGTTCCACTACTGCAAGCCTGGCTAGGTTTGCAGGGAATTATTTGAAAATGTATCGGTCTGAGTTAATAACGACGCCCCTGTAGTGAATGAAGAAGAGGGTTTTAAGTTCATCCTGTTGAACATATATATATAATTTTTTTTTGACCGTCTCTTCTCTGTTCTTACTCCCCCTGCTTTGATGGCTTGTAATCTGGTTTAGTACTCAAGAGCATCCACTATAAACAGAACTGATATTCCAAGTCAACTCTTGGGGTTTTAATGAACAGCCCGGTGAATATGGAGCAAAAGAGGACAAGGGTTTCTATGGCTTGCGAGCTTTGCCGTTCGAAAAAGCTGAAGTGTGATGGTGGAGAGCCATCGTGTTCAAGATGCTTACACTTTGGTGTCCGATGTAACTATACAGAGATTCCAAAGAAGAACGGTGTTTCACGCAAACAAGCCAAGCCAAGAAAGAAGAGGAAAGTCCAAAAGAAGCCAGCTAAGACCGATGTTACGGATTTGGATACTCGAATGCGCAGGTTGGAAACGCTCATGACGTCCATCTTGGAAAAGATGGATCCTGAGGCTGCTCATGACCACAGTGAAACGCAATCCGATGAGTCGACTCCAGCTTCCACTGTATCCTTCTCAGATAGCTACTACGAAAGTGTTGGTAAGATTGGTGATACAAGCCCAAGGAAGATGCACATCAACAAGTACTGGGGTCCCCAAAATACCTTCTCTTTGCTGAGTTCACGCGGTATACAACGGTTGTCTAAGCTTAGTGGTGATCCTAATCTATTGGAACAGTTCGAGAACCTCCACCACAAAATAACTGGGGTCTTTCTAATGACCAACAACATGTGGTTAGACCCCGTGGAGAAGTCGCAACTGAGACCTCTCCCGGACAGAGATACTTCACATGCTCTCATTGATAGAGTGTTCTCTGAATTTCTGTTTGTATCCTTGTTCTTGAAGAAACCTGAGGTTCAACAGTTGTTCGATAGATACTACAGAATGGTTGAGAATCCTGGCCTTTATGGCGAGAAGAAGCTGTCCAACTCTGACTTGTTAACCATGAACGTTCTCTTATCCATCGGCGCAATCTTGTTCATGACTGTTGAGAATAAGCCAGATAGTCCAGAGAACCGTCGCTTGCAAACCTTACAATTGAATCACATCCAGAATGCCATATACTATTTCCATCGTGTTTCTGTTATAAGTGAAGGGATCAGAACAATACAGGCGTTCATATTCCTGACTGTGTATTCTGAGTTCATCAGAGGGTTCCCACAGTCCTACATCTTAGTTTCCACTTTGGTGAGATTTGCACAGGAGATGGGTCTTCATAGATCCGAATCTTATGTTGGCCTATCCCCTGAAGAAGCAGCCATGAGACGCCGCATCTGGCTCTGCGTGTTCATGTTTGACCGTGATTGTTGTTTCAAAACTGGTAAGCCATTCATCATCCATCAGGAGGATGTGTCATCAGTTTTACCTGAACAGTTTAAAGATGCAATCTTTGAAGGCTTTCCACGCGACGTTGTCAATGAGATCTTTTCTCCAGGCTACGATCTCGTTGGTGCTCTCTCATGTATGACAACAGAGGAGTATTGTGTTAATCCACATAGATTGCTATTCGCTTATTTCCACTGTCACGTTGTGAACTTCATTTCCTTTGCGTATTCTGAATTGTACAGTGCTACAAGCTTGAAGAATCTCTCCGTGGATGATGTCATGTGGAAGATTGATCGTCTTAACGACAAATTGGACAGACTAATCAAATACATACCACAGTGTGTGAACCCCAACCTGGATTTCTCCTCCATAAAGGATCCTTTGATTAAACGGGAAATCAGACTGGCCCATATGCAGTACTATTCGTGTGTGATTCTGGTAAACAAACTGGCATTCACCAAGAGTTGGCTGGCAGAAGATGCTGAATTTGCCCATCAGCCATCGGAACTCCAAAGCAAACTGATTACGAAGTGTCTTAATGCAGCCAGAATCCTCATGGCATATGTCAGAGATGACGACCACCTCAATCCTCTTTCTTCCAACCACGCCTCTTTCCACTTCTTGTCTGCATTCTTTACACTGTTCACAGCAATCATTGAATACCCTTCCTCACCACACGTGAAAGATGATCTGGAATTGATATCTACTGTGAAGGCGGATCTGTTGTCGAAGCATGCGGTCCATTGTTTGAACACTGGTGATACCATAACGTACAACGTTATTAACTATTGTGTCCGTGTTTTCATTCGTATTGCCCTGCTGGTCTATAACAAGGCTAATAACACTAACATTGATCTAACAAATTTGGACAATGAACTGAGACACTTTGACAACACGTTGGAAAAGATCACGAAGAGTATAACCAAGAATGGTCGCATCGCCAACAACCAAGAAACACCAGAAATGAATCCAAGTATGTTTGTGCCCGCCCCAGTGGAGTCGCCATGCCAGTTCGCAGAGATGAATCAAGGTTCACTAAACAAGTCTTCACTGTTTCCACAACAGGACCTACAAGCACAGCCTATGTACGAAGATGGTATCAATTGTGGATCCAATGGCGGGTCTGATATCGATTCACCATTTCTGCAAGATTTGTTCACCAACGGCGAGTTTTCTCTACAAAGTCACCTGTTGAATCAGTACACGATGGCTGATTTTGAAGCAGAGAAGAACTCCACGGTATTGCAACATATGTTTGCCATTCCAAACGTGTTTCTAAATACCAATGATCTTGACACTTTTAATCACATCGATTTGGAGAATCGGAATGTCCAGCCTTAATGACCCCATTTCACTCTACATTTTCTCCTATATTCTTTTCTTTTGCTGTTTATGTTATATCTGTATGAGTTCATGTCCCTTATGCCCTTTAACGAGTGATATCTTTGATGTTTCAATCCGGTGACGTTATATTCATTCACTTTTGTATCTATAAATTGGTGATGCACTATATTTTACACCCATGACTAGTACTGTAGTTCACTATTTCACTACTACAATCGTAAGCAAGACAGTACGCCACATTATAAGAACAATGAATAAACTAATTAGTTCGAAATCAAAACAAAAAATATCATCAACAACAAGGTCGGGGGACCTGGTGTAGAGATTGACATCAAAGGCCCATTTCCGCCTGTAAGGCCTTCAAAGCCTTCTCGTCTTCATCCTCTTCCTCTACAGCCTCATGCTTATCCTCTCTAATGCTTGTGTTTGGTGCATCTGGTAAGCTTACAGGAGCAGCCGATGTCTTTGTGCCGCTATTCAACAACTTGTCATCCAACTGTTCTTGTTCCAAGGCTTCTAGCTCATCCTCCAACTCATCCTCATCGATACCATCAGTTGGATAGGATCTAGAGATAGCCTCACTAATCTCCTCACTAATCTCAGCCTGTTCTCTAATGTCGTCCATGGTTTGGTCAACCTTATCAACGGTGATACCGCCATGTATCTGTTTCATGGCGCTTGCACCAGCCTTCATGGCCTTCATGGTTTCCAAGTTCAAGTTTGCAGATTCTATGGAGCGGAGTTGATTCTCCAATGCCTCTATTTGCGACGTGATCTTCATCGCTTCACTATCCAACAGCTTCTTACGCTTGAGGGCGTTTCTGGCCTTGGTCTTATCAGATGAGATGAACTTCCTAGCGAGCGCATCTTGCTCATCAATCTGTGTATAAAGGTGGTTCTGCTTCTTGGTAAGCATGTTGATCTGTTCTCTGAGACCGATTATCGCCTTCTTTGGCGCATCTTTGGACGAAGCGCTTCCTCCAAACAAATAGTTCCACATTGGAGTTTGTTATCAACAACCACACACACACACAATTGTTTTATATGGGAGAGCTGCGAACGGAACGAGCAAAGACTTTGTTTCACTAACGTTGGCTTAATACAACAACACCACAAGGTTTGCAAAAGATAGAAATACCACCCACTTAGCGTATCACCAGTATGTTCCAAACCCTTTAAAGGTCTCTAAAGATTTTGCTGATAACTCACGAATCAGGGAGGGCCGGTAAACTGTGAGATTTCGCCTGTTTTCCCTGGAATTTTTTTGATTTTCGCCATTTAAAGATAGAAAGGACGGGCAAAAAATACAAATACACAAAAGTGAATAAATGAAAACAGATAAAATCACCGAATTAGGGAATTCCCGTAACAGGAAATATTATGCTGTGCGTACCGTAGGCGATGAGGTCTTGCAGAACGAAAAAAAATGGCAAAAAAGAAAAAAAAAAAAACTCACACACCCAAACACCCCGAAAATTCTTTGTGGTTTTGTTTGTGTGCATTTTTTTTCACTTCCCGCTGAGCTTCTTTCAATCATCTTTTGACACATTTCTTTGTTTGACGAACTGTGCTTGTTGGGGGGTTTGTTCTTTTCAGCTGTTGTTTTGTATTATCGGTTGTTTAGTCTCAGGTTCTTTTTGTAAAGCGGACTGGAATCATGCTGAGAGCTTTGAGGAATAGGAGACGTCCAGTATCTGTTGTTCAGAGAAGCGTACAGAGATGGAATGCCGGTCTTACGACTCAGGTTTCACCTTCGAATGCTGCTATTGAGGAGCTCAGACATATCTCACTGAAGCAGCTTGGCCAGTCGTCGTTGAAGTCTGAGGACCGAAACTCCAAGCTTCTGGGAAACACATGGTCATCTACAAGAGATGGCGTTCCACGCCAACAGAACGCTGATAGTATTAGCCGCCTCTGGTCGTTGTTGGATGTTTCGCTTGAGGCAAGAAATTTTGAAAGAGCAGAGTCGCTGTTGGCCATACTCCAACCTCTAACGAGACAGGACAACTTGCAGATCGTCGATGATCTGAATAAGTTCTTGAAGAAGTATGCAGATACGGTCTCTCTGGAAGCCTTGGAAACCACTCTGAAAAGTTGGCCCGAGAAATACAATGCCCATGGCAATGCGAAGACGTACGCTATACTTGTGAATAAAGCACTTGATTCCAACGAAGACCCTACAAGGCTATTGGCAAGATATGAAGCGTCGCATGGGAGACTTAGAGACGTATTCTCCTACATTGATATATTTGGATTGAAAAACTTGACTAGACTCATCACAGAATACAAATATAGCATTTCATTAATCCCAGAAGAATATAGAACCATGGTTGAACAAGTCGAGCAAGATCACGAAAGTAACGAAATTCTAGCAAATGAGTCCAACGAAGAATTACCACCAACCCTTGAAAAGTCAGCTACAGACTTGAAAGCTGTTGACACTTTTGGTATGAAAGCCATTAGACGTACACTACTTGCGATGGGACCTGAGCTGAATGCTGAGTTCATCAAGAACCTTGATTCAGAACTTACCGACAAGTTGAACTTCTTTACATCTGGTAGCTCATCTGACATCAACTTTTTCAAAATCTACAAGTCGTTGCCACCTGATATGCAAGTAAAGTTTGAAGCTGCTTTGGATGACTTCAACCAGGATAGACAGAGACAACTTGAGAATAATGCTGTTGTTGCTGCGCAGGAAAGATGGAGACATGACTATGAGGAGTTAAAAGCACAAGGTACACTCAATTTCTCCAAGACACTAAATGCCACATTGTGGAAATGGTCAGAAGAGTTGAGACCTTTAATTCAGGAGGAAATCAACGTTTGCAATAAAATCAACAAACTGGATACCATTTCAAAGGATTTGAAGGCTAAATTGAAAGACAGAACACATTATGCTCAATTCTTTGCCCTTCTTCCAGCAAACAAAATTGCTGCTATTACGATTTTGGAATTGCTCAAAATGAACTCAACAGGTGGTGTTGCAGAAGGTATGAGAATCACGTCTGCTGTCATGGCAGTGTCCACTGCGCTAGAGTTGGAATTCAGATCTGAACAGTTGAAAAAATCAGAGAAAGTGGTCTTCAAGGACCTCAAATCTCCTCGTGATTTGAAAATGTATGCAAAATCACTCTCTCATTTCAAATCTGAAAAGCTTTCTGAATGGAAAATGAGCTGGCCAAGTGATGCAAAGGCTAAGATGGGATCGCTATTGATATCCATGTTGATGCATGTTGCCAAAGTTCAAGTTGAAGGTGTCGATCCGGTAACAAAGAAAAGAGTGAAAGGTGAGGCACCAGCTTTCTATCACAGTTATCAATACCAAGGTAATGTGAAGCTAGGAATCTTGAAGTTGCACAAGACCATTGCGACACAACTCTCTGGCGATAAGTTGAATGGTGCTGTTCAACCTCAACTGCTACCTATGCTTGTGCAACCACGTCCTTGGACTGCTTGGAACAATGGTGGTTATCTATACTCCCAGGGATTTGTTATTAGAACTAAAGATGCACCTGAACAAACGGCATATCTGAAGGCATCTTCTGATAAGATTGGTAAAGTTTATGAAGGTTTAAACGTCTTAGGATCAACTGCATGGACTGTCAATGAACGTGTGTTCAATGTTATGTCCCAAGTCTGGAATACCGGTGAAGAATTTCTTGATATTCCAAAATTACAAGATAAGATCGAGCTACCTCCACAGCCTCAGTCGAAACATACAGAGCCAGGCGTTATCAATTCCTGGAAGGCGGAGGTGAAAAAAGCACAGAATGAATTTAACAATAATAGATCAACCCGTTGTGATGCAAATTATAAACTTGAAATTGCTAGGGCATTCTTGGGTGAGAAAATGTATTTCCCTCATAACTTGGATTTCAGAGGACGTGCCTACCCGCTATCTCCCAATTTCAATCATCTCGGTAATGACTTGTCAAGAGGTTTGTTGATTTTCTGGGAAGGTAAGGAACTGGGTGAAGATGGTTTGAAATGGCTTAAGGTGCACTTGTCCAATTTGTTCGGTATTGATAAGGCACCATTACATGAACGTGTTCAATACGCAGAGGAGAATGTTGATAACATCATGAAAACCGCTGCAGATCCTCTAGGGTTCCAGGACTGGTGGACGAAAGCTGATAAACCATGGCAAGCGTTGGCAACAATCTTTGAGCTTGCTGATGCATTAAAGTTGCCTGATCCAACAAAATACGTATCACATCAACCAGTTCACCAAGATGGTACATGTAACGGTTTACAACATTATGCAGCATTGGGTGGTGATGTTGAGGGTGCTAGACAAGTCAACCTAACACCGGCTGAAAGACCACAGGATGTCTACACATTTGTTGCAAACTTGGTAAAGGAGAGATTGGATAAACTTGCCCTTGAAGGTGACGAGTTGGCCATAGTTTTGAAGGATAAAATAAAACGTAAAGTTGTTAAGCAGACAGTGATGACAAATGTTTATGGTGTGACATATATTGGTGCAACTGCTCAGATTGATAAGCAACTTGCTGATGTTTTCCCAGGTGAGGACACGTACAAGTATTCCTTGTATCTGACCAAACACGTTTTTGCCTGTATTAGAGAATTATTCGAAGGTGCACATTTAATTCAAGATTGGCTCGCCCTCTGTGCAAAGATGATTTCTCATTCTGTTCGTATTGATATGGATGCTGATGAGGTCATTCGTTCTGGTGAGAAACCACCACATATGGCTTCAACCATTTGGACTACGCCGTTGAACTTACCAATTGTTCAACCATATCGCTCTGTTGAGCGTCGTCAAATTGCTACTAATTTGCAGACGATCTATATCAAGGATCCATTTGCGATGAATCCAGTGGATGCTAGAAAGCAAGTTGCTGCATTCCCTCCAAACTTCATCCATTCTCTTGATGCCACACATATGCTGCTTAGTGCTATTGCCTGCTCAAAAGAAAACCTGGCTTTTGCTGCGGTTCACGATTCTTACTGGACACATGCTTGTGATGTTGATACTATGAACAGATGCCTAAGAGATGAGTTTATCAAGTTGCATGAAGTTGACTTGATTGCACGCTTGAAAGACGAATTCGATGAGAGATACAAGGGTTTTTTGAGACTGGTGAAGATTCCAAGAGATTCTGCAGCAGCTAAGATGATCTTACAACATAGACACAACGTTTCCAAACAGTTGGGGAGACGTGTTACTCTCGGTGATGAGATTTACCTGGAAAGAAAGAGACAACTGTTACTGAACAGTGAAAACCCTGAGGATCAAAAGAGAGGATTGAACGAAGTCACTACCGTGAGCTTACTCGAAGGCATCGATGTCGATTCTCTGATGCCAGAGCGTAAAACTCGTGGTAAGAAGAAGAAAGAGATTGAAATCGAAGCTATGGATGCTCTTGATGAATCTGAATCAAAGGCCAGACACATCAAGGTATTGGCTCCATTGAGGCTGCCTGAGATTCCTCCAAAGGGCGAGTTTGACGTCCAAGAATTGAGAAAGTCACAATACTTCTTCTCATGATCATTCCCAGACACATATCCTGTACATATTTATCCATATGGCTAATAAAAAGTACATATGAAATGAAACTATCTTGCTTTGATTATGCCTCTTACGCTGGTAGCCACGGTGACCAAATAAACGGTTCGGGAAACACTTCATCTTCATACTCGTCAAATTCCGGGGAAACACTCACACCGGATTTCAACATCAACATCCATGAAATTTTACTTCAGGGGGGTCTCTTTTGTCTTCATCATCAACAAAGAAAACAAATCAGATCAGTGAACACCGAACAATGCCAACTCTTCCAACAGCATTTGCCGAGACCACACGTAGATCACTCACATCAGCTGATCTCCGTAAGAGAGTTCTCAAGCTGTACAGGGATTACCTGCGTGAAGCGCCATCTTTCATTGAGTTGTATGAGCTTGACATGCCAGTGGCCAGTGTTAGAACAAAGATCAGACAAGAGTTCGAGCGTTATAGATTTGAGAAGGATTTGTCCATCAACAACATAGTCTATGCCAAAGGTCGTATGGAGTTCCAGGAACTGGTTAACTTCTGGAAACAGCAGCCACATGTTTACAAGTACTTTGAACAAGAAGGTGAGACCAACTATGTTCCTCAAGTTGGCGAAGGCGCCTTCATGAAGAAGTTCCTCAAGGGATTCTGAATCTACACTTATTTATTCCTGATGTATTTATTTATATATTTCAAAAACACTATTTATTCTACCTGAAATCTACAAAGATAAACCATTCAAAACGATGCAATCCAATACTGATCAACCTATGTATATTAATATAAACTCTATGCCATCTCCTCAATGTCTAGAAAAGACCTTCAATCTCACCATCTTCGCTCACCTCAACATTCATATAGCCTGCATGTGTTGGCAAACCTGGGATGGTTTGGATCTCATCAGCCAAGGCATACAAGTAACCAGCACCGATGGATGCTCTAACATCTCTAATTGGGAATTCAAACCCTGATGGAACACCTTTCAAGTTCGCATCATGGGATAAGGAGTACTGTGTCTTTGCAACACAGATAGGTAAGTTACCGAACCCTTGCTCTTTATAAGCAGCAATCTTCTTTGCAGCTTGTTCAGAGATGTTGATACCCTTACCATTGTACATCTTGGTGACGATGGTGTTCAATTTATCCTCAACTGAAGAGTCAACGTCATAGAGGAACTTGAATTCTTCAGGCTTGGAGTTCTTTGAAGCGTTGATCACCGCTTGTGCCAGTTTCACTGAACCAGCACCACCTTCAGCCCAGTGGTTTGATTCAACAGCGTCAAACGCACCAGCTTCCTTGGCCAGTCTCTTCACAAGTTCGATCTCAGCAGGAGTATCATCTTTGAACTGGTTGAGTGCAACAACAACTTGCAAGCCAAACTGTCTAACGTTTTGAATCTGCTTAGCCAAGTTGGCAACACCCTTGGCAACGAGATCCAGGTTCTCCTTCGTGTACTCTTCTGGTAAACCCTGGCCTGGTTTGACGTTTGGAGCACCACCGTGTAGCTTGAGAGCTCTCACAGTTGCAACAAGCACAACAGCGTTTGGTACAAGGCCAGAGGCACGACATTTGATGTCCAAGAATCTTTCACCACCCATGGTGAAGTCGAAACCGGCTTCAGTAACAACGAAACCTTTCTCTTGGGAAGGCGATGAAGAGCCCAACAGCTTGAGGCCAAGCTTATCAGCAACGACAGAGGATGCACCAATAGAAATGTTGGCAAATGGACCAGCATGGATGAGCACTGGAGAACCTTCTAACGTTTGCATCAATGTTGGCTTAACAGCATCCTTCAAAAGTGCAGTGATTGCACCTGCTGCGCCCAAATCATCCACGGTGATTGGTTCATTCTCGTAGTTGGCACCAATAACAATGTTACCAACACGTCTCTGGAGATCATGGAGGTCCTGAGACAAGGCCAGAATAGCCATGAGTTCAGAGGCAACAGTGATATCGAATCCAGTCTTACGTGTGAATCCCTTTTCAGTTGGAGCTTCACCAATGGTAACTTGACGAAGGAATCTATCATTGACATCGACAACACGCTTAATGGTGATTGTATCTGGGTTGATATTCAATCTGGCAAACTTCTTAACTTCTTCAGGTGTAAGATCATCTGGGTTGGTCTTGTTGATGCCCAATTTTTGCAATCTCTTCAGCATGGACTTGGTGAATGATCTGGAACCTTTCTTCACAGGAACCAATCTCTTGTAAAAGGTTTCGTCTTTCTTTTGAGTCAACTCGTGGAAGATTCTGGTGTCAATTGCTGCAGCAAGCAAGTTGTTAGCTGCGCCGATAGCATGGATATCACCTGTCAAATGCATGTTGAATTCATCCATTGGAATGACCTGAGCGTAACCACCACCGGCAGCACCACCTTTAACACCAAACGTTGGACCCATAGATGGTTGTCTGACATTGGCAATGGCTGGCACTTTCAGGTGAGCAGACAAAGCCTGTGCCAACCCCATTGTTGTTGTTGACTTTCCTTCACCCAAAGGTGTTGGAGTAATACCAGCCACGAGGACGTAGTTGGCATTTTCACGGTCTTTCAAACGTTCATAGGCATCCAGACTGACTTTAGCCTTGAAATGACCAAAGAGCTCCAATTCACTCTCTTTCAATTTCAATTCTTTTGCAACATCTTTAATCTGTTTTGGAGTTTGAGCTCTGGAAATAGCAATGTCTGAAGGAACAGGTGTCTGTAACTTCAAAGGCAATGTCGAGAAGACTGGTGAAGCGTGAGACTCTTCCAGTTGTCTCTCAGCAGCCAGCAGCACGTTTTCAACCAGCATAGCAACAGTCATTGGACCAACACCACCTGGAACTGGGGTGATGAAAGATGTCTTATCCTTACAAGATTCAAAATCAGCATCACCAACCAATTTTTGACCTGATTTCTTTGAAGCATCTGGGATGTAGTTGATACCAACGTCAATGAGAACCGCACCTTGCTTTAACCATTCACCCTTGACATAGTTTGGCTTCCCAATGGCAGCTATGACGATGTCTGCGGTTTTGACAATGTCTTCCAAGTTCTCTGTTCTGGAGTGACAGACAGTGACAGTAGCGTTTCTCTTTTGGAGTAAGGTGGCCACTGGAATACCAACGATATCTGATCTACCCAACACGACAGCTTTCTTACCGCTAATCTCAACACCAGCCTCTTCAAGCAGCTTGATACAACCGTTTGGTGTGCATGGTATAAATTGTGGCTCACCACCTTTCTTGGACAGCTCACCAATATTGTAACGTCCAAAGCCATCAACGTCTTTCTTGACATCGACAGCATTAGTGATTTTTGTCTCATCCAAGTGTGGAGGAAGAGGCAATTGGATCAACAGACCATGGATGGAATCGTCTTGATTGATCTCTTCAATCTTGTTCAAGAGCTCAAACTCAGTGATGGAGTCATCAAACTTTTCAATGTCACAGTCAACACCGGATTCCTTCGACGCTTTCAGCTTCATCTTGACATAGGTGGAGGAGTCTGGTCTCGCACCTATCTGTAGGATCTTCAGCTTTGGCTGGAACTTTGGATATTCCAACTTGATCTTTTGCACCTTGTCATAAGCGTCCGATCTCAACTTCTTCGACAGCTTAAGGCCTGAAAGCGTTGTATAGAGCCTGTTCTGTCTCTTGAGCTGCGACACCAGCTGTGAGTAACGAATCATTGTTAACAAACTGATGAGGTGGAGGTACAACAAAGCCTGGAGCAGCGATCAGTTTCCTTATAAACCGTTTTTTCTCACTGGCTTTTCTTCCCTGAAACTGCTTTCACATAAATTTTTTTTTTCACTATGTTTGGCATCTCCGTATAAATTTCACTTTTTCTCGCATAAGGTTCAGTCCCGAGTCAGCTCATCGCGATGGGATGTCCGGATGAAGTCAAAGTCGCCCATCATCTTGTGACTCGGGACAGCTTCCGTACCAAACGTGTTCGCGAAGCTTCTTCACACGACAAACCGGTACACGCACACGACCGCCGGCCCCGCGGGCCCCTTTGTTGATATTCCACTCTATACACTTTTCTTCTCTGATATGGCTATTTGTTTACGGTTTGAGTATCTTTGGACACAGCTGAGTATTCTTTGTTGCTGTTTCTTGTGTGTTTGGGTATCAGGTTACACTCTCCGGGTTTCAATACACGAGCAGAGTCAACAATGGCTGTGTTTGAAGTGTGCGATGTCTACAGAGAGCCCAACGTGACCAATTTCGTTGCGTCTCTGGTGATTGCCGTTGGTATCGTGATATCGTATGTACCGCAATACGTGAAGATAGTGCAGACGCGCACCTCTGTTGGGCTGTCACCGACGTTCCTATTCCTCATATCCGTTGCAGGATTCTCTGCGATGTCTAATCTTGTGCTGCTTTCCTCTCTCTCGCTGCCCTGCTGTTCTGAGCTCACCGGGTTCGAATGTGTCAATTCACAGGTGAGTCTAATACAGGTTGGTTTGCAGGCAATTTCCACCCTGTTCATCCCGTTGCTGTGTGTCATCTACACCAACACCCCGGACAACACTGAGTACGAACAGGTTGTCGAAGCATGGAGAAGAATACTCCTGTATATCGCCACTGTGACGATACTGGTTATCGTTGCGTGTTTTACATTCAGCGCTGCTCACGTTTTACTCTTTGCGCAGATCCTGGGCGTATTATCAACGGTGATCACATTCATACAGTACATTCCACAGCTCGTGGAAACGTATCACCTCAAGCATTCCGGTGCGCTGAGTATAGCAATGATGCTGATCCAAACCCCCGGAGGGTTCTTGTGGACCACAACGCTCATCATGAAACCAGGCTCCAATTGGAGTAGTTGGCTACCGTATTTGGCAGCGGCCTCCTTACAAGGTGTGCTGCTCATGATGTGCATCTACTATGACTACTACCTCACGCCAAAGCAGGCTCTTCTGGATCAACAGAACAGTCAAAATTATGTCTAAGCACTAACATTGGGGGAGGGGGGAGGTGAACTGTGGCATGATACATCCGCACACCACCTCGACTACCGAATACGGTAGACTTCCCAATCCGGTAATTTTGGTGAAAGATGAGCAAAAAAATTTACATATGTAAAATCGAGACTAATTCTTTCATATGTATACCAGATGCTCTAAGTTTTGTACTATATATAGAGACTTGTTTTGTGGAACCCCTACTTAACATGACAGATATCGTTGCCCCATCGTTATCCACGTACCAAGATGATGTTACATTCCAAAGATATGAAGAATCAAAGCATGAAAGACCATACCTAGGTCCTGGCTGGGAAGCCCATGGTGACCTCACCGGGAAATTGAACGAATACTATAGCATCCCAGAGCTTTGTGAATATCTCAAACAGAAACACCATGGGAAGAAGAGGTTCAAGAAGATTACTCTTCAGTTTCCTGATGCTCTCGTTGCTGACTCTGCTATCGTGGTCCAATTGATACAAAAGACACTTGAAGAGAACGATAATCATGGCGATGATGTTGAATCAACGGTTGTCATAGAGGCTGTGGATCATAATGACAGTCACAAGCATAAAGAGAAGGATGACTGTAAGAAGACGTGCTTGAATTGCAAGTGCTCTGACGATATTGAGGGTGAGAAAGACGTCAAACAACAGGTTTGGATACTTGCAGATACTGCTTATTCATCATGCTGTATAGATGAAGTCGCAGCAGGCCATGTTGGGTCAGACATTGTGGTGCATTTTGGTGATGCCTGTTTGAACACCATCCAGAAGCTCCAAGCTGTGTATGTCTTTGGCAAGCCGTACCTGGAGCTTGATAGAGTTGTTGAAAAGTTCAAAGAGACATATTCGACCGAAGATAAGGTCATATTGATGGCTGATGCCCCTTATACACGTCATCTACACGAGCTGTTCAATGCCCTCACACCTTTCTTTGCGAACATCGCGTATACTGATATTGACTTGGAGCTGGCAAACAATGCAAAGATTGTGGGCTTTGAGAGCTCTTCACATAAAGAAGTTTTCAAATTCTCCAACCGTGTGATTAAAGGACTTGAAGAGTTGCAAGAAGATGACCTGAGCGAGTTCAAGTTGTTTCATATTACAACACCTCAACCTCCACATCTGCTCTTTTTAAGTACCAAATTCTCAGAGATGACCACCTACGAACCTATGGATAACTCTACAAACTCTGGCCCATTCCCTTCATTGATGAAAAGGTATAGATACATGCAGATGGCCAGAGCTGCTGGAACTATTGGAATTCTCGTCAATACGCTATCTTTGAGAAATACCAATGAAGTCATAAAGACAGTCTCCAACAAGATACGAGAGGCAGGGAAGAAGCATTACATGTTTGTCGTTGGTAAGCCAAACGTTGCCAAATTGGCAAACTTCGAGTCGATTGAACTTTGGTGTATATTGGGTTGTGGACAAGGTGGCATTATTCTGGATCAGTCCAATGAGTTTTATAAGCCAATCATAACACCTTATGAACTGGAAATGGCACTGAATCCAGTGGTGACATGGACTGGTCAGTGGTGTACTGGGTTTGACGAATTATTGAAGGAAGAACAAGACGCAGAGACCAACTCTGACGAGGATATACCAAATTCCCCAGACAGCAAGGATGATGATGAGGACGATATTCCTCAGTTTAACCCGGTGACTGGTAAATTGATAAGCACATCTCGTCCACTGAGACAAATTCAACATCTGGAGATTGATGCAGTTTCACAGGACTCCAAGGACCAAGGACAACTGGTGAAGGCATTTTCAAAGTCATTGGCCATCAAGGGCACGGTATCAACGAGTGCACAGTATCTCCAGAATAGAGCATGGTCGGGCTTGGGAAGTGATTTCACCGATACAGATGTTGATCCTGAGGGAGCAGTTGTTGAACAAGGTCGTGGTGGTGTTGCAAGAGGCTACGACTTTGACATCAGAAAAGACAAATAATCATGACATTAAGATACGTGCATTGAATGATACCTTAGACAGATACATACCACATATCTATGCTATCTCTAAAGGATTTTATATGGCAACGAACCCAAACTGTACCTGTACTTGTAATCCTCGATTTTGACCTTCACCATCCTGATTATTCCCTTGAGCTCTCTGGCCACGTCTTGCCTGTTGCATTAGTTGACGTTGTTGAAACCAAAACAGCGTGGTGAAGATAACCAAAGCTATAGCTGGCACTAAGAACGACTCCCAATCAAAGTTGTCAAAGAATCCGTTATCGTCTTGGATAACAAATTCACCATTGTCATCAACCTCGTCAACAATTGGTGCACCTTCTTCCTCTTGCGTATCACCGGACCCTCGAACTTTGTAGTACAAGTTCTTCCAATCACTCCAGGTTCTCTTGTTGCTGATATCTTTCTCAGCAGATGGGAGTGTTGTAGAGCCCCAGAGATTGCCTATGATGCTCTTGATGCGAAGTTTCAGAAGAGCCATCTGTGCCGGTAGATACGCCTTTGCATCAATACTCAAGGCCAAATCATAATATCTTTTTGCAAGATGAAAGTCCTTATCCACTCCCAATCCCATCTCATACAACCAGCCCATGTTGAATGTTGCCTGGCTTGATCTTTTGGACACAGTTTCGTAGCACGCCATGGCATTGTCATACTCGCCAATGTTGAAGTACATGTCTCCTAGCCACACTGCTGAATCCGTATTATGCTGAGTACTTGATCTTTTGATATACGCCAAGGCCATCTCTTTACGCTCCTTTGTCGTGATTGGCGGTGATTCAAGCATCGAAGGTGGACTGTATAGTAAGTATGCTGCAGATGCTTGTGCTTGCTCGAAACCTTGCTCAGCAGCCATGGCATAGCCTATCAATGCGTTTGAGGTTCTCCCTTCAAGCAGCTCAAAGAATGCCCATTCCAAAGAGGTTAACAACGGATCAAAGTGCTCGCAGTAGTACTTCAGAGCTGAGGCAACATGAGGAGCATCCTTCTTCTGCTTCGTCTCATAGGTCAGATCTGAAAACAAGTACATTGCTGGGTAGTGGCCGTGAAGAGCAGACGATTCGATGATCTTAGCTGCGTTCTTCTTCTCATCCTCGGTGCCATGGAACCATTTGAAACGACCGTACTCGTACTTGTTTGTAGATCCCTTCTTTGCAAACATTTCAAAGTATTCATGAGCCATTGTGATGTTTCGAACGTCTGGAGTTCCTTGCTCGTAGATGAGTCCCAGTGCTGCGTACGACATACTGAGCTCGTACACCTTGCTCGTCATCTCCATGAGTCGTATGGCCTCTGTATGATTGACTGCCATTCCTTCACCACGCATGTTCATCTTTCCCAGAAGGTATAAACATCTCGAGGTGTAAAACTGTTCAGGTATCGACAAGATGTCTGTCAAAGGAAGCCCTTCTTCAACACACAATTTACAGTATTTAGCAGCCTCCTCGAAGTTTCTCTTCCTTGTGTAAGAGCCTTCGTATGCGTTGATTGCCTTATAGTAGAAGAAGTCAACCTCTGTAGCAACGTCATTCATGTTGTTATTATCAATGATATCGTCAAACCGATCCGATCTTCTCGTCAGTGAGCTCGGAATATCGCCAACTCCCTTGCCATAGATCCCATCGTTCCAGTCAGCAATCCGTATATTGTAGCTATCCACATCTGGTCCACCAATTGGACCTGAGTCGTACCATTGCTTCAGAGAGTTCGCAACTTGCTGATAATAGAACAATGCCTGGTCCCAATCAACAGAGAGGCCCACACCGTTGATATATCTATAGCCCAGTGCCATGGCTGCCCTCAAATCACCGTTCTCATAAGCAAACTTGTAGAACAGGTTGGCCTTCGCCTGGTTCTGTTCCATCTGTCCAAACAGCCCAGTAGCATACATGAACCCCAGGTTATAATACGCTGTTGCGTTTGATTCGGCCTCCACAACGGCATGGTAGTATCTTAACGCATTGGAAGCGTTCTGTGGGAAGGACCAGTTGCCATACATGTTGATGTCAGCCAACGTGTAAGAGGCGTCGACGTTCCCCAAGGCAGAGCTCTCTTCAAGAAGCGAGTACGCCTCTCTATGTACGTCTGTGAGGTTCTGTTCCTTGTACGACACCACCATCGACTCCCACTCAGGATCATAGTCCATGGGGATGCTTATCACCGTTTTCGAGTTTAGTGAGTGGTTTGAAAAGGTGAACTGTGGAATAGTCGATAGTAGTGTGATTGCCTTTGTATACAAGGCCACATCATCAAGACAGTATATCGATACTATTAAAGAAGCTGCACGCGGTGTTAGTGTCAGGAGTTCATTGTAGTGCATAGAGCTTAGAGCAGCTTACCCAATACCAGATAGGACTTCATTATTGTACAAGATGGCTCCAATGGCGTCGGTGTACAGTGAGTATTATATCATGTGGATGGCAGTAACAGGGTGGAATTTTCCACTACATACGGAGACGAAAACTATGAGAAAATTCAATGAACTACAACAATGAACCACGACAACAAAGGCAGGACCTTGGAAGCATGGCACTAGACCAATGAACGATGGCACCAGCAATATCAATTGAATCGTATGAAGAGCAATTGCCCGGTTTCCTCACCAACTTATCGAGGCAACCGAATGTACAGAACCCACTCATTAAACACCATCCGGGATCACCTTCAACGCTCCAATTCACCACCACGGTCTCTGAGAACCTCCAGTACGTGATCATGGTGACATACCATTCGTCATACCTCACACCAGTGGTCTACTTCAGAACGTGTCGAAGAGTTGACGATGGCTGGATGCTGGCGTACGACTGTTCCTCAGTACGCTCGCACTGCTCAATTGAAGAGTTCAGAGGCTCGAATTGGGCATTTATACACCCATGTGATACCGACGAGCTCATTCTGAACGGCTCTCTCGTCTCATGGGCCTCGATATACCTCCAACCACTGCTTCCACTAGTATCAACTGCCTGGATGTAACCGTAGTTAGGGTATTTAGTCATGCTGATATTTACACAGCACCTCAGTAAATAACAGCATGGGCCCAAGTCTGTCGTCCTGGTTATAATACACACCATACAATTCGTAATAGTATTATCTACAAACAACAACATTCACCACAGGCTTGCAAGGTAGTCATAATCTCAAGTGCTCAGTTCAACGATGAGCAGCTTCGCTTCTGTTAGATCACAGGCCGTGTCCTTGGAAACACAGGCGTCTGGGCTGTTGTCCAAGTATTCGTCGTATGCTCTAAGCACATCGAGCGAAGCAACGGGTGAGGAGACTAAGCTGGAGAAGAAGATCGAGCAGACGTTGCACAAGGTGAGTAAGTGCCACTGCGATGGTATCAGTGTACTAACAACGTGTGTGCTCTAGAGTGAGGAGGTTCTCGACTCACTGTCTCGTATCTCCGATAGCACCCCATCGCTTCCAACAGTGAAGCTTCAACAGCTCACACGTCACAAGGAGATCCTTCAGGACAATTGGCGCCAGTTTGGTAAGATCAGGTCGACGATCTTGTCTGAGCGTAACAAGATCAATCTGCTGTTCAACGTTCAGTCGTCCATTGACGACCGTAAGAACAGGCCTGTGGATGAAATGGACTATACCAACGAGGAATCTCAGAGAGCCAATGCCCTGAACAACATTGCTGATGATCTGATCAGTAGGGCGTACGAAACAAGGGACAACCTATTGGCGCAGAGATCCACATTACAAAGTGCTGGCACACGTTTGACCAATACGCTAAGTACAATCCCAGGAGTTAACGTGTTGATCTCGAAGATCAACACCAGAAGAAAGCGTGATGCACTGATTCTAGCAACTCTCATCGCCGTGTGTATTGTTCTTTTGTTCTTCACGTGGTGATTGTACATACAGTAATACGAGGAAGTTATGTATTCACAGCTCTCTGATTAGAATCCACGCCGTCTTCTTCCCTTGGCGACACCGACGGAAACAACAGAAGATTTCTTCTTCTTGGTGCTCTTCTGGAGTTCCAACTCTTTATCAGCTTCCCATTTCCTCTTATCACGTTCTAGTATCTCCTCGATAACCCTCTTACGGGTAGTCTCTTCACCCTTCTTCTGCCTGATGGAATAGAACACTGAGCCATACTCTGCAAGCCACAGAGGATCAACAGCTGTAACCACCGAGATGTACTCCCTAGAGGTCAACATCAACTCGTGATAGACCACATAATCCGGGAGGTCATTGGCTCCATAAAGAGCAGACGTTGGGTGTAGCACCAACTTCATTCCTGTTCTCAAATTCACAAAGTTCTGCAACCCTTCTCTCTTTGCAGCCTGGTAAAAGTAGCCAGAGGCTATACACTCTCTAACAACGTCCCAGTCATATCCATTAGAAACAACAGGCAGATTGTTCTTCTCCATGATCCCCTCCAGCTGTTCCTTGATCTCTTTGGCCTTTCTCAGAGACTTGGGATTCAGAAACCTTTGCTTGCACCACCAATCACTGAACTTCTTCTGTTGCCATTGGTTATATACGTTCAGCAAGGTCAAGTGGTCAGATTCGGGCACAGAGAAGTGTTCGTGAGCCTTGTCAGCCTCATCCTGTCGCTCTCTGGGACGAATAAACACGGAAGGAACAGAGAGCATGGACACTATGGTGACCATCTCCTTGGAACAGCTCTTCTTCGCAGATGTGAGTAGAAGCTTCGATAATGACGGTACAAGGGGAAACTTGGACATCTGGGAGCCAAGTGGAGTCAGTTTGCCAAAGTTGTCTAAGGCACCAATTGACCATAGCTCATATAACGAACTCATCACGGTTTCTCTTGGAGGTGGATCTAAGAAGGGGAATTTGATCAGATCATCAATTCCCAAGGTCTTGAGCAATAAAAGCGTATTGGCCAAGTTGGTTCGTTGAATCTCTGGGATTTGCTGTGGATACATTTCTTGAAGTGCAGCTCTCTCAGTATAGAGCCTATAGCAGGAGCCATGGCTTGTACGACCAGCTCTACCTGATCTTTGGTTGGCATTAGCAAGAGCAACTGGCGTGATCAACAAGCTCTCCATTCCAAGTTTTGCGTTGTAAACCTTCATCTTACAAAACCCAGTATCTATCACAAATGAGACACCATCAACTGTCAAGGAGGTCTCTGCAATGTTTGTTGCAACGACAACTTTTCTATGCCCTGGCAAGGCCTTTCTAAATATCTTAACCTGTTGCTCCACAGGTAAAGATGAATACATAGGAAGGATATCCAGAGGTGGAGGATCGTCCAGTAGCTTCAACTTGGTCTTCAGTAAATCACAAGTCACGTCGATATCTTCTTGACCTGTCATGAATATCAGTATATCACCAGGTCCAGACTGTAAATGTATCGTCAATGCCTGTTTCACGGCTTGTTCAACGTAATCTTCGACGGCGTACCTAGAATGCATGATATCCACTGGGAACGTTCTGCCTGGGATAGTGAATTGTGGAGCATCTCCAAAGAACTGGGAAAACCTATCTGCGTTCATGGTGGCTGATGTTATGATCAGCTTAAGATCATTCCTCTTTGCCAGTAAATTCTTGAATAGGCCCAGTAGAACATCAGTATTGATAGTACGTTCATGAGCCTCATCCATGATTATACAAGAGTATTCTCCCAGCTGTGAGTCTGCGAGCGTTTCCCTCAGCAGGATACCTTCAGTCATGTACTTGATCTTGGTCTTTTCGTTGGTGACGTCTTCAAATCTGATGGAGTAACCAACCTCATCACCTAAACGCACATCCATCTCTTGAGCAACACGTTTGGCGACACTCATCGCAGCAACACGACGTGGTTGAGTACACGCTATCACACCGGATTTGGAGAGCCCATCCTCGTAGAGGAACTGCGTTAGCTGAGTCGTCTTACCAGAACCTGTCTCACCTATAATGATACAAACTTGGTTGTCTCTTATGAGCTTCAACAGACTGTCTCTACAGGAGTACGCTGGAAGAGACCTTCTTTGCTCCTGTATACTTTCAAAGCTTTGTTGTTCCTCAGCCGCAACTTCCTCTTGCTCAACTCGCTGCTCCTGTTTCTCCTGCTGATCCAGCCCAATGGTCTTCCCGATGGCTGTTCCTCTTAAACTTGTAGCGTCCTTCGCCTTGGTTTTACGCTCACGCTCTTGCCTTTGCAGAGCCACCACATGCGAGCCACGCTTCGCCTCCAAGGCCAGCTCACCTTGAGGGTCCCTCACCGCACTGATAGGGTCCTTCTGTTTCGTGAAGACATGTCCATCACCTTCTAAAAACGCCGGAGTCAAGTGATGAGTAGTTAACTGTACCACGGGTTCAGAACCCTGCTCAAAGTCAGTGTCAACCATCCCACGCTGGATGGTCCCCGCGGACTGCAATCTATTCAGCTCCCATCTCTCATTCTCATTGCTTCTTGGAGGTCTATTTCTCTTCCTGAACATCCTCTGTAGCTGGGTTAGTACAGCGATACCGCGTCACGAAGAGTTGTTAGTAGTGCCTCATCTTCAACACTAAAAGGCGCCTCGTATGAGCACGACGTACTGTGTCCCCTACCGATGATAAGCCGGAGAGTTCCGAGGCCCATCTCAACCGGCCGAGCTGAACCGACCCAATCGGCCTCACATTGTGCTATGTAATGGAGGACTTCATACACATTGATCGCCGTAGATGTCTGTGAAACGGTGTACTTTCATGGTGGGTTGGTGATTTTGTTGCTGCTGTGCTGGTTGCTCACCCAGCAAGTCCAATATCAACACACTGTACTGCTAACCAAACCCTGGAATAGGTGTAATGAGGCCAGCCGTCTTACAGACACCACCGTCAAGATGAAAGGCGTAGATTGTAGAGGAGCTACGTATGGTTGCCTTCCATCCTTCAGGAAGCCGATTCTTTGCCCTGTTTACACGTTGCTGCTCCTGAGCATTGGCCTTCCAGTGCAGCCAACCCGCTTACGGAGACTCCGAAGGTACATGTGCTGCTACATCTGTCATTAAGCGACGTTACACCTGGATTCGGAAGTTATGTTGAGTCCAATGGTGTAAGATCTCGGATATTACCCATAAGGGCTAACATTCCCAACGTTCGTGCATTGCTTGACCGGTAATTACCATGGTTTGTGTCAGTGCAAGCAACATGATTCGTTATCTATGATTTTTCTTTCTCTATCTCTTATCAGCCAGGGGGGAAGGAAGCAGGAAGGAGCAGATGAGCGATTTCCAAAACTTTTGAAGGTGTCTCTGATCCACGGAATTCGAAAGATTACTATGGTATTAGCTGTTAGTCCTGTGCTTTTTGGAACAATGGATGCATCATAACTATCGTATAGGCTTCATAACCATCACATTGTGCATGTGTTAACAATGAAGACTGGAAAAACACACCTAAAACAGCAGAGTGAAGCTAACAGAAGGACACTACGGCTCGCAACAGATGTGTCATCTTCAATGAATATTGTTTAACATTCCTTCATAAAAGCTAAATTAGTATACGAGGTAGTGTTCTCGTTTCGGCATAAATAATGTGATGGTGTCTACTTAGACAACAGCATGGCTTCAAAACTCCATCTTCAGCCAGTCATAGTTGTCCTTGGTTCCCTCTATGTTTGTAGTATCTAGGTCATGGCGTGGCATCTGGGTGCCAGACGTCGATGGACTTTTCAAATTCAAGTTCCATGGTTGGTTAGAGGGATCCGTAAGCAGAGGCCCCATATCCAGGTCCAGACTGACTGCGCCGTTGAAATCCAAAAAGTCATCCATTGCAATGTCTGGCTCGCTGACACTGGATACAGAGTGAGATTTGTTGTTACCCATGAGTCCAGGTAGAGATGAGCTGAGTTCGCTGCTCGTCACCGTCATGCAGTGACTCTGATGTGGTGTATTGGTGGAAGCTTTGGAGTATGGTGTTGCTACCGTCGAGTTTGTATATGGTGACAGTGCGTTCGATGAGAAGATGTTGGATTGTGGTTGCTGTGACTGTTGTTGTGCTTGATGTTGCTGTAGTTGCTGTAGTTTCTGATTGGCCAGCGTCTGCTTGTTTGAAACGGGTCTGATAACCCCATGTAGCTTGTAAAACAGTCCACAGGCATTGCAGAGCACCTCGCCGTTCGAGGAGCGTCTCCATAGAGGTGTTGACGTTGTGGAGCAGTTCGAGCAGGAGATCGTCTTATCCCGCTGATCGTGCGGTCTCTGCCTCTGCTGCTCTAAAAGCTTTATGTTTGACAGTGAAGACGACAATCTCGACGTTGCCGATTGTGTCTTGCTGAACGAAGAGGCAAACGACGCCTGAACCGCTGGAATGCTCACCTGTGGTTGCTGGTAGTACTCATCCTGTGATATTCTACGGATGTGTGCCACGTAGTCAAACTCCTCCATATTTGTATCCAGTACCTTGCTGTTATTCTTCTTCTCCGACTCACCCTCTAACCGTCCCACAACCTGATCCACAACCTTCTTCTTCAGCGCCTGCTTCTTCTGGTCAGCAGCTCTCTTCGACACTTTGGTCATGTGCTTCGCAGAGCTCAGCGACGACAGCCGCCAGGAAAAGTTCTTCACCCTCTTCGCCTCTGGCATCGACTTGAAAGCCATTGTGGAGTACATCGAGTGTATCTGTTCACTCGTCATCGGGTCCTTCACCAGCTTCGCCAGCGCGTGGTCCATATCGGTGGGCTGCGTATACTGAAACGAGTCAAGGATCTTGCTCAAGTCCTCTTGTAGATTCAATCCCATCTTCGACGGCTCTTCAACACTTCTTCAACAATACTCTCTCTTGTGATCTCCTAAAGGGGTGCAATATGGCACTCAAACGGACAACAAAACAGACGCTTACAGTCTAAGCTGAGTATCCAGTACGAGAAAACAGCAGTCACACAACGTCCCTGTGTGGTTTGTTCTCCTCCTCCCCGTTGGAAACGCCTAAACAATGTGCTTATAACAAGAGGGGAAAGCCTGTGCCTGTGTGCCCATCTGACTCAAAACTGGCACTTTGTTACTTTTTGAACTGTTTCCCCTTCCGCGCACTACCCAGGCCTGCGCGGCAAACCGATGAGTGTGCGTTTTTAGGCTGCAAAGACCGTTCGGGCCCTTTGTTCCAAAGGAAAATTTTCGCCCTTTCGCAGCGCTGAGAGGCCGGAGCCAGGCTGCTATCAACGGTAAGGGCAGCGGTCGCGAAGCACGAGCCGCCTGAGTTTGTTCTCGACCAATGAAAAGGGGGGATTTATGAGCTATCTAAGCTCGGCCTTATCTGTATCTGTTGGGCTGTTTATCGGGCAAAGCCATTTTGGGCTATCACCGGTATGGGAAGTTTTAGGGCAGGAGGTCTTCTGCCTTCTTCAGCCCTCCCGGCAGCCGGAGTGGAACCAGCGTGTTGGAACCAGCGTGTTGGAGCCAACGGTTGCCGGTTGCGGCTCTGGCCCAGCGTGCGTGTGTTTCGCTCTCATTGGACTGGCAAACCAGCACTGGTTGGTGTGGTGAGGGGTCACGTCTGGGCCAGGAGGCGTGGTTTCAGGATTCGAGGAGCATGTGAGTTGCGGGCGGTGAGCGCGGTGAGTGCGGTGAGTGCGGTGAGTGCGGTGAGTGCGGTGAGTGCGGTGATCCAGCGGGCGTGGAGCGCTGTTCAGCAGGTGGGCTTTCCTGTGGAGTGGAGGGTTGCTGTTGA